CCTAAATACTGACTGTTTAAAAGTAATTTTCACCCAAGCTTGTATCTATACTAATATTATAAAGCTGAAGAGTTTGTTTGTTTGTTTGTTTGTTTGAAAGCGCTAATATCCGAAACTACTGGTTCGAATTGAATAATTCTTTTTGTGTTGGATAGTCCAGTTATCGAGGAAGGCTGTGGGCTATATAACATCACGCTACGACCAATAGGAGCAAAGATATACTGGTAAATGTGTAAAAAACGGGAGAAATTATTTCATCTTTGAAGCCTTCCGTTGCGTGCGCCGTGAAAACGGTTCAAGATAGACAAAAAATATGTATTAAAGAATAATAGCTCTTTTAATGATCTAAAAAACAGTCCGCGACAGTATATGTCTATCTTTTAATATTAACTCACAAAAACCATTTTTATGGTACCCAATTTGGTCGAAATAATTTGTTTAAGTTGTATCAACATTATTATATTAATCTTTATTCAAATAAATAAATAAATATGTTGTTGGTTAAGAGTACTTCATTGTGAATAAAAAAACATAGGTTTTATCCTGAAAATTCTACGGGAACTCGACCATTCCGAAAACCCCACAAGAACGGGAACTATGTGGGAAGAACTAAAAATCTGCCGGAAGTCACTATTCCAGGCGGACGAAGTCGCGGCAAAAGCTAGTTAAAGAATAATTCTAACAATTATATTTATCATACTGTTCATGTGTCAATATTTTCTTGCTCAGGGTTTTTCCCATATTTTTATCAAAATACAAGATCACTCCTATATCTCGTCTTCGTCACATAAGCACACAACTCTATGTCCACAATATATCTTTATTACTTAATCTAAGAACATAATATGTGTACTTATATTTTAAAGCACGGCACCTTGTAGGTACATAAGATATTTTGTTTAAGGCTGCATTAACATAAGTTTTAAAAAACATAAGTGAATTTAAATATACAGGGTGACTGGTGAATTACTATCAATATTTAAGGAGCATACTCAGTACATGATTCTCATTCGAATTATGTAAAAAAAATAGACACTTAATTTTTGACAAAAATTCCGTATAAATAAATAAAGTGTTGACACGTTCCAAGTGTTCCAAGTGTGGACGCGTGCGGCGGCGTGCTGATACAACAACACGCTTCCGCGCGCGTATGTGTGAGTGTGTGTGTATACCTAATCTGTAGGGTGTTCATACGACGCGTAATTAATTACATAACTTTTGGTTGACCTTACTTAGAAGTTTATTAATATTTATGTTATATTAATTTTTATTTTGTCATATATGGTCGTCAAATATCACGTCCTCAAATATCGATAGTAATTCACCAGTCACCCTGTATAAGTGTTTCTTATATTTTTAATACATACATAAACATATGAATATACATATTAGTTATTACATATAGATAGAATGTAGATGGAGCGAAAAAAGTTTCACTTCAGTCGTGTGGGGTTAAAGCACAATGGTTTCAAATTTCAATTTTTTCCCGCGCCTCTTTATATTTAATAAGTTTTAAAGACTTTAGGATATTCGTCAAATATTTCCGATAGTATATATATGTAATGTCACTATTTAAATATATAAATGAAACGTATATAAGAAAATATATATTAGAAAATATATTATAGTAATAAAAGAAATTTAAAATGTTGCCGTTAATCTAGACCAGTTCACAGTTGAGCGAAGACAAATTCGGGGTGTTAGTAAGAATACTGATATAATTTCGTTTCAAGTAGTGCCATCTATTGTCTAATAGAGACAACTCATTCTATGAACCCACTAATAGTTTTGTACAACTTCTCATAGATGGCGCTGTAAAAAGTATAATCCATTAAAAATTAAATGTATATTATGTTATGATGTTTCCAAAAATCCTTTTTAAATCGATCATCTAACCTTAGATATGTTTACCCTGTCATGATGGAAGCACGTCCATTTATTTTTAAATAATATTTTTTAGTTTGTTTCTCATTATTTTCGTAAGGAAATGTAAATTTTTGTTTAATTATGTATATAAGTGTTTTAGTATAGTGCTAATTACTCATAATGAAGGTTGTTGAGGCGAAGATTGTCGTGCTGGGATCCCAAGGTATTTATTTCTTTATTCATCAGATTATAATGCAACAAATATGTAGGAAATTACTGGTTTTCGATGTATTGTGAAATATTAAACGGGTCTGTGAACTGTATGTATTATAACGTCCCATTATCCAATTATCGCCTTAACAATGATTGTTTTGTATTCTCATCAAGTGTTCTTTGAAAACGTTAACTTAAAAATAACTAGTATTTATCTAATGATCGTGTCCGTAATTTACTTTTCATTTATTTTGTATGTTTTAGATACTTTTACATTTTCAAGCTGAAAGCAATATCAACAATAATTCAAGATATTGATAAAATAAAAATATATTTCCAAATCATAAAATTTATTCAACAAAGCATATTTTTTTTAAACATAACTGTCAGTACTGTCTCATTTCTTTACTTAATTTAAAGATTTCAAACAAAATATATTTTCACTGTTCAAAGTGAAATTGAATTTGAATAATAAATCATTTAAATTTTCTATTTAAAAATATTTACAAAATTGTTTCTTATTTGTCTATTATTGGAATTAAAAATGTAGATACTTGCTTTTTAAACTAAATCTATAAACAATTAGGCAAAGAAAATAAACAATTTATTCAATTTTATTAAAGGCATGGGACCATTGAACTTTCAACTCGGTTGTTATCTTTAAATCAATATTGAATATTTTTATATATTAAAAAAAACCTTCTCATTAAGTGATTCGTAAGTATTAAGATTATTATTTTATTTACTTTTATCATTATCTAAAATCTATACCAACCCACCAAAAATAATAAATACATACAAACTCCCCTTACCTGTTTAAGCATAGTTTTTGTATAGAAATTTAATTTTATCTAATTTTTAATACATTTTCATATCATCAAACATACACTTTTAACGTTGATGTGAGTACAAATCAATAATAATAAAATGGTAAATTAATTCCTAATATTAATTAAGTCGGAAATACTTTTATTTTTAATTAGAACTGTAATTAATACTTAAACTTCTTATCTAATTGTAGGGATTATATAAAATATTACTGTATGTTTTGTTATAATAAACAGAATAATTAAAAAAAAGTTTTTACCATAGACGGTAAAACTTTGATTACCTCTTGTTATTTACATACATATGTATTTATGAAACGATTAATTATTTATAAATTATTTATTCCCTTACTAATATATACCTATATTATAAATTCCTTTGTCCTTAAAACTTTTACAAATAACAATACATATTAAAAAACCACTCGACATTTTATCTCAATTGTTGCGAATGTACATAATGATAATAATCAATAAAATCTTAGTTGTTACAGCGGCTTTTTGTAACAGTTTGTTGTTCTAAGCCAAGAAATTAAAAGAGTTTTTATATATTTTCATTTGCCTTAAAATGACCTATAATTTTTTATTATCTGTTATTCCATATAGATATATTTAATCTGTTATAAATTATGACTTTAAATTGGGTCTTTCATAATATAGTCCGGTCTATTTAAGCCTAAAATCAGGAGGAAGGTTACATAAATTCCCATAAAGCTGAATATTGGCATAGTTGTTCAAAACATCATTATAAAGAAAATCTCAAAAGTCCTCATCGTTCCGAGGTGTGCTAAAAATTTGGCACGGGGTCAAAGGTCAAAAAAATGAGTTTTTTGCGATTTTTAGCGAAACGGTGAGTTTTTTCGCAAAATTACCCCAGTACAAAATTGTAGATCACGAAATTCTCTACAAAAATATATTAATAATTTTTTTCCTAAAAGCCACCATTTTGGAGATATAACGTTCCGAAAAGTTGGATCAGTCGTAATCCCTCTATTTTGCACACGTACGCCACATATGAAAGTCACTAAAGGTGTAATAGAACTAAAATAAGTTCGCTATTATTTATTGTAACTTGCTTATGTAAAATATAAGTTAAACTACGAGAATCTCAGGTATAATGAAACCCCGTTCCTAAATTTGTACGTCAGTATAACCTTGGGATAACATCTGTCTTTTATTCTATTGTCCGCGTGGCTAGGGTCGTATACCTGCTTTATGTTGGCATGCCCAATATATGAAATACATACCGTTAGTCTTGAGCGCCACTGCGTAGGGAAAACATGTGCTTATCTTAACCTATTTTGTGCGTTTTAGAAGAAAAATGTCAGAATATTGTTTTATTTGTACTCATCTTTTAACTGAAAGTGAAACTGTAACTGTTGATCGTGGTATGAAGACATTGATTAATGCAAGTGCTGAAAGAGATGATGGATACTCGGAATTTCTTCAAAAACAAAAATCTGTGACAATACATAGCAACTGTCGTAAAATTTATACGCGGAAGTGTTCTATTGCTGCTGCCATCAAAAGAAAACGCGAAGAACAAGAAGCTAACACATCTACAGGATCTACAGTAAGTAGTCCTCCTCGTACTAGATCCCGTTCAAGTGATTCAGCTTTTTGTTTTAAAAAACTATGTTTATTTTGTGGCAATAAATTGAATGAAGAGTTGCAGAGAAAAAAATCCTTAGATCGTCGCAGTAAAATTTGTCAAGTAAGTACACTCCAATTCAAACATTCAATTTTGGAAGTAGCACGAACTCGTTCCGATGCTATATCGAAAGCTGTTGTTGCTCGAATCGAATTTGACTATGATTTAGTTGCTGCTGAACCAAAGTATCACCAAGAATGTTATACTTCTTTTTTGAAACCGACTACTGGCGGTACAGTTGGTCGTCCTAAAGATGAAGCAACAGATCTGGCAATGCAGGAAATATTTACATACATTGAGAGTAGCAATGACTGTCAGTTTACTTTGGCTGAAAAGTTGGACTGTTTTGTTCCCTGGCATGCACACACTGTCAAGGCCGATCATGCTCGAATGTTGAGTCACCAACTCTTGAAGATTCGTTTGATACCGATCAGGAATCGCTATTGGGGCAGTTTACGTGTGAAATAGAACAAGAAGAAGAAGAAGAACAAGAGGATGAACAGGAAGAAGAAGGAGAAGAAGATCAAGAAGAAGAAGAAACAGAAATCTTGGACAGTTATGAATCAGACGACTAACTTTTTATTTTAAGTATTTTATTTAATTACACCGCCGTTGTTTTTGCCCACTATAATATATAATATTATTTTGCAATAGTTTTAAAACATATAAAATCTCAGCAGACCCGTGGAATAGGCCTACTGGGGAAACCACGTTAAAAAAACGCGCTTTGTACACTACCTCATAGGTGGCGTGGAAACGTGTGCAAAATAGAGGGATTACGACTGATCCAACTTTTCGGAACGTTATATCTCCAAAATGGTGGCTTTTAGGAAAAAAATTATTGATATATTTTTTGTAGAGAATTTTGTGATCTACAATTTTGTACTGGAGTAATTTTGCGAAAAAACTCACCGTTTCGCTAAAAATCGCAAAAAACTCTTTTTTTTGACCTTTGACCCCGTGCCAAATTTTTAGCACACCTCGGAACGATGAGGACTTTTGAGATTTTCTTTATAATGATGTTTTGAACAACTATGCCAATATTCAGCTTTATGGGAATTTATGTAAACTTGAATGTGTAAATAGACCGGACTAAATAATATTCTTTATTAAAACTAGTTGTACATAAGTAAAAACTGTTTTATAATTCACATTATAATATTTATGAAATCGTAAAGCGACGCTCCAATTAACAAATGTATATAACGTTATTGCGTAATGTATTACTGAAGAAATGTTTTAAAATTAAAACGAGTATGTATTTAAGTTTAATATATATACTAGTTTTTGCCCGCGACTTCGTCCGAATTAGTAATATATGTATAGCTGACCGGGCGAACTCTATTCCGCCCTAGAGGCCGTAAATATCTGGTTATTGGAACTCATTAGGTTTTTTCGATCGAACATATCATATCGAATTAAATATCCTATGTCCGTCTCTTTGTTCTAATCTATCTCTCCACCAATTTCCATCAACCCGTACAGTCGTTCTTGAGTTATAAATATTGTAACTAACACGACTTTTTTATATATTTTAATTAGAGGTGCTTACACCTGATGTACTAATCTATACTAAAGTTGTAGGAATCTTTTATTATTGTATATAATTTTAAAATATCTTATTTTTTTCTTTAATCATAAATAAATACCGGTAAAGTGAATTACTTATTCTTGTGTGAAATTAATCTTGACATCTTAATTGATCATACCTTTTTCTTGTTTTTATATTAAGTAATTGGTAATTATTGATCAGAATTGATTTACAACATAAGTATTTCACTTTCATTTGCTAAAATGTTTGCCCCATACATTTAATATAGTTGTCGGTAATTTTTTAATTATAAAGTAACAGGAATAGGATGTTATTATAGCAATGTCATTTCATTGATTGTCATCATTATTCTGGTTCAAAATGCCAGGTGTTCGTTCCGCGGAGTCAGCAGCGTCACTCGTTATATGATATATTAGCCAAACACCGATTTTACCCCGGCGATGTTCATTTATTTTTCAAAACATTACGTAACAATTTTAAACAATAAGTATACAGGGTGACTGGTGAATTACTATAGATATTTGAGGACGTGATATTTGACGAGCATATATGACAAAATAAAAATTAATATAACATAAATATTAACAAACTTCTAAGTAAAGTTAACCAAAAGTTATGTAATTAATTACGCATCGTGTGAACACCCTACAGATTAGGTATACACACACACACACGCGTGCGGCGGCGTGGTGTTGTATCAGCACGCCGCCGCGCGCGTCCACACTTGGAACGTGTCCACACTTTATTTATTTATACTGAAATTTGGTCAAAAATTAAGTATGTACCTATTTTTTTTACATAATTCGAATGAGAATCATGTACCGAGTATTCTCCTTAAATATTGATAGTAATTCACCAGTCACCCTGTATATTGTTTAGGGACGCAATTTTTTGGCGGCAAAATATAAATTTAATTATCGATATCTTTTTTTTTATCAACTAGATAGTGCTTGGCTGTCATTCATTATAAAGTGGATATGAATTCGAAGATGGTTAATTAATTATCTCAGTATTAGCTTATCCATTCTTATCTTGATGACACCTAAATTATAACTCAAAGGAAACATAAGCAGGCAAACTGTTTCAAACTATTGCTGTGTCAGTAGGAAGAAATGTATCGCTTTGTCCGGATGTAAGGAAGAACTACAACTTAAGGAGATCATCTTACATTGGTTATCTGATAGAAAGGGGATGTGGGAATTAAATCGTGTAATTCCTGTGCAAACGACAATGCATCCTGTATAATACTGAGAGACTAGTTAATTTTTGACTGTGCTTTAAGCTGATGAGATTTGATTTAACCAAGTTATAATCACCAAGTCTTTTTGCTTATCTCATGAATCTTAGCTAGTGAGGTGACCTTTGGCAGAAACTACCCATATGTTACAGCAGTATTGCAATCTCGACTGGACTTTGTATAAACATTGCTCTTTCCCTTTTCCTTCCCTTTCCCACCTTTCCTATTTCCCCAATCAAAGGTGGCAATACATTCGCAAATCTATGTTGTTGATGTCTGTCTATGAGTGACGAGTTTACCTCCATCAGGTAGGCCGTCTGCTCCGTTGCCCCTTTAGCATAATATATACAGTTCATTTAAATAGAAAGACCATTATTACTCCGTCTCACGTACAATGAAATGTCAATCCTGATCATAATTACATCTGTACCTACCACTGTTTTTAGCAATCTATTCATTTCTAACAACCTTTAGCGTTGAAAAAAAAACCAAAGAATGTCCCGTCCTTTGCACGAGTACTGACGCGCTTTTGCAAGGACCCCGAGTTTTTGTACACCTATCTTTAGCCTTGAACTTAATGTAGACCTCAAAGTTAATATTTATACCTAACTTAAATTTATTTACAGAAATTAAACCCTATTGGACTTTTAAACTCCGCTCAGCCAAAAAAGTATATCTTATAGACGTACTAAAAGTGTGTATCGTGATACTTCATATATTTTCGTCTACATTCATTAACTAACTAATATTGTGCCTCATTACTAACGAATTCAAACTTGTTGTAATGGCATTTATTAATATATTAATTATTCGTGCCGCTAATGATTTATGAATAAAAAAACATGCAACTGTCGCTGCTTAAATTAATAGTGAAAATGTATATTAATTTTAATAATAAAACCGATAAGAAATTGACATGATTGAAATTTAAATTGTCATTTTCTTGACGCTGTTTTTTTTTTTCACAAAATGAAGCCATTGTTTACATCCGTAATGCCAATATCATTTATTTTTTTCCAATTTTCGTTATTATTATTACATAACAATGTTGTAGAGTATCTGACAACGGTGTCTGTAGGTCGACCGGTTAAACTTGTTTGTCAAGGATTTTAACTCCAAGTTTTTTATGTAAAATCTGTTCGAGTCGTATCAAATAAATGATAGTCCCTAGTTTAAACTTTTCTTATTTATTTGACAGTGACATTTTGTTGTTTTTTTTATTTATTTCAAGGTTTTGAAAGTGTCTTCCTGTTTTTTTCGAAAAATATCTCTGTAATAAATCTTGATGACATTTTTTAATGGTTTTTTGTTTTTTTAATTTTGATTTCAACTTTTAAAAAAAGTTTCATTTTGAAAAATGTGTTTACATTACTTTTTTTTTATTACTACCACAAACAAGTATCAGTAGGTTTGCTTGCTATAAAATCAAACGTCAAGCCTTACTCCATCCTTTAAGCGGCTTAATATGATGGATACGTATGAGAAACAATATAAAATCCCCGAAGATATTTGTGCGTCGGCCTCCAGACCAGATATATTTTATATTCGTGAATTTTAAAGCGCGTTATGATGATAGAGCTTACGGTTCCTTGGGAAACCAACATCCCCAAAGACCATGCCATCAAGGTCAATAAATATTACGAGCTCACTAACGAACTAACTCGAAATAGGTTCGTCGTAGATTTGTACGCGGTAGAGGTGGGAGCGAGAGGTATAACAGATAAATCTCTCTATAACCTACTAAAAGACTTTATATTATAATAAAGAACTAATATTCCTTATCAATAAGTTCGGAAAGGGATTTGAACAAAATAAAATAACATGTTATACATATAAGTATAAGATAGTTAATACCATGTTTTTACAGCTTGTTAAAATTACATTTTGTTACATTTTTAATTTTAAAACTGTATATGGGATACTGTTCACTAAAACATGACAAATTCATAATCACACTTACCACATTTAACACAACAACACACACATTGCTAAAAAATATAAAAATAAATATAAAAGTAAATAATAAAAATATAAAAGTAAATAATATCATTACATATATAAATAAAAAGAAGCTTATTATAGCTAAATATGCTGCTATTATAATTCGTTCAATATTATCTAGTAAAGATTCTACTATGCTTTTTACTGTATATATTCTTAAATTGTTGACGTCTTTATATATGTTTTGGAAATATTCACAATACACGCACTACATACACATTTCCCATTCACCTGGATACTCATACAGCAAATTCCATGCATTTAAACGACGATACACACACTTAAATAAACCAAATAGTAACTCAGCCATACCAATATCATTCCAATTCTCAATCAGTAAATTGGAACATTGTTACGGAATCAGTCAAAAACTACACACTATTAAATTTAATAAATTGTGGCAGCTTAATATTATGGTACTTATTACGGATACCATCAGGCGCTAATCCCTTAGAAATATTTTATCAAAACGTACGGGGCTTATGTACTAAAACTAGTGAATTTAGATTAAATATTCTTAATCATAACTTTGATTTAATTTTAATTACTGAGTCATGGTTGACAAATGGTATCTATGACCGTGAAATCTGCGACAGCAGATACGATATCCTAAGATGTGACCGAAATATTGAAACTTCCACAAAAAGAAAGGGTGGTGGTGTACTTCTTTGTGCCCTAAAAAAATTACACATCCAACATCGTAGCGAATGGGCTTGTCATGGTGTCGAATCCCTTTGGGTAACTATACCTAGTGAATATTTGAAAAATCAAGGGCATCGAAACATTCATATTGGGTTAATCTACGTTCCTCCAGACGACCTATTATCATGTCGTCTCGAATCAATAACATCCCGTCTAGCTGAAATTACTTCCAAGCAACCAAATGACTACATCATTCTAGCTGGTGACTTTAACCTACCGAATGTTAAATGGTCAATTAGTGGACCTATAATACAAAATCAAGGACCAGCCAATTTACAAAACGCTACGGAGAATTTCATTGACATATGCAATCTTTCTGATTTGAAACAACATAATACAGTTGAAAATAACAAAGGCAGAACCTTAGACCTGATATTTAGTAACATACATTTTGAAGTTAATCACTGCCCCTACCCATTCGTTTTGGAGGACGCGTATCATCCAACACATACACACACACACACACACACACACACACACACACACACACACACACACACACACACGCACGCACATAAAAATACCCATATACCTGTTAATATCCTCTAGTTGCATGTTTTAACAATTATTTTCTTTGCACCTACTCTCTTTTTGTTATCCACTTTGTTAAAAATATTATATTAAACATTTTACAATGTAATCTCTCTGGCCATAGTCTTAATGAAGTTTTAAAAACTGTACAAATATATTCTGTATACGCTGTTGATTACAAATAAATAAATAAATAAAAAAAATAAAAATATTAATTCATTCTTGGAACGTACTTCGAAGGCAGCCCTAGTAGATTCTTTTCAAAGTAGGTAGAGAGAGGAGCTTGGACGGTGGAGGTGAGCGTTTAACGCGTTAGATAGGGGTCCCTTAAACCTACACCTGGGTCACAAGTCACAGTCACTGTTGAAGCTCCTCTCACTACAACGATGGACCCGACACACGCACCGTGAATACATGGAGTACTGAGGAGTTACGTCTCTATAAAAGAATGTTATAAATTATAATTGGAGTTTAATTACTTTTATATAAATGTTAATATTTGCTATTTGTGTTATATACACATGAATTGCTGCATTATTGTTTACTTTACACAGAATTATAAATATTATATCATAATTTTTGGCAATTAAAAAAAATATGTAGAATGTGAGATATAGAATTTTTTTTGCAAAATTATCAATTAATTGTTTCTATTTTAAAATGTGATTGCAACATCTTAAGTTTAATGAAATAATTAGTTATATTAATGAGTTCGTAAATTTGATTGTATGTGCGTCTGTCTCCGGAATAATGCTTAACTATTTACATATATGTATGTCAAAGAAAACATATACAATTATTATTATTCATAGTTAATTGAGACACTTTGTAATTAATAACTATATAGTAAATTAATTTCAAATAACTACAATTTATACAATTGTTGATTTTTTTTTTCAAAATTTTATATATTATGTACAAAAGAAATATTTCCATCATCAGAGCTATCTAAATAGAAAAATTTAACCAAAACCGGTTCAGTATTATCTACGTAATGAGTAACGAACTAAGTCATGGGTGTATCATATTCTCGTTCGGCTGAGTTTAGGAGGAACAGGTTCAAGACAGGTTTCAAAGAAAATTCACGTCATATATATGTTAATTAGGATATATATATTAATATATAATATGTATATATTGTGACTGAATCAATCCATTATTAATACGTTTACTAGTAAAGGAGGATATTGTCATTATGACTTTATGATGCAGACTTTCTTTGTCCAGCATCATTAAGTTTTTGGTTCCCAAATATGTGGGTTTTAGGTACAATGACCCTAGAATAGATATCTGTCAAAATTTATTTAAAATCCAGCCATTATTGGAATAACATTTGATTCTTAGATATACAGGGTGACTGGTGAATTACTATCAATATTTAAGGAGCATACTCGGTACATGATTCTCATTCGAATTATGTAAAAAAAATAGGTACTTAATTTTTGACAAAATTTCCGTATAAATAAATAAAGAGTGTACACGTTCCAAGTGTTCCTAGTGTGGACGCGTGCGGGGGCGTGCTGATACAACACTACGCCGCCGCCGCGTCTGTGTGAGTGTTTGTGTATACCTAATCCGTAGGGTGTTCATACGATGCGTAATTAATTACACAACTTTTGGTTAACTTTACTTAGAAGTTTATTAATATTTATGTTATATTAATTTTTATTTTGTCATATATGATCGTCAAATATCACGTCCTCAAATATCGATAGTAATTCACCAGTCACCCTGTATACGTCAATTTTTTTGTATAGAAGATGATGTATTATAAAATTTTATGTTATTAAAAAAATTAGGCATATGTTTATTAATTTCATTTATATAAACTCATTATGGAAATAAAATATTGAGTATTTTCTTCGAATTAACAGAAAGTATTTACGACAACATTGTACGTAAGGAGTATATTGCTCTACATAATAGTCTACATTTAAGCAATTTTTATTTATAAGTAAAATTGACATTCTAATGTACATATACAATATATGTATATAGCTCATATATCAAAAAATCAATACAACTATATAAACTAAATAAGTTGCGTAATATTAAAATGGATATCCTTAGAACACGTTTTCATTGTCAAACTAAATACTTACAGTTTCCAAGTTTTAGTTATAAAACTTTCCACGTGGTAGTACTAACGTAGGTTAATAAAAAGTAAACTAGACTTTAAGGGTATTAAGGTTAAATTTGATTTATCTGACTGACTGACAGAATGAGAAGGTAATCGTAAGGAAATCTGGCCTTATAATATCAAATTATAAGTTTGAAATCACCAACCCGTCTTGAGCTAGCGTGGTGATTAATGCTCAAACCTTCTCCATGTGAGAAGAGGCTCAGCAGTGGGCTCTGATAGGATGATGATGATATATCTGACGATTCAACCTGTAATCTTAATATTCCAGGTGTTGGTAAAACGAGTCTAGTTGTCCGTTACATCGGCAAAATGTTCTCAAAACACATCTCTCCGACCATCGGCGCCTCCTTCTTCACCTGTAACATCAATTTGGAAGATTCCAGAGTAAAATTACAGGTGAGCATCAATATCTTCTTCTTCTACCTGGCAATTTGCCAGCTTCAGCCAGGGTCTGCCTTACATGTTGTGAATAGTTTTGGCTAATTGTTTTACGACCGGCCGCCTGCCTGACATCAACCCTCTTTGGGAAGAAGTGAGCGTCAATATATCTCATATATATTGAATGTATAAAAATTATTTTCATGTCGTAATTGTCTATAGTTGAGTATGAAGTTAGTTTTTTTGTCAAAACGTAATTTGATCTGAGTCGTATTTTGTTACGGTTGCAAAAAAAAATGGGTGTGATTATTTTACATCTATAAAACCCTGATATTATATATTCTTGTTAAATGAAATATTTATCATCGCTATTTGGTCCTTTTAAACTTCCGCAAGACTGGGACTAATACTGTTTCTTAAACAAAAGCGCGTATTTAAAAAAGTCGCAAAAATTCTTTATTGCGTCATCGACGTCTGAGTATCTCAATATACAGGGTGACTGGTGAATTACTATCAATATTTAAGGATGTGATACTTGACGATCATATATGACAAAATAAAAATTAATATAACATAAATATTAATAAACTTCTAAGTAAAGTTAACCAAAAGTTGTGTAATTAATTACGCATCGTGTGAACACCCTACAGATTAGGTATACACACACACTCACACACGCGCGGCGGGGGCGTGGTTTTGTATCAGCACGCCGCCGCACGCGTCCACACTAGGAACACTTGGAACGTGTACACACTTTATTTATTTATACGGAAATTTGGTCAAAAATTAAGTACCTATTTTTTTTACATAATTCGAATGAGAATCATGTACCGAGTATGCTCCTTAAATATTGATAGTAATTCACCAGTCACCCTGTATAATAAAGATATTTGTAAAATCTGATCACATTCATATGCAAATGAAATAAAAAAGTTTAGTCAACAAAACTATTTTGTGGACCAAGATAATCATTATTTCTTCTTGGTAACTGATAAATACCTCGTGATATTGCAATTGCTTTATTTGCTCTTACGCGCAATTGAAGTCGCGCGAGGAGATGTTTAAGAAACAGTATTAGTCCTACATGTTCCTGCAGAAGTTTGAAGTCAGTGGTGCCTAGTGGTTAAAAGGCCCGCCTCTCATGCATGAGGGCGTGGGTTCGATCCGGGCCCGGGCAAGTACCAATGTGATTTTTCCGAGTCATTTACTTTCTAAGAGTATTTAGACATCACTGATTAATGCATTCTTAAAGATTGTTGAATCAGGCAGGGGGCCGGTCGTAAAAAGTATTAGCCAAAACTATTCACAACATGTAAGGCAGACCCTGGTTAAAGCTGGGAAATTGCCAGGTTAAAAGAAGAAGAAGGTCTTGCAGAAGTTTAGAAGTACCAAATAACAATATAATGAAGTTTTAATATCTAAACTTTAGTTTCTCATAGTTATTCAGTTGTTTCTGATATCCAAGGTCTGGGATACAGCGGGTCAGGAGCGTTTCCGGTCCATGGCTCCCATGTACTATAGGAACGCTAACGCGGCGTTACTCGTTTATGACATCACCAGCGCGAACAGCTTCGCGTCCATCAAGAGTTGGGTCAAGGAATTACAGAGGTGAGACCTAGTATAGAGAAATGAGAAATACCTATGATTTTTTTTGCATTGCCAATGCTTTAGCTTTCCGCCCGCGTGGAGTTCGGTTTCCAAGAGAACCTTTCAAAAGTCTGGGATAAAACTATCCTACGTTCTTTCTCAACTCTATGCCTGTACCAAATTTCATTAAAATCAGTTCAGTGGTTTAGGCGTGAAAGCGTAACAGACAGACAGACAGAGTTACTTTCGCATTTATAATATTAATAGGGATATTTGTTATAATTTTTTTTACGATTACTTTTCATATAGATTTTGTTATAGTTAAGTTTAATCCTAGGTGAAGGGCTTTTTAAATATGGATTTTATTTAAATATAATTATTTAAGCGTCATGATAATGCTCAAATTTTATCCATGTGAGATGTCTTTGCTCAGCAGTGGGCTCTGATAGGCTGATGATGTGTGGTTATTTTAAAAGAACCAATTACTTACACTGCTTCTTACTGACTTAGCTTAATACATTATTATAATCTTAATATTTATGCAACCCGAGAGAGTCTTCCTATTACAACAATGCTTGCTTATTCTTATCATTAGAAAGACGGCCACTGATAAAAGTATCGTATGTAATTCTTTAGAGCAGTGTTTTTCAATTTTTTTGATATCGTATCCTGTACGGGTGGAAAAATTTTGGCGATCCCCTTTGTGTGGCACAGGAAAGGAAATTCTTAAAGTAAAAGTCTAAAGACATATTAAAGTTAATGACATTCTCTGCAATGGTGAACATCAAAACAAAAGAGAAATAAACTTCAATTACAAGCTAATTTGATAGTTATGTAATATGTTTTTCGACAATAGCACCACGACTTGACATACTTCTGAAAAATAAACTAGACCTTGATTCTCATTAAGATTTGGATTTTATTGTAGTGTAGAACTTTGCCTTTTTCTTTTTGCCAGAGACCATCCGAATAAGTAAGTAAATTTGGGCCCCACGATACAGGTCTCCTAGTGTGGGGTCTAAAGATAATCAAAATTTTAAAATTGCTAAAACCATAATGCACCTCAACCAATGGAAAACATTGTAATAATTTAAGTTTCAGAAGATTAATTGTGTCATATGTTAATCTATTATGTATCTAAGCATTGTGTTTTTTCAATAAAGTTTATTATTATTTAGTTTGAAAAACACTGCTTTTGACTATGGGCCTTATGTAATATTATTTTGTTTGTTTTTCTTCAGTAACATCGGTGATCCAATAGTATTATCGTTAGTGGGTAACAAATCGGATTTGGAGTGTCACCGCGCGGTTGGTACGTCGGAAGCTGCTCAGTACGCAGCGGAGATAGGAGCGGCATACTGTGAGACGTCTGCCTTACACGATCAGGTGAGGGATAGAGAGGCGGAAGGATTACACACACACACACACAGTCACACACACTCACACACACACACACAAGCAAGAACAAAGACACATCCTAACTCGTATACATAATTTTTCCTATTAAATATAAACGTGCGTAAATTCAAAGGCCTTAGAGAAGTATATAATTAATTATTAAACCTCTTATATGAAACACAACAAATATGAACAATTGTATTAAATTAAGGACTTAAACCATTATTTAATTAAAATAACTGAAATGACTAAACCCTTAAAATTGTTTTCACTAAAGCCTTTGATTACAACTACCATTAAGTTTTTCAATACATAATTCATATGATACAAATACTGAGTCAAGTTGTTTAATTAACAAATGAATACAAATTAAAATTATTATAAATATACATATGTAATATTATATTGATAGAAAATTAATCTTGAAGATAATTAATATATTTAACTTAAATTAGGTGTCATTCAGTATGTAATATTTTGTTTTGCATTTATTAAATTTAAATATATATTTCATTTTTTAAATTAAAGCTAATAAATAAAGATTATTATCAGATTTCATATAAAAATATATCAAAATTCAAATAACTCTATGATTTTTACCAAAATTATGTTGTTTAGTATTGTTTTATTATTTTCTTTTCCAGGGTATAGATCAGGTGTTTCTGAACACAGCGTCTGAACTCCTCAAACTATCAAACACGAGCCTGGTGTCATCACTACGGTCATATGACTCAAATGATGAAGACAAAATACCTATAGGTACAGATATATATAAACATTGATGTACTATTAATAATTTAAAATACAATTATATATGTAGTTCGTTAGACTTAAGCTGAGCTTTGCATTTGTGTGAGTGAAAGTAAAAGTAGTGTTAGACAAAAAACTTTTAGAGTTAAATTTTACTATATTTTAAATAGACACATAACATAAGTGCTATAAAATAAGCACAACTTGTAAAAGTCCAGATGGAAATGTTATGAATATTGGAAAAAAAAATTATTGATTAATAAGAGTTTTGAAAAAACTGTACAAATTATTATTAACTTGACATTGCGTTTTCAACATTTGATATTGCTACCACTACAAAGGGTGAAGTGAGGAAGGCGCGGGGCGGAGTAAAAGCAGAATAAACCGGTTCAAAACTAGAAAAGAACGTGGCATTCAAAAATTTGACATCACACCTACACTATCCGTGTACACTCACACAAATGAAAAGCTCAGCTTAAATAAAACGCACTATACATGTATATTATAAATTATATATATCTATATATATAAAATAAAGTCAAGTTAGTTACACTATTTATAACTCAAGAACGGTTGTACGGATATGGTTGAACATTGGTGGAGAGATAGATTAGAACAAGGAGACGGACATAGGATATTTAATTCTGTTTGATCGAAAAAGAAAACTTAATAAATTCCAATATCTGGTTATTTCTGGCCTCTAGTTCGGAATAGAGTCGCCCGGTCAGCTATACATATATTACTAATGCCAAAATTAAAGTGGATGAAGTCAAAGACAAAAACTAGTATATACATATATAAATAGAGATAGCATTGTCTGTAAATATAATACATCTATAGAATAGTATCAACATTATCTGAGCCAAAAGAAATTCTTATTGCTCATCATACAGATAATTCAACTTTAATTAACTATGATATATGATAATAATTATCGTATACATTATTTATTAAAACTATATGTATATAATTTAAACTAATTTCACAACAAAATTCTATTAAAATATATAGTTATTTCTCAATATTAAACTTTTAATTTAGAAATAAAATTAATATACTATTTTTTTATACAACAGGATCACCTACAGAAGAAAAAGCAACACATATGGGAAAAGTTGAGTTACCGGCTTGGAAGACGGACAAAGTCGGGGAACTACAACGTAGTATGTGCTGTTAAGAACTATGGTATTGAAATATAAGAAGATTTGAGCTTATGACTTACAAATTATTATACATATGTAACTATAGACTAGCACTATGACCATAAATAATGTTTTTTTTAATTTCTAATAAATATAAATTTGAATTAAATGATTGTTTGAATTATATGTATATATACATGACAAATTATTTAATTTTTAACATAATAACAAATTTTCTGTAATACATACATTTTCATATTACTCAATATTTCATAATATTTGACTTATATTAAAATTATTATATTTTTAAGATAAACTCATGCATTATAAATATATAATATGTGAAATGAGTATTAAAATTAAATTACTTGTTTGTATAAGTCTTTGGATTAAAAATTATCTATAGTTTGTGGTTTCCATTTTTTTATTATTGTGTGTTCAACGTTCGATGTGTCGAATTTATTATTATAAGGATAAAAATAGTGCCTTTTATAATATTGTGATATTGTATGATATATAATAAATAGTTTTTCACATATGTCTTTTGCTTTATATACAACCGTCTCCAAAATCGATTCTTTTGCAACGATTAAATCCCTACTAATATTATAAATGCAAAAGTAACTCTTGTCTCGTCAGTCTGTTACGATTTCACGCCTAAACCACTGAACTGATTTTAATGAAATTTGGTACAGAGATAGAGTTGACCTTAAGAAAGAACATAGGATAGTATTTATCCCAGACTTTTGAAAGGTTCTCTTGGAAACGCGATATAACAGAACTCCACGCGGGCGAAGCTGCGGACGGAAAGCTTTGTTAAATAATTGTAATAAGTAATACAAAATCAGTTAAATATATGACATTTGACAACAAGGGGCGTTTTATCATTAAGCAGCAATATTTTACAAAGGATCCTGGCATATAATTATATACATTGAAGTTAAAATCAGCAAAATTTAAATATATATATGTGTGTATGATATATATATCCTTACAAAGTACAGTTGAATAAACTTCTGTCTAATTATAACTGTATTGAGAAATTTAATTGTCCTATACTTTTATACTTCTTTCTATATTGACAAATTTAATATTATTAATTCAATAATGTGATACTTTGACAAGCCTTCATTTGGTTCTGGTTTTCATAATATGCGAAGTAAAACCTCCAATATATATACATAAAGTATTCTTTGTAATAAAACTCATATAAAAACATTGAATACTATATTTTAAATCACAACACATCACTGGCATGTAACTCCGTAACAAAACTAAGATATAACACATAATTTTTAACATATCAATTTCAAAATATACATTTAATTTTTGTATGTATGTCTTGGTCTGTGTAATGATTTGATAGTTAATAAATCATAAGCATAGTCAGGTAAGTAACTTGTATGTAAAGAAAATAATTAAAAAAAAAATATTGTATAGTTTTTTAAATCATACAATTTTGTTTATTCTTTATAATAAGTGACATCTATAATTGAATAGATGAACTACAATTGTGAAAAATATTCAATTAAATATATATTTTTTATAGAAAAATTATTTACTATGTTCTTAAACAAATCTGTATAGACCACAAACATACATGTATTAGTAAAAAAAAGTTCAAAATAAATATACTTAATTTCATTCACATACTTTTTCGTTTAATTTATTTATTGTCAGTGACCTAAGGCACATTTTATATACATTTGATAAATAAAATATTTATCAACATATAAGAGGCATTTGGAAGATTTGGTCAAGAGGCTGTATGGTTCAGTCGAATCAATATTAATACTATTGATATTTAAAAAATTAAGTATGTATGTATATTTGTTACGCCACAAGTTTAAATTGTTGAGCAGATTTCTACGAAACTCCAACAATTTTATAGATCAGAACGAGGGAGACTATTATATATTTATATACAGTGTAAACTCTATATAACGACACTGAAGGGACCGTGCATTTTAGTGCGTTATAGAAAGTTGCCGTTAAATAGAAAGAAGAAAAATCAGAATTAGAAAAAGACAAAGTTTATTTCAGACTAGTGTTAGTACTTATGTACATAAAAAAGAATGTTATAGTTTGAGATTTTGTGAGCAACTTTTTATGTTAACGTATAGGTAATACAAGACTCCTACTTATGGTCAAAAACCGTCGACACGTGTAATCAATTTGTAATTGTAAACAAAAGAACGAATTTCTTAGAAAGTTCGGTATGCATGATAGGGACAGTCGAGTTTATTGCGGGCTAGGATAAAAAAGCGACAAAGGAACGTACACAGCTGCGCAGTTTTTACTAATTTTAGCAACGTAAAAGGTACTTTTTATTACTTAATTGTTGTCGTTATTGAGAGTGGGTGTGCCGTTATGTAGAGTGTACCATTGTATGGTAAACAAGCGAAACCAACCAAAGTCAAATGATTTCGACGCTTTAGAGAGTTTGTCGTTAAATTGAGTGTCGTTATATAGAGTTACACTGTATTATTTTACGTTTAATTTGAATCTATAACTAAATTTAATCTATGGATGTGTATTTCAAAGGTTTTATATTTATTATGTAAAAACTATGTATGTATTAAAAAAATACTCTATGTATTATAGTTCGTCTTTGGCCTCTGAAGGTTCTTTTTCTGAATCTTCTTCAGAGTCATCATAACCTTCGTCTGTCACGTCACCGGCGAATGTCTGCTGTGGCAGACCTGCCGGGCCTCCGAAACCGTAAGGATCTGGACCGTGGACCTGGAAAGTAATTGGCGGAAATTAAACTAATGTTTTCATATTACTAGCTGCGCCCCGCGGTGTTACCCGCGGATTTCCGGGATGTAAAGTAGCCTATATGTTATTCCTGGACGTCAGCTTCCTGTATACAACATTTTATCAAAATCGGTTCAACCGTTTGAGCGTGAAGAAGTAACAAACATACGCACACGCTCACAAACTTTCGCAATTATAATATTAGTAGGATTTTAAACTCCATACTCTTCGTATTTAATGTGATGAAATTTAAACTGATATATTTGGATTATTAAGTATTGTATTATTTTAAACTATATTCTCTTGTTATTTAATGAAATAAGACCAAGTGAGAGATATTCGCAAATCGTTTGAGCGTGATCACGGTTGCTGCAAAGTAATAAATAGGGAGAATGCAGTCATCAGCCTATCAGAGCCACTGATGAAAAGCCTCTTCTCACATGGAGAAGGTTAGAGCATTAATCACCACGCTCGCTCAAGACGGATTGGTGATTTCAAACTTATAATTGTGAAATTATAAGTCCAGTTTTCCTCTTTTCCAGGGAGTATGTAGTTTAAAATAATAGCAACGTTTAGTACATTCATAATATTAGTTTCATTTACATGAGTACTCGATAAAATCTAAGATATCATGATATTAATGATGGAATAGTATTTCAGTTATATATTAGATGACGCATTTTCCTTGCTTCACTTAAAAAAATATCTTGATGCAAGTGGAGTGAAGCGACTTCAGCGTTTTATGACATGAATTAAGTTTTTCGATCCTAAAATTGATATTAGTAGTCCGATCTAATTTTGTTTTTACAAATTTCACCCCAGATAATATTACTATCGAGCAAATAAACCTCTATTTAATCATACATTGTGTTGTTGAGATCATCTCCGTGGATAAATGACAAGAGTCGACTATATAGTGTTAAACGCTTAACTCTATAAGTAGCTTAGTTGTTTGCTGCATCTTTCCTCTCATAATAAATGTATTATTTTTTACTTGTTATTTTTATGAATTTCATACTATTTCTTAATAAATCTCTCATAAAATTCTGACGTAGTAACAGTCGAGCTATCCTAGGGCAATGTTCTTTAGATAAATAAATGAAAATCCATGGTTCCCATGTATAAGGGCTAATGTAGCAAATTAGCGATTTAAACTTTTTTGCCTTAAACACTTCACAATACTACATTCTACAACATCCATTAAAAAAAATGTGTATTTGTTGGTGGAAAGACTTAGTTTTTATTGCAATAAAAAGCATAAGTATTTAAAAAACTAATAGGTTTAGAAAAAAGTTTATCAATATTAAATGTCGTACATGTAAGTCATAGTTGCTATACAAAGTTTCAAGAGCATCAGTTGTATGTACAAGATACATTGAAATCAAACTTAAAACGCCTCTACTGAAAAATTTACATTTTGCACATTGGCCCTTATATATAGGAGCCATCGATATAGTAAAACTAACAAAATCATATTCAGAAATTATTCCTCCTTATAAGTAGACTAGGTTACTTCTTGTGCCATTATCTATGAAGTAATGAAATTCCCATCAAATTCAGTCCATATATATTACCAAGAAAGATACAAAAACTTCTAAAACTACATATATGATGTTATTTTACATATTTTCATTTATATCTTTATTTATGTGTAAATACACTACATTTTTAGTAGTGAGATAGTGTATAAAATATTTTTAAATCATTCTTTGACATTAATAATAAAAGAGTTTCATCTATACATCATTTGTTTCCCTTTGATAGAATAAATATATATACATAAATGTTATATATTCAGAAATCATGTCTTTTCTATTTATAAGAATATTAAAATATTTGGAAAAGATTTAAATTTAAATTCAATTAGTATATGTTATTTTATTTTTTGTGTTTTAGGAAATTATTGAATGAAATATCTGCGTACTGACAATAAAATATTTTGTCTCAATATTATGGAAGTTCAAAATTGTGTTCTGATATTAATAAAAAAGGTTTTGTAATGTTTTTGTTATATTGTCGACACAACTTATATGTTTGGTACAAAATATAGCCTATATATTGTATAATCTACATTATTATAAAGTTACATTAAAATTCGTCCATCATTTCCTTCTTATAAGAGGAACAAACTAATCAATATAAAATCTGTAATTTTCATTACAAAATGAGACGAAAACTTAAGAAAGAATATCAAACACATAACACTTTTTATGTCGTCATCAGCCTATCAGAGCCCACTGCTGAGCAAAGACCTCATTTTCACATGGAGAAGGTTTAAGCATTAATCACCACGCTTGTTCAAGATAATTGCTTGTTCAACTTATAATTGTGAAACTATAAGTCCAGGTTTCCTCATGATGTTTTTCTTCACCATATGTCAGTGATGTTTAAATACTCTGAGAAAGCATATATGACTCGGAAAAATCACTTTGGTACTTGCCAGGTTTGAACCCGCGCCCTCGGCAACGAAAGGCGGGCCCCTTAACCACTAGGCCACCACTGACTTACTCTTTATGTACAGTCAGTTAAATAACAAAATTTAATTACCTTGACATACTCGGCTTCCATTTCTGGTGTCCACGTTGTATCTTCCTCCGTTGGCAACATCCACTCCTCACAATATTTAGCGTGATCGAAACATATCTGAAATATGTAATATATATATAAATACAGAAGTACTGGGTTCGAATCCTGTCTGTTTGGATAAATGTTAAAAATAATTGATAATATTTGTTTGAAGTGATGAATCTCTGTAAAGATATTATTTGATTGGATGTATACTTTATACGAAAATAATATAAATAAATTTAAATTTTGTGTTATTAAATTTTGTTATTCAAATTGGAATAACAGTAACCAAAACTATCTGAACAGAATTAATAGAATATCAATATTAAAACTGTGTTTATGAGAACCATATCTTGTATAAGCTACACTTATTAAGTAAAAAAATAAATAAAATGCGTTAAGTCCCTCCAGGCGGCAGAAGTGAAACTTCGTAACTGTAAACAATTCTGATCCTCTGAATTTGAAGATAGAAAACTGCCCTATTAAATATATTTTACCAAATTAGATTGAATAACTAATTAATATTATCCCTACTATATTATAAAAGCGAAAGTAACTCTGTCTGTCTGTCTGTTACGTTTTCACGCCTAAACCACTGAACTGATTTTAATGAAATTTGGTACAGAGATAGAGTTGACCTTGAGAGAGAACATAGGATAGTTTTTATCCCAGACTTTTGAAAGGTTCTATAGGAAACGCGATATAACCGAACTCCACGTGGGCGAGGCTGCGGGCAAAAAGCTAGTAAATATATTTAGACCGACAAGTACGTATATCATCTAAGTAACGTCGCTCACACTGTTTATTTTGCTGCATAGCAACAACACCGACTCTCTCTTTCTCACTTCTACTTTCTACATTCGTATATCTTTCTTTCTCACTCCCTCAGCGTAAAACGTTTAATGCAACTGTATACGAATTCGCATTAGAAGTTTCACTTCAATATAAAAATACGCTAAAAAATCTCCCCAAAATATAACACAATTAAGAAATAACGCGGTAATTAATATATTTTAACAATAAAAACCAACACTTCGTTCTATTTAAAACTGGCTGGAATTGAAGCGGAAATTTAAAAAAATAATTGTCAAATTAATTAAAACCGCCAAGATTAATGACAGCAGCTGTCAAACTAAACCGTGACTGTTATTATTTTGACGTTTACATGTAACATTGTTTACACAACTTGTGTATACACTCACGCACACAAACATATTTCAACACACACACTAACATACCTCTCTCTCCGCGTCAGGCATGACGTCATCCTCCGGCCGATTCTTATACAAATCGGTGATTTCCTCCTCATTGTCTTCGAACATCCGCTCACACTGGAATTCAACAGATTATATATTAATTACACAGATTAAAATTATCTTTAACAACCAAAGAGTTTTTATAGTATCAACTATAACATTAGATTTATAAAAAACTTCTGTTATAAAATGCTATACAATTGACATACATTATACACGAAAATTATGTGTATTTGTTACCATTACCATAATTATATTCTTTGGTTTATATTATATGTTCGACTTATTATAAACATAAATTATGCTGGTTTACTGAAACAATGTATGCATGGATAGACTTGTTATAGGTAAACAAATGATCAATTAAAAAATAATAATAATAAGATGTTATACACTACAGGATAATAACTATTATAGTACACAAAACATCATCATCATTTGTTTAGTGTATATATATCATTATGGTCAACATATACATTATACATATATATACAAACATACTAACTACAATATTAATTCTCAATACTACATATACTCACATAATATTCCAAACTCTTGTTCAGATCATCATCAGTAACAAACTTGGCCTTGCTGAAATCTGGGTTCATACCATTTTCCGTCATCAATTGCATGATTGCCAGTTTACCTGTCGCCTTGTAATACACACGGACATAATCATCCATTTTCTTACCTGAAAATTATTATTGTAACTATGATTAATGGCAACTATTATATTATTTTATACTTTATGGTATAAAAGTGAGGTATTATTCAGTTTTTAGTGTCTATTGTACATATATATTATGAATTGTTTAATATATGAGAAAAGTTAATAGAAAAAAACTTAATAATATTTAATACTAGTTTTTGCTAGAAACTTTGCATTAATTTCAGAATATGTAATATATAGCTGACCGACGAATTCTATTCTTTCTTAAAAATAGTAAGTAAGGAGATTTTGTATTTTATCAACAATTTTTTTTGTTCTGATGAAAAATATCCTTTGTAATTTTCCTGGTTCTAAAGTATGTCTCCACCAATTTTCAACACAACCCATACAGCCATTCTTGAGTTAAAAATAGTGTAACTAACAAGACTTTATTATCTTATATATAAAATTCTTGTGTCACGGTGTTAGACAGAGAACTCCTCAGAAAGGGCTGGACCGATTTTGATGAAATTTTGTGAGTGAATTGAGTATGTCTGAGAATAGGCCAACATCTATTTTTCATACCCCTCATTCCTCTGTTCATCCTTAATTTTCTTACTTTTATATCCGGACGAATTTTTTTATAAAATAGCTTCAAAAAATACATACAACCCACAATTTTTGCTCTTCTATCACCAATCCCTATTTTTTTTATATGACAAAACGACGTTTGCCAGGTCAGCTAGTCTTTTTATATATTAAATGGCATAAAAGTGGAGTTTCATACAACTTTTAGGGGCTATTACAAGAAAAGTATTCAATGTGTAGTAGATAGCTTTTGCCTGCGACTTTGTGCAAGTCAATTTCAGAATAAGCAATATATAGCTGACTACTAGAACTCTGCTTTTCCTTCAAGGCAATCAATAAGGTTTTGAATTTTATCAACCTACTTTTGTTTTTAATTGTATCAAAAGTAAGTATTTTCCTTGTAAGCTATCTCTAAACCAGTTTTCAGCCAAACCTGTACAGCTGTATTTGATCTCAACAATTATCAAAGAAAGCAGTTCTCAAAGGTATAAATAATGAAACTAAAACAACTTCATTTCATATAAATTATATATATCCTACTAATATTATAATTGCGAAAGTTTGTGAGTGTATGTGTATGTTTGTTACTTCTGCTCGCTCAAACGGCTGAACCGATTTTGATAAAATTTTGTATACAGGAAATTGACGTCCAGGATTAACACATAGGCTACTTTACATCTCGGAAATCCGCGGGGCGTAGCTAGTAAATTCTATAAATTCAGAAGAATTATAAAAAAATACTATCAATAAATAATTAAATTATTTACAATATATATACTTTAATTTTAACCATCTACAGTAGTTTTATCTAATCTTGTTATCAGCATTTATATTAAGCTCCAATGATATTATACAATATAAAAACGAAAAATTTAAATATATATTGTAATGTATAAACTCAAATTAAATTTTATGAAAGCATGAAGGTTTTTCAAAGCCAAAAGCTATTTTGATTTCTCTTCTATATTTTAATACTTTACAGAATGAAAAGACATCCAAAGTTATTATAAGAGTTGTCTTAGAAAGACAGTGGCTATTTCTTATCCAGTGAAAAAGTAAGCTAGCTAATATAGTAAAAAAAACACAAGGAAACAAGTAGGATTTGAACCAGCAATCAATCTAATACCAGTACTTTCTTCCATTGAACTACGCATCACAAATCATATATTATATATCAAAGAATTATTCAGTACATATATCATTTAATATTTAATTTCATTTTTAACTCTATATTGCTGTATAAAAAATATAAGTAGTAAGTCATTAATGATATACTATGCTTACAAATGCCGTCAATAACTTCGGAGATATACACAGCCGATCTATGAGCTGGAACCTTCTGCTGCATAGTATTACCGCTGGCATCCATTCTGAAGTTACCAACCTGAAGTTGAAATAGACTTGTAAGTTATTTTGTTATATACAAATTTATGGTATACTTTCTTACGTTTTTCCAGTTAAATGAATGGTTTTAAGAACATCAGACATCACATTATTAAAAAATAAAATTTAAATTATCCATAAGAACGTCAGAATAAAAGTCCAAAAGTCTAAATTTAATGTGAACCTATCTATCGCAAAACAGGAAAATTTTAAGAAAAATAACTTACATCCACTTTTTTCCACCTTTCAACGTTTTTGATAACATTATTTAATTCTTGAAACGTGGTACGGCACACTGAAATATTGATTTAAAATTTATTATGAGTATAAAAAAGAAATAAACCGAGAATTCCTATATAAAACAAAAACACACCTAAACACCTTAAGTTTTGAGGGTCTATCTTAGCCGTTACTGCTCCTAAAAATACCGCAAAAGTTAAAATGATAATTTTTAATTCCATTTTGTTAAACTTTTAACTAGATTGATGTTTAAATCCTTTACGAATCTTTTTATAATGACTTCAAAACTTGTTCTACGTGTAGAGCTGTTTATCAAATTCTGTCAAATACACGCACTCCTTTTTGATTGGTTACTGTGATTTTAATATTATCCGGTCCATGGCAACATTATGAATTAGAGTTTTAATACTATTTAATTAACTAATAATACTATTAACTTCGCTCCAATTTTCTATTCATACTCTCTGATAATAAAATATAATTTGTATATATTTTTTCAAATTTAACCTTAAAATTTTTATCAAGGTTATTCATAATTAATCTCTTTTAGTTGTTAATATTTAAAATATAATTAAAAATTATTACACTGGCAACAAAATATAATTACATTGAAATAATGTCAACCTCGCGCCGTATGGATTTCAGGTATTATTGTGTGTATGCCCGAACTATCAATCAAAATTTGAACGGATGTCAAAACACAATCTTATAAAATTAACTTGCCTATTACTCAAAAATTATAAGAACAAAATGTATTTATTAAATAAAATTTGAATTAAGTAATATAAAAAAACCTATTTCCTGATTTTGTTTCTGAATAATGATTAAAAAGTGCTTGTCCTTTCTTGTTTCTTTGCTCACCCATTCTCCGGTTTTCCGCCCGCCTCCCTCCACCACCAACCGACCCAAACTAAACCAACAGTTCGCATTCGGTCTCTATGCGCGTAGGACGTATGCTAAACGGAATGTATATTTTTTTTGTGCATATTAAATCTGCCCAAAACCTCAAAATACCATAATCTACTTGTTTATTTCATCGACAAGTGACGTTCCTGTGAAAATTGTGAAGAAAGAAAGCTGTTTCGAGTAAAAATACAGGTGAGTGACTAGTTGACAGACTGCGTCTTATCCTATTCAATGCTTATTAATTAAGTTTTTTAACGATTTCCATTACATCTTTAACAAATCAAAGCAATATTGTAGTAGGAACGTAAAAATTGAGAGCCATATTGTCTATGCAAGAACCACATCTGTGTCATTCCATCCGTTTCATTACGTAAATTCTAATATAAAAAAGAAATGTTCCCAAATCGTATCAATATTCATCATCATTTCGAAAGTATTGGCGAAAAAAAATTGTTTATTTCATAATGATACCGCGCGCTCTCTACGGCGACTTGGCAACTCGAAGTCGAGTTAATTGTGTAGAAAAGTGTACGGTCGTAAACAAGCAAGTGGTGATTCCTGCCGGCGTTTCCCTTTGTTTTCGGCGTAAAATCGGCCCTTTGTCCTTGTCCGATGAGCGCAGGGTGCGCCGGGTATAGGAATTTCGACTCTAGAAAAGTGCAATAATACATGATGATATACATTCATCGCTCGGGCCGCGCTCCGCCGTTCCCCGCGTCGCTTCTCATTAGTGTGCTAGTGTATACGTACACAATGTACGCGAATGTGGCCGTGCGGTAGTTTGTTTATAGTACCGGCTGCGGTATAACGGCCCATATTCCTATAGCTGGAAGGCGCATATTCGTATATAGGTCGTCGTCCTCGCCGCCGTTCGTCTATCGATCTCAGTGGTGGCCAATGGCATAATATGTCCTGCGCGGCCCTGCCTCGCCCCGCTCCGGTGAAAGCTGCCGCGATGTATCACACTAGTTATATTATATGTACCGTCTTATCTTGTTAGACGTTGTTACGTCGCCCGCTTTGTCCGGCCGACTAGATTTGATGTATATTGTACAAGTATCTATGTATGCACGTATGTATCTGTGTGTGTGTGTATGTGCGTGTGTGTGCGGTGGTCGTGATGGATGTTTTGTCGTCGGGGCGGGGGAGCGAGCCAGAAATAGAAGCGCGGTGTTGGAAAGCGAGCGACGTGGCAACACCTCGTTATATCCGCTCTGGGCTCAGTGTCGGTTCAAAATGGCGGCTGTGCGTGATCGATATCGTGATATTAATGTTAAAATGTCCGTTATTGTGATGTATATGGTTGTTGGTCGGCCCGTGCGGTGCCCTGTGACCGCGGGGCATGTCCCCGCTGTGCCCAGTAACCCGGTGCACGATCTATGTACGTATCTCAACCATACTGCGCCGACACTACACCTAGCTATGGTTATGCCTAACGAAACTAAGACTAGACTAGAGTTATCACTCGCGTACCCAAACCCGCCCTCGACTAGGTCCAGCCTAAATGTTAAGGTGCCAGTAATCGGATGTCCGTTACAATTGCAGGTGTTACGTAACAATTAATTTTTGACTACGCCACGTTTTATATAACCGAATATAGTTTTTTGTTAGCCGAATTACACACGTCGTGCGGAGGATGTAAAAAATAATATACGAATTAAGTGGCTCATTATGGCGAACTTGCATCCGACATATCGTATCAAAATGGCGGCGCTCGTAAAAATTAAGACGCAATACGCTTAGCTGGCAACGTCGCATTACGATACACAGTCACTTGCTAAGATAAGAGAATTCAAGGCTGAAAGTTTCGTGCGATCATAACAATGGATTAAATTCATGCGTGATAAATTATTTTGTATTGATTTGGCAATGCAATTATTACGTTAGCTTTAGGTTGTACTATAGGTAACACTCACACAGGTGCGAAGTTACACACACATAGATATACAGTATATAGTAACATTACACTACACACATACGTCGTCTTTGTGTGAGTAATACAGTTTAGGATTATATCATCGTTTTGAACAGCTTGTAAACAATCCATTTATAAAAATATCTTTTTATAGAAGACTTATATCAAAATAATCATTTCATATATCAAGATTTCGCAAATAACTTTCATTTTTTACATTATTGAATTAAAACAATAATAATGTTAATATTACTAATAAATATTATATTGGTTAACTTTTTTACACATTGCTTTGGAATATATCTATCTTTCCGCCTTTCTTTTTTACCTACATTAATATCCGTTCAGTAATTATTATGTTACATTCAAAAACAAGCAAAACATTTTCAGAATATAAATTACTATAATATCAGTTATGTAAAACGAAATAAAAGAAATCGTACAGAAGATTAAAAATGTATGACAAAAGACTTGATTTGGACCCTAAAGAGGGCTGGATTCACCCTCCTCTTTAAAACGAAATCAATATTATGAAATACATGTATATATAGACTTTGTATTATCTCGTGATATCTGTATATACGTAGGAATATTCTCCTACTCTTAATATTATTGTCTAAATAAGAAATAATTAAAGTGTTTAAGCCATAACAACGAGTATAGATAGTTATACAGTATATACATATATAATATATTTGACACAAAGTACAAATAAAAATACTTATAAGACCATAAATATAATATAAAAGATTAAAAAATTATTAATTTTGTTTTTATTGAATAAAAAACAATACATTGTCTATGCTCGAAATTACATTGTTTTGTTTTTTGTTGCTTATCAGCGATTTATCGATTCCTTTCATGTTTTTATTACAAAGTCATCTGTTTACTAAATAAATTATTAAACTTGTGTAATATAAGAAAACAATAAAAATAAACGCTACAGGTTTTCTTAAATAGATTGATAAATATCGCGAATTTTAATGTCAAGTTCAAAAATCAAATTTAAACTTTCAAAAACTTTCAATTCACTTAACATAAATATAGTAATTTCTGAACGAATCCTTTATGTCAAATATACAAAATCTCCGTTCAGAAACCTGAATAATAAATATATTTGCTCACGAATTCTGAAATACTACCTGACCTACGGCAATTGTCCCTACATTAATCCGTATTCTTGGTAATATTTTGTGTAAATTTTCTTTGTAATACTTTAACTTTATCTTATTATTATATGAAACAAAACATTTTTAAATTCGTTTTTTTATATTCATTTTATTAACTTTTCATATTCTTACGTTTTTAATAAACAAAGAATGAAAAATATAAACGTTTGTCTGGTTTTTCCTTGTACTTATTAAGTACAAACGTGTTTTTAATGGCGTCGGCTGAGTATTATAAAGCGATCGAGGTTATATCGAGGCAACAAGGTTCTATATAATTTTTTTTCGTAATAAAAAATGGCCTGTCCTTCGATTTCAAATTAAAACTATTTATAATACCCATTTATGATGCAAGTCGCGTTAATATGGTAACACCAGTAAGTGGACGTAATACTGTTTTTTATCTTACAAGCTAAACAAGATTCAGTGAAATAATTTTGCATCTCTTTTGTCATAGCAAAGTATTAAGATCCATTCGAGTTAGCTTTATATGTATATGTGATTTTTACGGAAGTCTAAATATGGCGAATACGCAAATAACGAGGTCATCATAAATAGTTTAGTTTGACTTGCATTTCACTATATATAATTTGGCGGGAAACAGATATGGCGGCGCCTAGCTGTTGGTATGAACGCGACTGTTGTATAATTTTAGAGAAAGGAGATTTGTTTTGGTCCACCACCTCCGTGGAGATTCGTCCGTGGTATTTCATAGCAAGTCCGTTTCGCTCGCTATTATATGTTGCGAGGTTGCCGCTCCGTGCCGGCTCGATCGCTCGCTGGATGTAAAGCCGCCGCTCCACAGTCAGTCGGCCGCGCAGCTCGGTGCGCGACGTTCGTGCGCGGAGGGTTTGTTTGCGTCCCGCTCGGCCCCGCGCCCCCCCCCGGACCCCGCCCCGCAGCAGCTAGATAGAGAAGAGCTGGTGTTAGAGTGAGACGACGCTATGGCAGTGTCGCAACCTCGCCCACCTGACCGTGTTGACGCCGCGTTCGAAAAAGTTGCGCCGTTGCGCTATTTGGAGGCGCACGAATGTGCTCGCTCTGAGCTCACAGTGACGCGTTATTATCATAAACCCTTGTCTTAAAACTGTTTGTTGAATCATCGTCAGGTGGAATACCGTTTGATTATCTATATCGACGTTCGATTTGGACGCTGAATATTACTGGTACGTATTTTCATTTTATATACGAAAAATTCTAAAGCGTCAGGTCGAGACGTTATCTTACAACGTGATAAGTAGACACTCGGATCTCAATATGGATCGTGTTTTAAGATATATTTATAATTAAATCAGAACTTGTGGTAGCTCATTGTAATTGTTGGTATTTAATCGCCATTTTCTACGGCCGGTGACGAATACCACCGCGCCGTCCTCGTTTCTACCGGCCCACGGTAAACCGGACTTTACCGCTCTATTCTGAAAGTCCATTACGTTTAAATGTTGACTTGACTCCACTTAGGAATGATTCATTGTAGAAATAATAAAAAATGTTACCCTATCTGCAATGAAAAATGTACAATGTAAGGACTATATAATACGTATAACATGTACGAATTAGTGAACGTTGCGCGCCATTGAAATAAAAAGGCGGGATCATGGATAACGTAATGACGTTTTATGTTTTCGTAATTTGTTGTAAATTTGAGATGGTTATGTTATCCGAGCAACATTTTGCGTCGTCTTCGAGTTGTGATTGTACATAGCTTGTATATTATCGATTTGTATACGTTTTCCGCTATAAATAAGTGCGAGTTTGTGTCATCGCGCGACCGGTTTCTTCGGATCTGTGTGAGTGCCGTAAATTGATTTGATTCCGGAGTTAAGCGTTTCGACTACAGCTCTGTGTTTGATATTAAGTTGCGTAATGTTTAGGAGGCTTGATGCAGAATGCGTTAGCGTTGTCACGTATTCAGATAGTGTAAATCGGTTGGATCGACCCACGCGAAACGCGATGACGTCACTCGAAACTTAAACACCCCGACATTTGTTTTCATAAAACATCAATACAATACCCGTTATAGATTACGTAACACGGGCTGTATGTAATTCTATATGCAGGTAAATGACATTACTTAGATTAGATAAACAATATCCTTCTTGAGATGCGAGACTTTTCAACATGTGACAAACCGCGTGACGCAACCAATGAATGAAGTGGACCATGCGGTCAAATCGTATAAATAAATAATTTTGTATTGAAATAAATTACCGTTAGAACAAGTACGTCGTGTAAATAATTGAATGTGTGGAAAATTTCGAGAAAAATTGCGAAATCATCCCCCAATCCCGTTGCTCTTACTCTATGTTAGTGTCAACTGCGTACAGGGGGACATATTGACTTAGCATTGGAAGCATCACTACCTAGAATGGGTTGTGGTGTCCGAAAATGTTAATACATATGTACATTTATATATATAATTAAGAGATAGTAGGTATAAATTACATCAATAACGTAGTTTTAACGACAAAAAACCTAAAAAGGATCTTTAGAGATCACTTACAAAGTTTTATTATTATATTTTAAGTCAACATAGACATAAATAGCTATCCGTTTTGAACCCGTTACCTGACTGTATGATAGTAAAGTATTCAATAATAACAGAAGTATGTATAATTCCAGGTGATTGTGTAATGGAAGGCTGATAGCCATGATGAAGAGAACGGGTCCCCGCTTGGGCCCTGACGAGCCCTCGCAGCTAACCCCATCACCCGCTCAGGTTAGTACTTATACAACAAGTTTTTAAACATGCCGGAAACATTTCGAACAAAAAAATGTCAAGAAAAATGAGTTTAAAGGGTATACATATCCCTAGAAGAGATTTCTTCCACTTTAGAAAGAAGAAGTTTAAACAGAGAACTATACAACTACTTACTGTACAAAATAGGCTTACAAAACTGACAAATGTAACGATTTTATTAAAATATGTATGTGAAAATTTTCATTATTAAATAATTATTTTGTTTGTCATTTTATTGACTACAGTAATGATACTTCACTATGCCCTCTTAAATATTTAATGTTTAAAGTGCTCTCAATACTATAATAGCAAAAAAAACTGCTTTCATCTGAAATTTCAACATAAAATATGTTGTTTTCGTGTTTCCATGATTATTAAGTACTCAAAAATTATTTTTATTGCTGTTTAAATGTGCTATTTGCTAGTGTAGACCAAAATTTCAACTTTTCTATCATTCATTCAAATCTTTCATAATTTTCCATAACCATATTTATTATATTATATTATAGTGGTACCATGTTACATATAATTTTTTTATGTCTATGAATAAAATACACATTTTATTATTTGAAATTTAATTGTGGTCAGCGTAATATCAGGTTATTTGTTTGAAACAAAAAACTATTTCCATACAAGGATAGTGTAATAAAAACTTGTAGATACCATAGTCTTGTTTAATAAAAAAGTTCTATAAATAAATCTTGTATAAACATCATGTAATCTATAGAGATGAAGTTTTTTCTACAATTAATTGTAGTTTAAACTGCATGAATATACAAATAATTGATGTAGACGTATAATTAGGTCAGAATATTATGTTATAACTTTGTTAGCATAAAGGTTTTAGTTAACCAATTTTGTATGACACTTTGACTTAAATTATTTTATATGAGACTTCACTTCAAGTTATAATTGACTTGTTTAATAAGACTAATATATGTACTGGAAGCAGTTGATAGAAATTCAATTTGAATGTTAGAATTATATCTAAACTTTAGTAGCAATTTTATATATAAACTAGTTGATGCCCTGCAGCTTTGTCTGCCATAATTCTTTGAGATACAAGACCTTGTTATAATGAGGTTTAATTTTACTTCATAAAGGCCCTTTATTAGATCCTGACTTGGTGACTAGAACTATTTATTATAGGACAGTACCCTTTCAATTAAAAATAAATTTTGAAGGTGCCTTTAATTGATGTAGTAATAGTATAGCAACCAAAGAATATCGAGGAGTACTTTTTTTACCAGGTTTAGAAAAAATCCTACCTCAGAGTAAAATGTTCGTCATCGGTCCAACCTTTGTAGAAATTGTTAAATTTGAAATTTTGGTAGTAGGTATTTTTTTTATTAACATTTTTTCTTGAATAATTTCATATCATCTTGAAAAAGGGATGTTAAGAAAGAAATTTATTCTAGAAACTCTTGAAGTAAGCTGAAAATACAAGAAGTTTTTAATTCTTTCCTGTGAGCTAAGTCATAATTGATATAATTTAAACACATTTATTAGTTTTGATTACTTTAACAATTTTATAAGTATTTTATAATATGTTAAGGATATATGAAATTATTTTATCTTAGTTTATACACATTCATGCTTGCTTCATATTAAATGGATTATAATTGAAATTCATACATTTTGAATTGAAATAATATCTTAAATAGTAATTTAGGGAAGAAATTTGAAAAAATTAAATTCATTTCATATAGTAGGTACATTGTATTTTTCCCATAAGAGGGTTGATGTCAGGCAGGTGGCCAGTCGTAAAAACAATTAGCCAAAACTATTCACAACATGTAAGGCATACCCTGGCTAAAGCTGGGAAATTGACAGGAAGAAGAATAATAGTACATTGCATTATCGTTGTTTAACTTTGTATTTGATACATATTAAATATTTTCTATGAAGAAGAAACATTGAATTAAAGATAAAAATAATTAAAGCATATTACAATATTTAGTCTTGGATTACAAATAATTTGCTCTTTACCATACTATAAATATTTAGGTGTTTTTTTTTTCTTCTATATAAATCAATGTAAAAAAATTAAAAAAAACTATAATAAGTAGATTTAATTATGGTCTTAAATTTAACTTATTTTCAATAAAATTGTTACTCTCAATATTATAGCCCAATTAAATGTAACTAATCACTTACAAGAATAAGCTATCAATTTGTACATAGTTTATATACGTAGATAAAACCAAGTCAAAATACTTGTATGGAAAAGCCTTGCGTGAAATCGTTTAATATATATAGTACTCTACTATTTGAAACTAGGTATTTCCAAATTTTCTCTCATTATCATCTGTGTATAATCCTTTGGCACGGCTTCAAGAGTGCAGTGACATTAGAGGAAGTGACGTAATTCACATCCAGAACGGCTTGATGTATAGAAATTGATCACGTGCTAATTGTGCCGAGTCGCGGGATAATGTAGTATAATTAATTACATATAAAAAATAAATATATAAATGTAATTAAACTACTCTTACATATACTATTAAAGTTCAATTTACTATAGAATGTTTTCATAGTAGCAATTCTACATATGTATATGACATAAAGTATGTCAATTGCTCACAATAATATATTTTTTTGTGTATATTTTCATCTTCTATATATACAGTCGTCTATGTATTTATGTATGTATATTAGTTTATTATAGAAACATATAAGTCTTAATGATTTATCACCCATACAACCTGATACACTGAGGTTATCAATAAATGCATTATCACATGGAATTGAACATGTTATTAATAAAGCACTAGTTGTGTTAGCTGACTCTGTCTGTTACTGATGTTTTAAAAATTATTACATGTATAAAGATTTCTTTGATAGGTATTTTTACGTAAGTGCGGCATACATTTTATTAGTTAAATAAATAATATTTACAAGTAGTTTTTAGTATAATGATTGAAATTCTTGTTTAGTATGTTACTACATAAAGAGTACATATAAATAGAAAAGAAATATTTTTCTTATATATTAATTCTTATTTTGAAAGTGAAATACTTTTTTCAGTGAACAATTGATATTTAATAGCTATGCAATATTATAATGACCTAACTACAGTAGTTAATGCGCGCAAATCGTTGAAGAATACATATTTTCTTTTAACTGGTATTATGTTAATAAGTAGGTACGGAAATTAACAGCTGATATAATACAATAAGGCGTTTATAATTACTTATGTATATTGTTACATGTTTTTTTACCTTATCGTAGTTACGAAATTTACGTAAAAGTAGATCGTGGCCGATCTTAAAATAGTAGGTAGTTAATGGTTGAAGCACTCTGTACTGAGATGTCTCTGAAAGATTCTTTACATTTGTTATACAGACATCAAACATTTTAACTAATTAACAAGTATGTACTAGTAATAATTAGTACTACATAAACTAGCTTTAGCCCGTGACGTTGTCTGAGTTGACTTAGAAATATATGAGAACCAATTGGCAGTGTCAATTATGATTTGCCTTCATACTAAAGCAGATTAATCTGTGTTCCCTCGGGAGCTAGACGGTATTTTGGGATGTATTGTAACCTATATATTGTTCATACATAACTGAGGAGTTACATCAAAATCAATTTAATACATTCTGCTTAATAACTTAACTGACATTCATTACAAAACATGTCTAAATATATTCAAAGTCCCCCAATCCCGTTGCTCTTTCTCTATGTTAGTGTCAACTGCGTACAGGGGGACATATTGACTTAGCATTGGAAGCATCACAACCTAGAATGGGTTGTGGTGTGCCGAAAATGTTAATACATATATACATTTATATATATAATTAAGAGATAGTAGAATATTAAGACATCTTTGGGCATATATATCCTTGAAATTCACTTAATTATTGTCTTTTTATTATACATACGACTATTTCTTCATTATTTTGTTTTATTTTGTTATAGATACAACAAGCGGGTGCGAGTAACATACATAATATAAGTCAATCCGGACAACCGCAATTATTGGGTGAGTTAATACAGATTTAATATAATTTAAATTATTTATAGAGATGATGATGAAACACATGCGATGTGCGATGCTGATGTACATTGATGATACAAGCATGCTGCCTTCCTTCTGATGTCTCTAATAATTTTATGGAAATATTGATGGCTCCTATGTATAAGGGCCAATCTGCAAAATGTAATTTTTGAGTAGAGGTCTTTTAAGTTTGATTTCAATGTATCTTGTACATACAGCTGATGCTTTTGAAACTTTGCATAACAACTATGACATACATGTAAGACATTTAAGATTGACATTTTTTATTTTTATAAATATACTAGTTGTTTTTATATACATATATATTTGTAACATACATTATATAAGCCCTTTTATTAAAAAAATGTGTTATTTATGCTTCTAACTGCAATAAAAAATAAGTCTTTCCACCAACAAATACACATTTTTTTAAAAGGATGTTGTAGAATACAGTATTATGAAGTGTTTAAAGCAAAAAAAATGAAAATGGCTAAATAGCTACATTGGCCCTTATACATAGGATCCATCAATGTCTCTGTAAAGTCATATCATAAAGATAGAATCAATATTTATGTATTTGGTACTCAATAAACAATACTTCTTCAATACTGTAAGTTATTTATTGTATAGTAAATAATATTTCGTCTAGGTGCAGCTACTATGCTGTCTGTGGGCGGAAACTTCAGTCGTCCGCGTGGCAATCCGCCGGTCATCAACTATTTGAAGGCTAACACGGTGCAGTACGCGCCGCCTAAACCACAGGCGCCTAGACTCAAGGTAAATACTAGAAAACCTATATACTTGTAGATATCTATAGACATAGTACTTGAATTGAACTTAATTTGTTTTAATATAAGCTGCGCCTCGCGGTGTTAAACGCGGATTTCCGGGATGTCATGTCGCCTATGTGTTAATCCTGGACGTCAGCTTGCTGTATACTAATTTTTATCGAAATCGCTTCAGCCGTTTGAGCGTGAAGAAGTAACGAACATAAACACACACACAAACTTTCGCAATTATAATATTAGTAGGATTGTCGAAAAGAAATTATTTTAGTTCCATATTTTCTTCAAAAGAATAGTTATAAGTAGGGATTTATTAACACTTAATCGTCCCCCAATCCCGTTGCTCTTTCTCTGTGATAGTGTCAACTGCGTACAGGGGGACATATTGACTTAGCATTGGAAGCATCACTACCTAGAATGGGTCGTGGTGTCCGAAAATGTTAATACATATATACATTAATTCTTTTACATATAGTCAGAACTAAATATAGTATGAGCTAAACAAAATTTCGACGATTTTGTGGAAACGACTCAAGTAAATAATAACAGCGTCCAAATACTGTTTAGTCATCGATTTGTATACATAAAGATAAGATACGTGGCGTATCTCTCTAAGGAACAAATATAAGAATATTTTTAACAAAAAATTAAAACGAAGGAGGTAATTTAAGCTAGAAGTTAATATAAATTTTAATTAAGAAAAAAGTTCTATTATTAACAAAAAATAATCATGGAAGTCAATTGAGATTACAATATTTTTAATGCTGTCTTTAGTTGGTAATTTTAAAACCTCCTCATGAAGTATATTTATTGTGAGAGCCAAATCAGTTTGATTTGTTTACAAATATCACAGTGCCTGATATATATAAAACTAGCTGCGCCCGCAGATTTCCGCGTCGTAAAGTAGCCTATATAGTACTTAGTAGTAGCCTGGGGCCCCTTAAACCTACACTTGGGTCGCAAGTCCCAGGCACTGTTGAAGCTCCTCTCCCTGCAACGCGATGGACCCGGCACCCGCACGGTGAATCCATGGAATGCTGAGAAGTTTCGTCTCTTCCTGGACGTTAGCTTCCTGTATATAAACTTATCAGAATCGCTTCAGCCGTTTGAGCGTGAAGAAGTAACAAACATACAACACACACTCACAAAATTTCGCAATTATAATATTCGACTACAGAGATCGGATAAAGTTTTGTCATTATATCGTCAGAGATACAAAAATTGTATAAAAAATATTTCTGTGCACAACAACTAGTGAATTTAGCACACAATCTATTTTAGTACAACCTCGTAGTAGAATATATTAGTAGGATAATATACATACAAGTTAATTTTCCCTACTAATAGTATTGTTTTTTCTCAGCTGGTCAGCCAGCAGCCAGCAATGATCCCCGGTCGCCAATCTCCACTGGGTGCTCCGCTGCCAGCACCCCCGGCTGCACAATTCCAACGCTTGAAGGTGGAGGATGCCCTATCATACCTCGACCAAGTCAAGTACAAATTCAACACACAGCCCCAGGTCTACAATGACTTTCTTGATATAATGAAGGAATTTAAGAGCCAGACGTGAGTATTAATCAATATAACAATAGTTTTTTCTCTGATTCTTACTTATTATACATATTTTTAGTTTTTCACCTTGTAGACTAGCAGACGATATAGTATGTATATTTCTTGTACAACAATTTCTTTCTCTTCATGCCAATTTCCCAGCTTTAGCAGGGTCTACCTTGTACAGCAATATATAACATATCATAAATGATGATATTAATTACCGTTTGAATGTCATGAAAAATTGTATGGCTGCATTACACTGATATAAACATACAACAAAGTTTGTCCGTCTCACTGCATAACAACAAGTTGTACTATAGTGTCGCTTCCAGGATCGACACGCCCGGAGTCATCACGCGGGTATCGAACCTGTTCAAGGGACATCCGGAGCTGATCGTTGGCTTCAACACCTTCCTTCCGCCCGGGTATAAGATCGAAGTACAGAGTAATGGACAGGTGAGAGATCTCAAAATAATATACATACATACATACATACATACATACATACATACATACATACATACATACATACATACATACATAATCACGTACCCACCAGTCCATTTTCACAATATATTCTTAGGTATTCATGTTTGAAGAAGCCTCTGCTCGAAACGCTACTATAATTTATACACAAAAGTATTTCCCTACTATCAGACCAACTAATAAGCCATCTTAATTAAGATACATTTATAAAATACTAGCTTTCCGACCGCAACTTCGCCCTCATGGAGTTCTGTTATATCGCGTTTCCAAAAGAACCTTTCAAACGTCTGGGATAAAAACTATTGTTCTTTCTCAAGGTCAACTCTATCTTTGTACCAAATTTCCTTAAATCATTCAGTGGTTTAGGCGTGAACGCGTAACAGACAGAGTTATATTCGCATTTATAATAGTGGGGATCATAATAAAAATATACCAATTATTACTAGGTATCAGTGTCGATGCCATCGCCCACCGGTGCAGGCTGCCCACCAGCGGGCGCCGTGGGCGTGGGCGTGGGCGCCAGTGGTGGCGTGGGCGTGGGCGCTGGTGGTAACGCTGTCGGCGTGACCGGCGCCGGTGTGATGATGGGCGTGCACCATCCGCCACCACAACCACAACTCGTCCATTTACTGCCTGTACCACAGTAAGTATATGTTCTATATAATCAATACTAATAAATGAATTTCCGTATATACTGTATACATATGTAGGGCCGGATAAATATGTATTAAAAAATCTAAAATATGTACATAAAATATGGACGAAAAAATCTAAAATATGAAAAAAATATGGAGTATAAAATAAAATATTTTCATAATTAAACATTGTTTTACTATAAGAAAAGGGTTACTCATGACCCTTAAAAATATGTATTTACATATTAATCCGGGCCCTATACATATGCTATTAGTATATTAGAATTGTTAGTAAACAGTTTACTTTAGTGATGAAATTAATTACCGATTGATGTTTAATGATAAAAACTAGCGGCTGCTCTATAAGAGTTCTGATATATTTACATGCAAATTAAAGAGAATTAGGTAAAGTACAAGTATCTAATGAAATATGTGTGTAGGTCCGTCAGTAACGCGATAGTTCACAACCTGTCAGTGAACGCAACGGCTACCAACACCCTGCATCATATATCACAAGCTCATCAGCAGATCGAGGCTGCAGCTATACATCATCCTCCAGGTAAGATTTTATATACCTGTTATATATATTACATAAATGTATATATATGTAATGTATGTCTATTTAACTATTTTTCGCCTTCAGCATCGATTGACTACATAGATGGGAAAAAGTTTTGTCATTATATCGTCAGAGATATAGTCCGTTTAAGACTTAAGCGGAGCTTTACATTTGTGTGAGTGAAAGTAAAAGTAGAGTTAGACAAAAAACTTTTAGAATTCAATTTTATTATAATTTAAATAGATACATAACAGAAGTACTATAAAATAAGCAAAACTTGTAAAAGACCAGATGGAAATAGTATGGAAAAAAAATATTGATTAATAAAAATTTTGAAAAAAATACAAATTCTTATTCACTTGACATTGCGTTTTGAACATATGATTTTGCTATCAGTACAAAAGGTGAAGTGAGGAAGATGCGGGGCGGAGTAAAAGCAGAGAATAAACTGGTTCAGAATTAGAAAAGAATGTTGTATTCAATAATTTGACATCACACCTACACTATCCGTGTACACTCACACATATGCAAAGCTCAGCTTAAATCAACACTATACAAAATTGTATAAAAAAATATTTCTGTGCACAACAACCGGTGAATCACGCAATCTATTTTAGTACAACCTCCTTTTTAAATGTATGTTTCCAATATCTATCAGTCGAATCAACAAGTCTTGAGTAATTTCTTTCTGTAATATTAAATTTATTTATTTCATTATTTCTATATGTATACTTATTATAATAATAATTGTATATAGGTTCAGCAGCTAACGCCAGCGCCAGTCACGCTGCCGCGGGACAACCGGTGGAGTTCAACCACGCTATTGAATACGTTAATAAGATTAAGGTAATGTATATTTTATAATATACACTAGATTTTCGCTTACAGCTTCGCCCGCGTGGAGTTCGGTTATATCGCGTTTCCAAGAGAACCTTTCAAAAGTGTGGGATAAAAACTATCCTATGTTCTTTCTCAAGGTCAACTCTATCTCTGTACCAAACTTCTTTAAAATCAGTTCAGTGGTTTAGGCGTGAAAGCATAACAGACAGACAGAGTTACTTTCACATTTATAATATTAGTAGGGATTTATACATTTCTATCCTAAAGAACAAGGATTTTATAGGGCTATTGGGATGCAAACAACCCTTCTGTGATCTCGTTTGCATTCTGCATTTCTAAACTCATTGAAAAACTCACCAATAAATGACTTAACAAAATATGTACAAATTAAAATAATTTTTTATATTCATACTAATTGTAATAATTAGGATTATTACAGTATCTTGAAGAGTACTCACACCACTAGGGGCATAGACAAGTCTTTGACAATATCACTTATCATGTTCGTTTACAAATTGCAAATTTCCATTGAAATGAACTATAGTGATAATAATATTATAAGCGATATATGAATAACAAAGAAAAGTTTCAATAGTAAAACCTAAATGTTTGTTCGTAAAAGAATATTTATTAGAGAAAATGTATTATATTCACCATTATTAATGATAATTATGATTACAGTCCCGTTTCTCACGCCAACCGGACAAATATAAGCGTTTCCTTGAGATACTACACGCGTACCAGAGGGGCCATCGGGATCTGAAGGAACCTCACGCCAAGCAGCAGACGGAACAGGAGGTTTACGCACAGGTACATACAAACAGATATATATATATACACAGACATACATACATAATACACTGGTGTAACTGTAAAAGATCAAATACATATTATCAGTTATGATATTATTTAACTTTCTTTGTCTCTGTATAGTCTGAGATCCCACTGCAGGATTTGTTCATACCCTGGCTGCTAAGAAATGCGGCTAGGTGTGCAATAATGGCAACCGTGATTTTTTTAGAATTAGGTTTTTTTATTTAAAAAAATAAATAAACGTTTTTTTTTTTTTTTCAAAAATTAATAAAAAATAATTTAATTAAAGCTAATGGCGCCCAAATTTTGAAAGGCAACCTAGTAAATCTATGTTCTCCTAACTATAAATAAACATAAAAATTTGGTTTTAAACAAATAACCGATGAACCCACCAATCCTGTTGTGGGATCTTAGACTAGTATTTGTTAAAGACATTTTAATACATATATAATAAAATATTATGATGAAATTAATTACCGATTGATCATTAATGATAAAAACTAGCGGCTGCTCTATTAGAGTTCTGATATTATAATGTATAGATCAACGCAATTATCGTCAGGATCCCAGTTTAACATAATTATTTAATTCAGGTGGCGAAATTATTTGAGAAGCAAGACGACCTGTTGGCAGAGTTCGGCCAATTCTTACCTGACGCGAAAGCTGTCACCAAGCCGACTCACATACCACCACATTCAAGATCACCACCGCCCCAGGTAAAAATTGTATGGAATTTTACATTTATTAATGATACATATTAGTTGATTACACATTAATGATATATATTAGTTAATTTTTGGTTACTATTGTCTGTATGAAACGTCGAATTTATTGTGTGTCAGTATGTTAAAATAATCTCTTCCAAAGAAATATATAATTTCACTAAATCAACTTCACTGATATGAAAGTTTCAAAAGTATTCTGACTTCTGTTAATTTCACTAAATCGACTTCATAGCTACGTAAATTGCGAAAGTATTCTCTTTCTTTAAGCGAAATTAAGTTTCTTTTAATGGTATGTAAAGATATCTCCAGTATAAACGAATTCAAACCTTTAAGTTTATTTACTACTGCTTGTTATATAACGTATAAGCAGACTCTGGCTATAGCTGGGAAATTGCCAGGTAGAACACTATATATCTATATCTATTCCACCAGGTCCGTATGGAAGCAGAACTAGACCGCTTCCCAAGCTCGACGCCGTCATCCCCTCCACACGGCGCCGTGACACACGTGACACCCGCCCCTACTGCGACACACGTGACACACGGGACCCACGTGACACACGCGACACACGCTCACGTCCCGCCACAGACACATCCAGTACACACACAGGTGAGAATAATCATTTTATCTTTGTTTTCTTTACTTAGTGGCGTTTTCTATATATAGATTTCGGCTATGTAGTGTGCCGATATTATATTGAACGGTGTAAAGAGGGATTTATGAATGAATTATAAGCTAAGTGCAAGAATACTGCTGAGGTCGTTGATTGAGTGGTAAAATGTTGATCGAAAACGACGTATTATTTCTATCTGACATGTGTGCCGGCCGCTCTGAGTTTACGTTTTTGACTTGTCATAAAGTTTATAGATTTTTTTAAATAGTGTTGTATATAGAAATGTCAATTTTAATCTTGTTGTTGTTTGACAGCCGCCTGCGCCGAAACACACTAGCGCCGCTGTAGTCACTCCCCAACATCACCTGAAACGATCGCCGAGCTTCACGTCAACAACTCAAATAAGTGAGTTATTATATGTACATCTATTTAATAATTACTATATAAATTTGTACTAATAGTCTCATACAAGAAGATTATGTTGCCGTCCATGGCTGTTTGTGTGTCTATCTGTGTCCACACTCCACATCCCAATCAATATAATACATTTTTGGTCTATGATTACACTGTAAGAATTAAATCCTAATACATACTTTATTTCACACAACATTTAACTAGCAGTTTGAATGTCAAGTGTAGGCTATACACTATACAGCCTATATAAAAACAATATATCTCTTTACATATATATAAATGTAATTATTTCTTCCAAGGTTCAGGTGCGCCAGCAGCCAAGCGAGCCCGAGTCCGTGATCTATCAGTCTCGGAGGCTGGTAAGATGGCCGCTGCCAGTGACTACTCATTCTTTGATCGTGCAAGGAAGGCCTTAAGATCACAACATGTATATGACAACTTTTTAAGGTAAGAATAATATGCAATTTACATGAGCAAGAGAACCAATTTTGAATCATATGTGTATGTTATTCAAATATTATCAATATAAACAAAAAAGCAAGTAGGCACATATACATGTTTAATATTTTATTAAAGAGCAAATAAAAATGTTACTTATCAATTGCAAACTAATTTTATGAGTATTTTATACATAATATTTGAGTAAAGTGAAGATAAGCTGTTTAACTTGAATAATGTGAAATTAAAAATATATGAATTTTACATTAAATTTCTATTCATCACATGTCATTAAAATTTATAAACAATATGTAGTTCTGACAAAATTTAATATATAGGGTGACTGGTGAACTACTATCAATATTTAAGGAGAATACTCGGTACATGATTCTCATTCGAATTATGTAAAAAAAATAGGTACTTAATTTTTTACCAAATTTCCGTATAAACAAATAAAGTGTGGACACGTTCCAAGTGTTCCAAGTGTGGACGCGTGCGGCGGCGTGCTGATACAACACCACGCCGCCGCACGCGTGTGTGTGTGTATATACCTAATCTGTAGGGTGTTCACACGATGCGTAATTAATTACATAACTTTTGGTTAACTTAGAAGTTTATTAATATTTATGTTATATTAATTTTTATTTTGTCATATATGATCGTCAAATATCACGTCCTCAAATATCGATAGTAATTCACCAGTCACCCTGTATATTACTTCAATGAATTAGCCATAGATTTCTATAATACGATATCATTTCAGATGTCTCCTGTTATTTACAAACGAGATAATATCATCGTCTGAACTATTATGTGTGACGGCACCATTTCTGTGTCGTCACCCTGAACTACAGAAATGGCTTCAAGACTTTGTGGGACCGGTGTCACCACCACATACTCCTACAACAACACATACAGGTAAATAAACATGATCTTAGTCTATATATTAAAATGATTTTATTTGTATGAACAGGTATTTATGGAAAGTTACTCAGTTCATTTTTGATTGGTAACTAACTACCTATAGGGCTTAATATTAAAAATCGTAATCTAATTTCACTACAAAACATAATGATGTAGTTTGTAAAATATGTTGTTTACTGTTTAGTCTGTCATTAATTTTTCTTTGAAGACGATATTATAAAAGGAACATTGTTCCATTTTTCATTACTACATTAAAATGGTAAATTTATTAAAATAATAATAACATTCATCTCGAAATAAATTCTATTGTCATTTTATTAAGACTTAATTCGTAAAAAGAGAAGTATTAGTTATATAAATTATAAATAAACATAATTATATGTATATTTATTTATACAGGTGGTTACAACAACAATTTCACAAGTTCAAGCAACCTTCTATACGAACGTACTCGCTTAGGGTCCGAGGGTAAAACTAGATATGAGCCCCTGGGTCCACTCGGAGCTCAAATGAGACACGAAAGACCTCAAGGCGACGCTGCTATGGATATAGGTAATATATAAATAATACCCAATTACTATAATTATATTAACATAGCTTTCCGCCCGCAGCTTCGCCCGCGTGGTGTTCAGTTATATCGCGTCTCCAAGAGTACCTTTTAAAGTCTGTGATAAAAACTATCCTATGTTCCTTCTCAAGGTCAATTCTGTCTGTACTAAATTTCATTAAAATCAGTTCAGTGGTTTAGGCGTGAAAGCGTTACAGACAGAAAGAGTTCTTTATTTATAATATTAGTAGGGATATCTAATGTTGAATGATAATTTCTTATGTCCGGACAGGAATTGAACCTGTGACATCTAGTATATGCTAACTAAGATTAGTGATTTGGCTCGAGTTATCTTGTTTCTTAGCGTATCACGTGAAGATTTCGCCTATAGTTAATAAATTACCCTATATACACGAACTTAAGGTCGATGAACCTTTTCAAATAAATTTGTTCTTGTTATTAAAGACTCTTCTAACAAATATTGTTTGTTTACATACAGATCTATCGACGTGTAAACGTCTGGGCACTTCGTACTGCGCCCTGCCAAGAGAAGCGGCCGCTAGGAAATGTTCGGGACGAACACCGCTCTGCAAGGAGGTTGGTTCTTATAATATACTTGCAATATTAATATACTAGTTTTTTCTCTTGACTTCGTACGTGTCCTCAAGGTTGGGTTCAGAGAAACAATAATTTTTACTTAAAAAACAGCCAGTTATATGTATTTTTAAATGTTGAATAATTTTTTTAAAATACATTAATTTTTTTTGAATTAGTTATAAAAATATTCAACATAAGGATAGAAACATTATTGTCTAGGTTTTTGTTATACAAGCTGTTGGACGCGTTGTTTACGGCATTGTGGTTTAATTAGATATTTTTGTAGATCTGATCCTAATTTGGTGACAATGACTTTATTTTATATTTGGTGACCCATAGCACAGGGGTATTTTAAAAGCGCAGATTACGCGCGTATACGCGATTCAAACGCCATTCGATCGAAACTCTGTAACCTAAGCACAGGGGGGGAACGTGAAACGCGCGTCTACTGCACGTATACGCGCAGATACAGCGAACAGACGCGCTATGGTCGAGCGCAGCTTTTGCGTTTTGTTTTATTTTTTGCTCTGCCCCTACTGCGAAGCTATACAAACGCGCGCTTTTATTTCATCAATGTAAACGCAAATATCAGTGTCTATGGCGCCGAAGACGCGCATTCCAGGAACGCGCGTCGTCTGCGCGTTTAAAATACGCCGTGTGCTATGGGTCTAACTCCGGATAATGCTATTTCTTTGAATAAATGCTTAAAATCCGCGTTTCATTGAAACAGCACAAATGTAACACACAGTTCAATCGAGAACTTCCTCTTTTTTGAAGTTGGTTATAAAGTAACCGAAATATATTACGTTTTGAAGTAAATGTGGCTATAAAATTAATTATTTTAACAGGTACTAAATGACACGTGGGTGTCGTTCCCTACGTGGAGCGAGGATTCTACTTTCGTTACATCACGGAAGACTCAGTATGAAGAATATATCTACCGCTGTGAAGATGAGAGATTTGAGGTACTGATTAAACAAATTAAATATACATAAATATTAAATACATAAAATCATATTATTATATATTACTTACATGATCTGGAGTTTTGATATTAGAGGGACAATACTTTGAGTGTTTGAACATCTATTCAGTAATAATAGAAAACAAGCAATATGTCTTATATTCCAATTTATCATATAGAGAGGATATTTTCTTCAAGAATATATATATATACACCTGTTATATAATCATAAAACTAATCTTATACCAATTTTTCAGCTGGACGTGGTGATAGAGACGAACGCGGCAACAATCAGAGTATTAGAAGGAGCTCAGAAGAAGTTATCACGAATGAGTCCCGAGGACGCTGCCAAGTACCGCCTGGACGACTGTCTCGGAGGACATTCACCCACCATACACCAGAGGGCGCTCAAGAGGATCTACGGCGACAAGGTGGTACGGCGCACACGCTCTACGCATGCGCGGACACACACATACACATAGTACAGTAAAGGCGCTAGTAGATCACACACACACACACACAAATGACGCATGCGTATATACACTGTTGGAACAGAATCCTTACACACACATATATGCTAAGATATTAAAACACTTGTACATATGTAAGTTGTATAACGAAATTGTAATGAGGATATATATGTTCACATATGCTAAATGCAATTTAAAAATTGCATTATTGCTTTTATGTAGATAGAAATAAACATAAATACATTGCTTGTCGTAGAAGAAATAGAATTTTAACATATTTTTTTATACAGTAGTATTATATATTTACTTAGATCTTGGAGCTTGTATATCTAGTTATTAGATTAGACAAATTTATTTGGAAGTAGATGGCTTAGAGATATTATTTATGTAGTAGAAATATATATATAGAAAATGATAGTTTTGTTAATATAAATCATATACTATAATATATATTTCTTACAGGCTGTGGATATTATAGCTGGTTTGAAGAAGAATCCTGTTGTGGCCGTGCCTGTAGTGCTGAGACGACTTAAAGCCAAGGAGGAGGAGTGGAGGGAGGCACAGAAGGTAGGCTTGAAATATATATATAGTACTTACAAAATATTTATTCCCAAAGAGGGTTGATGTCAGGTAGAAGGCCGATCGTAAAAAACAATTAGCCAAAACTATTCACAACATGTATGGCAGACCCCGGCTAAAGCTGGGAAAATTTCCAGATAGAAGATAGTACATACAAAATATATATAGTTGTATAGGTATCAAGATTTTTTACTTTAATTTTCACTTAACATAAAAATATAAAGTCAAGAAATAGTGCATAGATGATAGTTCTATAGAAAATTAAACTATGATGAAACACATGCGATGTGCGTTGCAGAATTTACATTGTTGATACAAGCATGCTGCCTTCCTTCTGATGTATACGATTGTACGAAATATGTATTATATAATTATTAAAATGTACTAAAGAGAATTATATTTAACAGGGCTTCAACAAACAATGGCGCGAACAAAACGAGAAGTATTATCTCAAGTCCTTAGATCACCAAGGGATAACGTTTAAGCAGAACGATTTGAAGGCGTTGCGGTCCAAGTGTTTGTTTAACGAAGTTGAAAGTGCGTTCGCTGTGAGGAAGCCCGGGCCACATCTGATAAGTGACTATGGCACCAAGTCACGACATGAAGGTATGTTATATACATATTAATACAATCTTAAATCATTAGAAACTATATTGAAAAAAATCTTCGTGTTACTATGAAATTGATATATACCTATAACAATTTCCATATAATATAAAGTTACTGTATATAGTGTGTATATACAAGATTTTAGAGCTTTAAAATAAATTCTAATTTTCCCATTAAAAAGAAAGGTAAAAGACATTTCGAACATAACGTCATTAATAGAAATACAGTCAGATAGATAGTCACAACTCACAGTATACTTGTATAATATATTTATCGTATAAGATACCTCTTGAATGATAGTCGCATTTAACGGGTTTTTATATATAATAATATGTTGAATTTGCGTTCGTAATGAGAACTTTATACTTGCGCGTGTATTTATTTAAATGAAAACTAATGAAAAACTTAGCAAAGTAACCGAAATGTCGGGCTTATGTAGTTTTTAAAAAATAATAAAATACGCGTAGTAATCCGAAAATATTAGTTTAATTTAAATAAATACTTATATGTTGTGTTTAATTTTTGTTCGTGTAATATATATATTTATATTCCCCCAGCTATCAAGATAGCTCGTGACGCAGCGGAACTGCTGATACATCACGCGCGGCGCCAGACGGGCATCCAGAAGGCTGAGAAGAGACGCATCAAGTTGCTGCTCAGACAGTTCCTACCGGACCTCATGGCGCATCCCAGACTACCGCTCAGCGACGACGAACATGAAGGTAAACACACATATATATCAATAATACAAACAAAAGTTATATATAACTAACATATTGACTGAAATAGAGTATGTATATGAGTAATTTGTAAGGGATATGACAATTTATTGCTAATTATAATGCACTTGCAATTTTACCCCTTCATACATACTACACAGAATATGTATGTGTAACTAATACAACATTAAAAAGTTAAAGTTATGATGGAAGTATTGTCTAAAATAGAGTGTATGAGTAATTTGTAAGGAAATATGACTAGTAATTACTAATAATAATGCATTTGCAATTTGCTCTATACTTGATGATCTGATTTACTTTTTATTAAAGTTACGTACAAGTTATAAATAAGACTAGACAAAAATTCAGACAATTCAGTTTATCAAATCATTTTAGAATATGTACTAAAGAAAGCGTCTTTAAAAACGGGTTCAAACATGAAAATTAATTATTATAGCGACTATCACCAAAATCTTTCGTAGTTTTAAATATTGTGTTAGTTTATTATGATAAATATTTCCTTTTTTAATTATAGTAAAATTTAATTAAATTTTATGATGAAACACATGCGATGTGCGTTGCAGAATTACATTGTTGATACAAGCATGCTGCCTTCCTTCTGATATTATATACTAAATAGAATACTCATTATATTATATAGATACATATTGTAACAAAAAACATTTAATTCTAGAAGAAAAAGAAGAACCTACTAGTCCCGGCAGCCCGGCGGCCGATCAGGCTGACGAAAAGACGACAGTCAAAAATGAAAAGCAAGAGGTAAATAAAAACATAATAACAATACAAACATATTTATTTTGTCAATAAATAGTATAATAATATGTTTTCTTGTTCACAGTCGTCGGAATCAGATAACGCTTCTGATAAAAGTAGCCGCAACAACAAAAATGATAAAGAAAACAAGCCAAAAAATAACAACATGGATACTAAAGGTAATTTACTAATTATTATTAATATATATATATATATATATATATCTATGTGTAGTTGTCTATATATTAATACAATATTTTCTTTTGTTATTACAGACAGCACAAATTCAATAAAGCGAAGCATCAGCAATGAAGAGGCCAGCATCAAAATGGAGCTGAAGAATGAAAACGATCTCGAAGATGATTATAGAGATCACCCGCCTAATGTGAGTTATATTAAATACTAGACGCGATCCGCGGTGCTACCCGCGGATTTCCGGGATGTAAAATATCCTATATGTTATTCCTGGACGTCAGCTTCCTGTATACAAAATCGGTTCAGCCGTTTGAGCGAGAAGAAATAACAAATATACACACACATAAACTTTCGCAAATATAATATTAGTAGGATATATGTATAACATTAGCTTTCATGCAACGCCGTCAAAGCATGAGATTATCTAAAAATGACTATCATCATGTTAAATCATTTGTAATGGTTTAAGCTTTTAAAACTTAATTATTATAACAGATAATGATGTTAATGTGTCAATATTTCGTCATACTGTTTGTCTAGTATCAGTTGTTAATACAAATAGATGGCTATTAAAACAAGACTGTCCATAGTAAATATACTATGAAGTTATCTACCATTACTATGTCTTTATGACATTTGCAGAATCGTTATAAACAATTTAACTTTCGTTTCATCAGTTTTGCCAAAAAATATCAACTAAGGCTATATTAATGAAAAACTTAATAATATCCTCATACTTCTGGTATTACATGAACTTGGTAATTCAAACAATTCACATAACACTACTTCAAAACTACTAACTATGAAATGACACTCAATATTCAATTAGTCTATGCAACATTATAAGATTATCATTCGTTATAGGAAACATGTTATTCCAAATAATTATCATTTACATACACCATGTCTATTGCCAAACCACCAACGGCGAAATGACATACCATGTTTAGTTAGTAGCAAACTTGTGTTAATATAACCATTCGTTCCAGGAGTCACGTTTCGTATGTACATCATCGTGGTACTTATTCCTACGGCTGCACGGTGTGTTATGCGCGAGGCTCTGCGGTGCTAGACAGGCGGCGCAGCAGCTAGCCGCTGGTGAAGCAGCACGAGCCTCCACACGACCGCCCAGCGTGGCGGCCGCGCTGCGACTGAAACCAACCAGTGAGTTAAATGTTTTTTTTTTTAACTAGTGGTAACTGAATGACAATGATCTTCGTGTATTCAGTTTGTTCTTAGAGATGATGATGAAACACATGCGATGTGCGATGCTGATTTACATTGATGATACAAGCATGCTGCCTTCCTTCTGATGTCTCTAATAAATAAAACATATCTTTACAATATAAATTCTACATAATAAGCGTAATCTTAATTTTTTGTGTAATAAGTATAAGCTGATTTAAATAAAGAATTATGTGAAATTCAATGAGTTTCATAATTCAAGTTTAATGTTAATACCGAAAACAACATACAAAAGAAATATAAAATACTTTGTTAACTACAAAAATACAAATATTACTGTATATACATAAATCTTAATATAAAATTTATGTACATAGATCTGCCAGCGGATGCGTCATCACCATCAGAGTACTACAACGCTTTACTGGAGTTGGTTAAAGGAGTCTTAGATGGGAATGTGGAGTCATCGGCGTATGAAGACGCGGCCAGAGAAATGCTTGGCATTAAGGCTTACCCTCTATATACACTAGATAAAGTCGTATCTATAGCTGTTAGACAGGTTAGTCACATAAATATTATATATTAACCATCAAATTACTCTTTAAACTCACGTTATTCAGAATTAAAATGATTATTCTATTGTATGGGAAATGTGAATTGAAATTGTTATGGATAATGTATCTTTTTATTAGTTAAAAAGTCGAAATATCGTATAGAAATCAGAAATAACATACTTATATATCATATATAAAACTGTTTTTATGATATACAGCTCCAACATTGCGTGTCCGAGAGTTGGTCGGTCCGCGCGACCGAGCTAGCATCGCGCGGTCCCAGAGGCCCGCCCTACATAAGACGAGCATTAAGAGCTCTTAGACCGCATCATACAGCCTTCCTTGTTACATTTGTAAGTATACTAGCTGCGCCCTGCGGTGTTACACGATTTCCGAGATGTAAAGTAGCCTATGTGTTATTCTACACGTCAGCTTCCTGTATAAAAATTTTTGTCAAAATAGCTTCAGCCGTTTGAGCGCGAACAAGTAACAAACATACACACACTCACAAACTTTCGCTAATAATATTAGTGGGATATACATTAAATATATCAAATAAAATCAACTAAACGAGACCTATTCAAACTTATAACCTCTGGAAAATAAGTTTCCAGGCAGCATATTCAATTCCTGGTCTTTTAGATGAGTTTTTATTATATATTGTGACCTATTTATATATTAATCATTTATTATCCCTACATTGCCTTTGATGTGATATACAAAGAAAAATTATACAAAAATGTTTGTGGTTTATTTGTTAAAATTCTATCCAATAAAATATTTCAAATGGACATATTAATTAAAGTTATCTTGATTTTTCTGAATTATCTATTGTTACAAAGTGTTGTTAAAACCATTTTGATATAATGTTAACATAACATCTCAAGATATATGTATGTTCTACTCATTACAAATTGTAATTCTACTCTCTGTTCAATCAACTTCAGGATAATTTTATCAAGTCACGCAATATTTGTATATATTAGGAAATTAAGTGATTTTTCATACTTATATGTTTGTTATTGTTATAGTACTTCGGTGACACATGCAAGGTTGGCTTCGAGTTGATGGAAGCGGCCGGCGAGGGTCGAGCCTCTCCTCACAGAGATCAACGCTTGTCACCCACACAGGTGAGAACAGACAGACGGACATATATATACATATATTGGTGATTGGTTAAATATATACAAAGGTTTTTGAACTACTAGTTATGCATAGAGAAATCGTTATTATACAAAATAGAATTATATAACTAGGATTCTGTGTTAAATATTCTCAAACAAAAATATTATGTTTTATTCAATTGAAACCATACCAGTGTATGGAATTACCATACCATAAAACAATGTTAAATTACATGCACAGATAACTGTTAAAACTGAATTAGTTCAGTTGAAAAACTTAATCAATATAACTAATTTATTTTTTCTTTGTATTCCTGCTTAGTAATCTGTCATAGACAATTATCTGTTTCTTTATTTGACCTAAGTCTGCAAATATATCACCTATCATAATCCTATCCCACACAATAATAATTTACCATCATATCCTATTTAACGAATCATCCATTGACAATCCTCTTTTGTTTTTGAAGTAGATTTTCCTATATCTAATAAAAATTGTTCATTCAGTCCCGTAGAGACACAAACGGCGATTCATCAGTTCGTCACGGCGTATGGTCACCATATCGTTATGCACCTATCGCTACCAACAAGCCGGTGTTCTTAAGGCGTAACGCGCGTCGATCAGGAGCCGGGGCTACGGGCGCACACACGGCTAGCGCTCCGCCGGACGTCAGCGAAGCCCCCGCACATACTAGGAGAAGGAAACCGCCGAGACTACACGACCACGAGTGTGGAGTCACCAGCGGGGCCAGGTTAATATTATAATATGTTAACTAGCATTTAATATATTTATTTATTTCAATAATCCAACAGTGCTTATAATAATGACATGATAAAATATAACTAAACAATACTAAGACCAATACAGGATTACACAGTTAAAGTAAATGTATAAACATAAACGTAACTTAAGTATTAATTAATAATGGATCACTAATCTAAATAATAGATGTTATACTTAATAACACTGTCCAAGACATTGACTAATAACATAATTGTAACTAGCACCGACAATTAATATAACATTATACCGAGTACATGCATAATAAATATATTTATTACCCTTGAATTACATAGTGTTAGTTTAATAGTAATCGATTTCTATGTAGCAAATGTAATCAATAAGTTTTTCGATATATATAATATGGAAATGAGTTCCAAAACAACTTAATTACTAGATAGTTTCAATTACTTTATTATGGAATCTCCTTAATTACATTTAACACATTCTATGCAGAAAAGAAAAAAATTCTGTCTAGGCTGTGTCGGTCAGTACTGACGCAGCTAGTATATGTATATATATTTACACACGCACACGCAAGTTATTTTAAGTGACCTCTACTAATGTTTGTAATGTCTCTCCAGACTGGCAGCGTGTCGCCCGCACCAGTTATACCGCGCGGGTTGTCTGACAGCGGCCCGCGTGTCACACGCGCGACTATCAAACGCCAGGAGGAACAGATTCAGGAACTGGCTCGACACGAGGACGCGTTAATATTAAACTATACAGTATGGAAACACGCATTTAGTAGATAAACATTACATTACAAACATAGAATCTTCAATAGAACTTAGCTTACATACAAGTGATTAATAAAATACATATAAAAATATGTGATTTCATTCGATCAGTTTGATAGTTACTCGAGTTTATTACTACCGACGTGACCGTTTAAATTTTGATTTCAATATTCTGTGATTTCATGTTTGGAAAGGAAATTGTTTTAAATTGGTCACCCGCGTGTTATGTTGTGAATCTATTTATTATTTATTCTCCGTTTTAATTATAGTGATTAAAAAAATCATTATATTAAAATAAAACGGACGATGTTAAGAAATCGGTCTATAAGGAATACAGGGTACTGTATTATCTCGAATAATAAAAGGCATAGCTCAAAATTTGGACCGATTTCAAGACCGGGTCACGTTTTAGTGGCTCGGTAAAGTAGAATTACGTGCTACTATATTAATCAGACCTCTGTAAATATAAACTGATTAATGTTGTAGTAAAAGATCTCTGATTGAAAGTACACTTGTATATAGTGTGGCAGTGATTAAAGTTGATACTGTTGAAGAACCAATCTTGTTAATTCAATAAATGACTTCAAAATAAATATTATTATATTTATAATGATAATGGTTTCATTTTACTATAACATATCCATAAAACCCCATATAAATCGTTCTATAAGAATATATAAGTTAATAATATTGTTTCAGAAACTAAGCAATTAATATTGTTTTGTTAAGTATATACCTCATTTTTATTTGAATCACCTTGCTCAAAACGGGTTGGCGATTTCAAACATATAATTTGATATTAGGGGTTGTCCATTAATCACGTGATCTTTTTTTAGCATTTTTTAACCCTCCCGCCCCCATTGGTGATACGTAGTGAGGTTTAAGACTACCCCCCCTCCCCCTTCTCAACATCGCGTGTATTTTTAGTACCTACAACGAATCTTAAAATTTTCTGAATATTATCTTAATTTAAATACAGATATAAACTATAATCTAATTTTATTCTGAAATTAAGGACCATAATAAAAATGTCTACACCAGGTTGCAAGTTCTTTTTTAAAATTTAAAAAAAAAAGTTTTTTTTAAAAAAGTTTGTTTAAAAATCGCGCGTTAGACGAAAAAATAAATACACGAGATATCTTACTACACCCCCCCTCCCCCTTGTGTTATTTTCGTGATTTTTATTAAACCCCTCCCCCCCCTTTCGAGCCTCACGTGATTAATGGACAGCCCCTTACAAGTCCAGGTTTCCTCACGATGTTTTCCTTCACCTATCAGTGATGTCTAAATACTCTTAGAAAGTACATATGACTCGGAAACATCACATTGGTACTTGCTAGGATCGAACCCGCTCCCCCTCGTGTATGAAAGGCGGAACCACTAGGCCACCACTGACTTACATACTGATTATATTTAATTATAAATTAATGTTGCCGGAATAAAATTGTGGTAACATGATAGTAAATTTGAGTCATACGTAAGATATAAATAGCTATTAATTATAAGGAAAGTAATATTTGTGATTATAATACTGAACCTATGTGAATTTTGTAATGGCAACATTTAAGTATCAATTTGTATTTGGAAACTATAAATTTTAGTCTTCAGCCATTTTGTAGGACATTTCTAGATTAATGCCGAATTTGAAGAATCGGGACCAACTGCACCTCAATATAGTTATAGTAACAGTAGTTATCGCTATTTGATAATAATAATAAAAAAAGTATAATTCTGACGTAATGAAATAATCCTTTAGAAAAACATAAAAAATATATAAAAAACTTATCGTCTCTTTATTACAATACCAAAAGATTTTAAAAATATAAAATTACAATACTTGACATAAGGATACATTGAGCATAAGGTATTTTTTTAAATCTCAGATATACACAATTTTTCATAATTCCATTTTAAATAAGCAGAGTCCTTTGTTAAATAAACATTTTTGTGTCACCATTAAACCTTAATCCTATTAAAAAAATATTCCTCCGACATTTTTTATTGAGGAAGAAAAATAAAAAATGTATTATAAAATAAAATTTATTTATCATAAACTTAATATTATTCTTTTACAATAAACATGAACATTTATACGGATTATTATAATGGAAGACAGTCGCGTAAACAATTTGATTACCAATTTATTCTATAATAAAATGAATAATTTTCATCTTATATAATATTATGTTTTTCTATAAAAATATATTTATATCTATAATTAATTTTAAGGGTTCATTTTCTTGTAATGTCCGACACCTAATACAGATATTAAACTATCAATAAAGTTACGCAACGCGACGCGTAACGAATTGTTTATCAAAATTATACAATACACTTTCTCTTTTAATGTAAATAATATATACTATTGATAATTTCTTTTTCTTTAATAACAATCAAATACAAAAAAAATATGTATTACAATTGAATAATTTTCATATATATAGTTTGAATAAAAAAAACTGCACAATACCAAGATATCTTTGTGATAATCTTGAATTACTTGATATTTGTGTATGAAGTAGTCAAATATCTGTACATACAATCTGTTGTCTCTTAATTCTCTCATATATTTCTTACATACAAATATCTACGTATTTTATGATCTTCAAAAAATGATGTGACGTAAAAAACGATAAAGAAATTTATTGAGTTAGTCAAGATACGGTAACGACTTAGATTAACACATAGTGCGGATGTTGTATTGGTCAATTTGATTTGAAATTTAAAATTTGAATAGAAAATGAATTAAACCTGAAGAATTACGAAAAATAAACAAATACCTATATTTTAAATATACAATATATCGGATTATGTTGATTTTTTCTGCCAATATAATCTGTTCTTTAATAATCTTTTTTTTTGTTTCTGGACAAGGAAGTACCGTGTTTGAATTACTGATCCCGAGCCATCAATATACGACAAATTTTCCTTGTAGTACTAAAATAATTATATCTACTACAATATTATGTCAACAAAAGCTTTTATTTATCGTTATATATTTTCCTGCTCCATTCCTGATTGATTATCAATCTGTAAGGAATATGTTCACGCATGCGCATCGACTGATCTGTATTCCAAATAAGCTGTGAATTGCGTCACGTTCTAAATTTAAATTGTTTGATTATAAGTCACTCCTTCCTTTGAAATACCCAGACATTGTTTGCCAGAAATAGTGTTATCCTTAATAATTCCGAGTAAAACAGTTTCATTTTTAAAATAATTACTCAGTGATGGAAAGATATGCTTTTATTATTATGAATTTGACAGTTTCAGCCACCCATTATGTTTTATGTCACGAAAAGTTAGTGTAAATATACGTGTACACTTATTGTTTATACAATAATTAATACATTTATTTCCAATGGCGTTTTATTCGGCGAAATTACTTAATAGTGCTATCTTGTGAGGTGAGAATATTGCAAATATGTTTACAATCAACAGAAGTAACCTTGAATCTGTTTGAATGATTTAACTATAGTGGACAAACTGAATTCAGTTTCTTTCTAAAACTCATCGCGGCGAGGTTGTATTTCGTCATTCATTGCCTAACGATGATTCTTGAAGCGATTTTTATAACATATTTTGAAAACATGACGTCTGGTTTCTTAAAATATTTGTAATATTTAATTTAAACCGCAGTACTTTTAAAGTTATTTAATATAACCCTTATCCTTTTCTTAAAGATGTCATATAGGTATTTATTAAAAAAAATACAAGAAAATTAAATTTTATATTCGATTCATCAATGATAGATAAAATTAAGCAGAATTATAATAATTAAGTAACTACGAAAATCTTTATTATATACATTAAATAATCAAAATAAATAATAATTATAAAGAATTTATTTAATATAAATATAAGTTCAGATGGCGCGAAATATATTTTTAGTATATCAACATTTACGATGTTAAAAGGACATGTTGAAATAGCGCCTCGCCTTTTACAAACATCGAAGCAGTTTTATTACGTATTAGAAATGTGGTTAAAAAAATAATAGTAGAACATATATTTCAACATATCTATATTTAATAACTTAAATTTACTCGTTTCAACCGACCCCCAGCCAATCTCTAATCAATTATAACAGGGTTATTCTTAAAACTAATAATTTCTTACTTTTAAAAGGTGAAGTCACTATAATTACACAATCTATTTGACGACACCAAGCAACACTGAAATATATTTATATATTCAACAAAACATCAGTTTTACATACAAAAACAGAAAATTAAATAAATATGTTAAAAAATACATAATTTAATTTTGCTTTATACATATATTTTATAGTTTTAGTACATATTTAAGTTGAATCGACTTTGTTATGAAAGAAAAGTGAAATATTTATAGTCTCATATGTGGCCAAAGCCATAACAATAACTCAACATTAAGATTTAAAATACTCAATCTATCAATATTCTTTTGTATACTACACTCCACACTCAAGTAGAAGCCGATGAATCTTCTTTAAAATTTGGTTATATAGCGTCTTTTCCTTCCTTAATATCTAAGTACCGTTATAATGTGGGTACTTTCAGTTCGTTGGATGCGTTCTGTACGTTGATAGTCGATCTATTGTGGCGCATGTGTGATTTTACCAGGTCTGAATTGACTAGAGCGGCCATGAGGCTTAGCTCGCCGGCTAAGACCGTAGCGCAGATCAAGGAAGCTAGTCTGGCTGAGTTTTCAGCTGGTCGTTCCGCCGCTCCTTTGACGCCGAGGATCTCTAGACAGGCGCCCTGACCAGTTAAAACAGTTCCACCGCCAACTGTTCCTACTTCCAAGGAAGGCATGGTGCATGTTACGTACAGATCCTCATTATTCTCACCACAAACCTCCATACTTGTGCTACAGTTGCTGCTTGTTACGTTTTGAGCTGGGTCTTGGCCGGTCGCTATAAATATAGCTGTGACCATATTAGCAGCATGAGCGTTATTCCCTCCTATCGACCCAGCTAAAGCCGATCCTGACAAATTCTTGATTTTATTGCATCTAGTCATAGTTTTGGCGTCAGTTTTGAATATATTCTTCAAATTAGTCGCGGATATTGTGGTCTCGCATATCACACGTTTACCTCTACCTTTGACCCAGTTGATAGACGCTGCTTTTTTATCGGAACAGTAATTGCCAGATAAGCTTATAACTTCCATGTCTGGGAAGTAATTCTTGAGTAGCTTGAGAGCGTTTTCAGCACCCTTGGACACCATATTCATTCCCATTGCGTCACCAGTGGTTGCTCTGAATCGCAAATATAGAATAGCACCATCCACACCAACGTGTACTTCTTGGAGACGCGCGAATCTAGACGTTGAATCGAAGGCAGTTTTGATGATAGCATAATTATCTTTATTGTCCAGCCACTGTCTGCATTCATGAGCTCTCACTACATTAGGTAACTTTACGGCGGGAGCTCTTGTCATGCCCACATCTTCAACCACACTGGTAACTCCTCTTGTTCCAATGGCCTTAGCGCCTCTATTCGTAGACGCTACCAGCGCACCTTCAGTGGTTGCCATGGGAATCATATAAGCTTTACCATCAACGACCAAGGGACCAGCATAACCTACTGGGATACCAACATATCCAATCACGTTTTCGCAACACGCATTCAGTACTTTGCTATAGTCGTAATTAAGATAAGGCAGCTTTTTCACAGCAGATTCCGTTTCAAATCTAGCTGATATGACTCTCCTGCGTAACCTGACACCGCGTAAGGGGTCGTTTAGGACATTTTCTAATCTATGCAACGGTATATGCGATTGTTCCACAAGCATTACGACTTCATCATCACTAAGCGATGTACAAACACCCTCAGAACGATATATCTCCAAGCATTCAGCCATCGGGCGTTTCTTCGCGTTAAGCTTAGCCGCTGATGAGCTCGGTGAGAGCACAGGCCATTCAGTCTCCTCCCAATTCAACAGATCATCAGTTTGAGTACATATCTCCGCTTTCAATTCCTCCCCAACAATGAATTTAGGTTTATCATATTTATTGGTGACTTCCTTAACCGTTAGATCATTCATATCGATGACCCAGTTCCTTTGCTCCTCGAAGAAGATGAATTTTATAATGAGAGCGCACAACAGGGTCGCGATGACGATATAATCGGCGCTCACCGAGAACCATTTGACGTAGGAATTGAATAGAACATTTTCATCTGATGTCGACTTGAAGTCGTTTGATAATGAACCTTCTATCATGCCGTTCTCTTTAGCCCACGGCAGCCTACTCGTCAGATGTACACACAACAAACCAGCTGCCATTATCATCTTGACTCTCTGCACCACCGGGTTGGGTTTTAGATCACTTTCAGCAAACGGGCTATCCGGTCTCATCTCTTTTCTACCAGATGCGAAATCGGATACCAACGACAAGCAGGCCGGGTAGAAAGTAACGAACACAGAGTAATCGACTAACAGAGCCAGACAAGCGAATGTGCACATATGCTCCAATCTTGGAACACCAGATAATCCACCTACACCGACTAGAAGAACTGCTAGTAGTGTATCCAAAGTCGCAGTCGGTCCCAGTAATGAAAGCGCTTTGCCAACCCTCTTCCCTTGATCTTCACCCGCGCTCCATCCGGCTTTAGCCATCCTAGCCCCTCTAGCCACATCAGCGACCAATAAAAACAGAAACGGCGCATCCTTAATACTCGCCAGCTCGCTCCAAAACAAACTAGCCAACGCCGACGTGAATATGAAACTTGCGAATGTTGAGAAAACACCAGCGATTATAAGAAGATATTTGGACGCGATTTTCTGTAGGTTGGACACTTGGTAATAGGCGTAGAGTAATGCAGCGCAGCGGACAAATGTCATGATGACGGCATCGGCCGCTTGATACTCCGCTTCTAACCCTGGGCAGGCTCTAGCCCAGCCTGCACAGTGTTCAGATCTGACCCCTGTGCCATGCCTCTCAACACTCGCAGCACAGGCCAGGAGGGCAAGGGTCGCCACTATGACCTCCCATTGATGCTTCGCACAGAACTCCCCGTGAGCTCCCCACACCTTCATCATGGATACTGTGCTTCTGTGTGTCTGTGGACAATGATAAAAAAAATTAATGCACAATTTAATTACTATTTTAGATATTAAAACATCATTTAAAATCAATTTACTTAAAAACCTAATCTCGTTAAATATTATTTACGTATAAGCCTAATAAGTATGTAGGTATTTTTTATATAAGCAATCTTCTTTATTTATTCTTCGGACATTCATTGATAGAATATTTATAGTATCCCATTGTATATATAATTTAATTTATTTAGTACATTACAATAATCTCTATATGTACTATGTATAGGCGTTACATTACAGTGGTTGATATTTTCAAAACAATCTTAGGGCAGAGGACGAATAGCATTTAGATAAGAGAAATAAACATACACATACTAATACAATAACGTGACTATAGTTGGAATATTTTCTTGTTTTAAGCCTATTTTTTTGTGTAATAGTCATATTATCTATGGAATTGTAATTACCTACAATTAACTCTACTATTTTTGAGGTCAAATCTAGGCCAAAACATTTATCTGTCAAGTAAATATACACTGAGGCGTAAGGTCAATGAATTAGCAAGAACTTATGACATTTTTCACACTATTGACGTAAAAATCTCACTACCCTCACACTTATAAGATATATTACTTAAGTTTTGAATATTAATTTTAGACTTTTATTATGTTTAGTGCAATATCAATACATATATTTCGTCTGAAATGCTTCAATTTTTTTTTACATTTAACGTGACTTTTGAGTATAACCAAAAAACTTAGTGATTATTTGACAGTTACTGTCATATGTTATTTTCAGTGTCATTTTAGATTTGTTTAATTTTGTCAAGATTTATTATTGTTTCCTTAATATAAAGCAATGTAATGTAAAGAATGCCTTCATAAGTCCATATATGTCAATAATATAAAGTTATCTAGTATATTCGTTAATACCCAAAGAGGGTTGATGTCAGGCAGGCGGCCGGTCGTAAAAAACAATTAGCCAAAACTATTCACAACATGTAAGACTCTGGCTAAAGCTGGGAAATTGCCAGGTAGGAGAAGATTTAGTATATTCGTTAAATAACATACATATTTCAATGTAAGAAAACTAATTTATTCAATTATTATAAGTTTATTGTAATTTACGCTTATTAATATTGCAAAAAAACGGTTAAGTCACGAGACTTGGTGCCGTATTTCTAGTGTATAGAGTTATATAGTGTTAAATATTATTCTCATTAAACAATTTAAAGGATTTTTTAGTATTGGCTCTAATATTTTTTTGTCTTTACAGTATAAAACTTAATCACTATTTATTAACGTGATCGGTAAATCAGAGACGTGAAACTCGTCGTATGAAGTATAATACACTTGTTGTACGAATAGTCTTGTTAATATTTCTATCTATTACAAGATTCTGTATTGAAAAATAAATCAAACAAATCCTTCTTTAGTGTAATTAGTTAGTCAGTTCGTGGGACCCTGACTTAGTTTCCACACATCTGTAACTTAGCTAAGCGGCTTATGTACTAAAAAACAGTATATAATAGGCGATACATAATTATATATTATGTATACAAAAAATATTATACATATATATGTACAGGTTTAGTCAATTTTATTTGTATATAAGAAGTATATAAACATTATAATTCTCTGTTTATATATGTATACATTGGAAAGGTAAATAGCCTTGGTTTGAACATCATTAAGAGGCGAGGGATCTTAATTCTTAAGCTTTTGTTTTTTTCACCATACGAGTCTTCATTCGTTTGGGTTCTACCCACCACTACGTATGTAACTATGACCGTATTAGGAACGTGTTAGGATCGGCTTGAAACAGGTATACTCTATTATACACACTAGATAGAATTATTAATATTATAAATGCGAAAGTAACTCTGTCTGTCTGTTACGCTTTCACGCCTAAACCACTGAACTGATTTTAATGAAATTTGGTACATATAGAGTTGACCTTGAGAAAGAACATAGGATAGTTTTTAACCCAGACTTTTGAAAGGTTCTCTTGAAAACGCGATATAACCGAACTCCACGCCGGCCGGTGGAAAGCTAGTTACTACATATATGTATTACAAGGAGTTTGTCGCCAACGTCATAATATTTGCGTTATCTCGTCGCATACGTCAAATATGACGTGACGGTACTGATAGCTGACGGAACGGTGTAATGGACATAGTCTCATACATTGCAATACAAGATTTTTGTCTGACACGTTCTTGTTACTATCATAGTAAAATAAGTTATAGGGGTTAGAGAGGGGTAAAAAATATTAATTCTTATAAAACCTTTTTAGACTCAAAATCAGACTTAAATATGTCGAATTTTTTTTTTTTATGTCAAAGGTGGCAAACGAGCAGACGGCCCACTTGATGGAAGGTGGTTACCATCGCCCACTGACATCCGCAACATCTTTGTTGCGGATGCATTGCCAACCTTGTTTCGTAGGGATAGGGAGGGGTGGGAATAAGGAAATGGTAGGAAAGGGTGGGAATAGGGAAAGGGCAACCGGCTCTCTCACTCATCGGACGAAACGCAGCCATTAAAGCAGTAGTCCCCAAACTTATTTTTCTCGTGGACCACTTTCAAAATTTTACTGGTTTCGGTGGACCCCCTGCTGCTACATTTCTACCACATTCTTAAAGTCGCCAAAAAATAAAAATTATGTCACTTCTGAGTTCTGTCTCTATATTGTCGGGCGGATAGCGCTTTGCAAGTCTGTACACGAAATTGTACGTAATATCGAATACGCAAGTTTGGACAAGTAACAGTCGCTTGCCTTATTAAAATATTATCTGCTTAGTTAGGTACTTAAAACAATGTAGGTAGACCCTTATAAAAACTATGCTTACATTTTTGCTCCTTACTATCAAAAGCAGATAAATTTTCGTGGACCCCCATTTTTTGTTCACGCCTACGTAGACCCCCAGCAAGTCTCCCGTGGACCCTAGGGGGTCCACCTGGACCACTTTGGGAATCACTGCATTAAAGGCTACTTCACGCCGATCTTCTGTGAGAGGGTGGTAGTTCCCCGGTCGAGCCAGCCCGTGTTTGAGCTGTAGTAACTAGCCACAGCTAGGCTCTACCACCTCTAAAAATAATGTATTTGTTTCACAAACATAAGGAATGCTTTTCTAATGTATATATGTATAATCCATAATTTAACTCAAAAAAGTTCCATAAAGGACAGTCGTGTGACAAAATCTCTTAAATCCCAGATCTGTCGATAATACAAAGATTTATCTGAGTCAGACGATCATTTTAACATGGGGCATGTTTAAATATTTTAAATATTTTATTTAAATTATTTGTTTGTACAGTATGTATATTTTTGGATATAATTTGAAGCATAATGCGAGGAGAGTCTAAAAATAAGTAATAATTTTTCCTTTAGTTACATAGTAATTAAATGTATTGTTTCGTTTCATTTGTGTTTGTACTTTTACTGTGTGTTTTGTAGTTTAAACTGTATAGTATGCGTTTTGCATTCTTTAATCTTCGTATATAATAGTATATATGTAATATTTATATGAAGGATATACGTGAAACTCTCTTTGTTTAAGTTTTCGAATGAAAATTCGTGAAAATACTATACACTATTCAATACATAGATTGTAACTCGCTTCAAAAAGTTCTCGTGGTAGAATTTGATGTACAAATTGCTACAGTAGAATGTAAACTAGAAATAATGCCAGAAAACTGTTGTTTACCTACATAGAAAACACATATATCGACTACCTTCTTTTTTTATTGCTTTTATTTTTGAGTATATACATATACAGGGTGACTGGTGAATTACTATCGATATTTGAGGACGTGATATTTGACGATCATATATGACAAAATAAAAATTAATATAACATAAATATTACTAAACTTCTAAGTAAAGTTAACCAAAAGTGTGTAATTAATTACGCATCGTATGAACACCCTACAGATTAGGTATACACACACACTCACACAGACGCGGCGGGGGCGTGTTGTTGTATCAGCACGCCGCCGCACGCGTCCACACTTGGAACGTGTCCACACTTTATTTATTTATACGGAAATTTGGTCAAAAATTAAGTACCTATTTTTTTTTACATAATTCGAATGAGAATCATGTACCGAGTATTCTCCTTAAATATTGATAGTAATTCACCAGTCACCCTGTATATTAATTTTAATCAATAGTTGTTATATATGGTTCTTATAGATAAAAAAAATAAGTGTTGTCAAGGCCTAGGTCGCCATTTCGTATGTTTTTATTATCTGTATTTACATTTACGTTATTCGCAATAAAATAAACGTTAAGCCTTCTTATGTAAATCATTTCGATTATGTATTTTCATAAAACCGTCTGGACCTAAACGGATTATGAAAGAAAAATAATATTTTGTTCTCATAAATGTTTTTTTAAAAAGTAGAAATTTAAGTGCCATATCTGAATAATAATCTTTTCTGATTAGTGAAATTAATGAAATTTCTAAAACGAGTCCCAATTCACTCCTTGTTAGATCGTCTGTCTGCTAGTGAAAGTCTTATCAAAACCGGTTCTACTATTTGTAAATTAGCCGAAATATAGAGACGTATACAAAAATCGTAAAATATATTATTATAACATATATTCTATGCATACACTAAAAACCATTTCATCTATACTAATATTATAAAGCTGAAGAGTTTGTTTGTTTGTTTGAAAGCGCTAATCTCCGAAACTACTGGTTCGAATTGAATAATACTTTTTCTGTTGGATAGTCCAGTTATCGAGGAAGGCTGTAGGCTATATAACATTACGCTACGACCAATAGGAGCAAAGATATAGGGGTAAATGTTTAAAAAACGGGAGAAATTATATCATCTTTGAAGCCTTCCGTTGCGTGCGCCGTGAAAACGGTTCAAGATACACAAAGAATATGTACTACAGAATAATAGCTCTTTTAATGATCTAAAAAACAGTCCGCGACAGTATATGTCTATCTTTTAAGATTAATTCATAAAAACCGTTTTTATGGTACCTAATTTGGTCGAAATAATTTTATAAAATCTTTATTCAAATAAACAAGTAAATATGTTGTTGGTTAAGAGTACTTCATTGTGAATAAAAAAAACATAGGTTTTATTCTGAAAATTCTACGGGAACTCGACCATTCCGAAAAGCCCACAAGAACGGGAACTATGTGGGACGAACCAAAAATCTGCCGTAAGTCACTATTCCACGCGGACGGAGTCGCGGCAAAAGCTAGTATATAATATATGTGTGTGTAGATATATATATATTTTCTCATTCTTTAAGACAAACATTTAACATTATCATTCAGTCAAAATATCTAAAACAGCAGACATTAAAAAAAATCGGAATATTAATCAAAAGAAACAAGGGTAAGTCGTGAAAAACAACTAGTATTAAACAAAATAAGGTTAACGAACTAGTATGATGAATGAATTGAGAATCAAATAGTTTTTTTGTCGGTCTCAATTGAAATATGTGTAGGTTTGTGTGTCAAATACCGACGCGTCTAAGAACAGGTTGTGGTTGTATTATGTGATTTCTCTTGTTCGGAAAACTATAGAAACTTGGAAAATTAAAAAAAAAACATAATTTTCATTTTATTTTGAAATTAAAAACTTATTAGTTAATTAGTTCATATTGAAAATAATAAATCGAGGATCTAAAGCAATTTTATTTAGTAACTAAATTTTAGGGATATATTTAATTAAAATAACGCTACTTTGTTTGATTTTTAATTGAATATTAAATGTATGTACATACTTTACCATCAATGTGTTTTTAATGTGTTTTCTATATAGAGATCACTACGCCCTGTCATAACTGTTATAATTCGAAAAATTTTAATCGATTTCAAAACAATCCATTCTTTTTCATATATATATTATTTGTGTACGTATAAGTTTCTCAAAATACCAGAATTATAAAATATATACTTGGAAGCGATCGTCGTCTCGTCTGAATAACTCTCCAAGGTCAAAAGAAAGTTTGTACAGGTTTTGATGTTTTAAGATTCACTTGCATTCTGAAGATACGCGTCAGACACAAAACTTTTTAAATAAAGATATCTCTCGCAGATTAAAATGATCAAAATAAACAATACTATTCATAATTCTCGATTTTTTATATTTTGTAATAAGAAATACAATAAAATTTCATTAAATTCAGAAACCCTATTAATTAATTCTAATTTAATTTTGGTACTTGTACGTGAGATGCTTAATCGAGCCATTATAAAACAAAAATGACTTATGCATTTTGGATAATATCACTCTTAAACTGCTGATTTATAAAAACCAAACAGCTCAGATCTAACGAAACACCAATAAGCTTTGAAATGTAAACCGCATCAAATACGGTCGATCCATTTAAGATTTGACACAATAGTTACATAACAAACATAGACATCAAACCTCAAACAGTTTTTTACGCGGGAATGAAAAATAGGTAGTGTATAACCTATACAAATATTATTGTAATGTTGTTATCCTTGGTAATAGTAATAACTAATAACATCACTAAATATTCATATGATCACGTTTAAACAAGTAATCAAAGCGCATAAATAATATTACATATAGTGTTTGCAAATTACAGATAAAATAACTTTGATATCGATATCAAAAAATTGAAACGATACGTCAAAAGTTGGCGGGAAACTATCTGTCACAACACATTTCGTCGGGGATAGTGCAAATCCGCGTAACTAGCATTTGATAATTCCGAGTATTTACAATGGAAGCAGATTATCAGAAGAAAGTTTGAGCTGAAATATTTTCTATATTAACGACTTTTAATGTAATTTTTTCACAATTAATAATTACTTAGTGTTTAATTTATAAGCTTCAATGTTAGTTACGCGGATTTGCACTATCCCCGACGATTTGTAGACACGTTCTAATATTGTGATTTTAAATATATATAGTAATACTATAGGAAATAATTCTAGTGTTACTGATTTAAATTTTTTAAGCGATGGGTATCACTTGAAACGTACGCGTAAGGAATAATAATAGTTTACGTCATGCACTATAAACAGTGGCTGTTGGGTTTCTATGAATGAAAATTTGATATTCAAGGTTGGCTTTTGTTGAAAACACAGGATAAAATGTAAGGTAAGATAAATAATGAGTATATAACTCGTCTTCTTAATGCATCTATATCTTCTTCTATTTGGCAATTTCCCAGCTATAGCCAGGGTCTGCCTTACATGTTGTGCATAGTTTTGGCTAATTGTTTTTATGACCGGCCTGACATCAACCCTCTTTGGGAAATAATGTATCTGATGTATATGTATGTATTATATATATTAGTAATAAAAATATATAAGCAGAAACATTTTAATTGTAATTTCACCAAATATTTTTATATGTAAATTTGTAGTGACATCTAAATTATATGATAATAAACATTTAGGTATACTGAAGTCTGAAGCATAGTTTATCAAATGAATCACAATTTTTTTATACCCATTATAATGAAATAATGACTTTTATTTTGTTTTTTTTAAATCAGGTTTAACAGTTACTTTGACAAATTATTTATTTTTATATCTATATCATATTATTTGCTATATTAAAATGTTTTCCTTAATAAATATTACACTGTGTATGAACTGCGACATGATTCAATATGTTAATTGACAATAAGTAAATTTACAATATCTAATAAATCATATTATAATAAATTGTAATTTAAATTTATAATTGCATTAAATATTCTCTCAAGTATTGCAACATTATAAAATCTTTTGCAACAGTTATATTCTTCTGCTTCTTACTAATAAAAAATAAAACATTGGTTTAGATGATTCTTATTAATTATTATCATGTATATATATAATAAAATAATTATTATATATAGTATAATAAAAATTATTTTATTTTAACCCAACAATATTACTTTGCATATACACAAAGAATAGAAGTATGGAACTATTCAGCATTTTTAAAAGGTAAAATTTAGTTAAATTTTACATCTACATGAGATTTCAACACAAAATTGATATTGATGATTTGACCGATGGGATTTTTATTTCACAATTTTTTTAGTTATATACATGGAAAATAAGAATATTGTATTTGATTTGAGCTTATAAAAACTAAATAGTTTAAAACATTTCTTATAATTTATAATATTAACTTTTATACCTATTGACATTTTTAACACTCTCAAATTTGAACGGCATATAATGCTGTTAAGTAACTGATCATATTAATTTTGTAATTAAAATAACTATTTTATTACCAGAAATAACTAAAACAATAATGCTGTTAAATAACCTATTATTAGTTTTATTATATATTTTATATCCTATAACTGGTAAAGCTTTAAAAATCAAGGTCAGAGAAAGTGACATAGTTGCTAAATAAATCAGAATTTCACTTTTTTTCATTCCACACCATGATAACGGGGATTCGATGGTAATATTAACAGATACTTATTAAACACACGCGATGTCTAGTTAGAAATTTAGTATAATATAAAAAAAAACGCAAAATGCATCGTGATTTATAAGTTATAACCCTTTACGTAAAAAGCTAGTATTTTGTTATATTAAAAAAATGTTTCAGCCTACATGTACAGCTAGTGTTACGTGACAATTTCACTTTTGAGAAAATAGGAAATTGAACACTTACCAATAGATGAATTTTATATTAAAAATATATTTTCTTTATAAACGCACAATACTCGAACGCGACTTGATAATTTCGCGAGCGGACTGGCGCTTTAGATTTCGTAAATTGCGAAATGATATTGCTCTGACACACTTCTAGACATTTTCGACGTCTGACGTCTTTAGTCACAGACTATTCAACCCAACTGATTCGTATTTCGTTGTATGCTTGGCCGCTTCTGACTGAACAACTAACAAGTTATTACAAAGGCCGCTACATTCTATTCATGTCGTACCAGCATAAAACATATTAGAAACAATAATCTTTATATATAAAAGAAAATCGTATTATTTACACTATTTATAAATCAAGAACGACCGTAGGGGTTTGTCTGAAAATTGGTGGAGAGATAGCTTAGAACAAGGGACAAGGGACAGGGTTGAAAAGGAAAAAAAAAATAAGTTGTACAAATCCGAAATCTTCTTATTTACTGTCTTTAAGGAGTAGAGTTCGGCTGGTCAGCTATACATTTCTAATTCTGAAACTAACGCAACGCAGACCAAGTCGCTGGCAAAAACTAGTAAGGTTTATATTTTATATCACACTTAGATATTATGTAAGTACAATAGAAAGAAAATAACAAATAATTAATAATGTTGTGTATAATTAAATCGACAAAAAATATATACAGATAGTTTTGATACACGAAAGAATTGGCGGCAGAAGTTTCCAAATTTGTTTCAAATATTTCACTTTTCCTAAAACAGTATCGTCTGAATGATAATCTGGACGCATTTGACGATGACATATCATATTTGCCCAACAAAGATAAATATACCGCTTCGAAATATGGTACCATTAAACTCCTCCCGAACCATATCCAAATTAGAATGAAGAATAGTGTCAACAGTATGACCTGGCAGAACATATAGAAATAGTAGGGGAATATTATAGCGTCGGGGGTCGTGAGTTTAGTTAGCTTACACACGATCCATTGAATCATCATCCAATACACCAGACATTGGTTCGTACCGGAGCACAAAGATACGAAACAATCCCACATTCGTCCACACAGAATGTATGGAAAGCAGAACACTTCCCACCAATTGTGAGTGAACACATCTTCGGTCGGTGCATGAAAACGTTCGCCTTGAATTTCATCGCATCTTATTGGAGGCTCCTTCCTTTTCCGTTTCGGCGCCATTATAATTAATTTTGAATTCTTCCTTCTATAAATATTTCATTGATTTACAATACTTAACTTATGTATATGAATAACAAAATAATGTCACTGTCAAAATGTCGTTTTTGAATAGAAATCATCGTAAATTATTTCGATTTTACGAAAAAGATTCCATACAAAAACATATATATTGAAGTCAGTAATCTGATATTGTACATCATTAAACAAATTACATACTAAAATAGTAAATATCAATTGTTTTATTAATTTTTGTGATAATAATCATATATTTATTTTGATGCAACTATTTGCTTTATTTGACAGGTGAAACTTTGCTAGTTTGATAGATGTCATTAGTAACTAAAGTTTCAAAAACTTTACTAAAACATGACAGTTCCGTAAGTGCCATGGGTCGGGATACATTTAACACACTCTATATAATTTTTTATTTACAAATATAATGTAAAAGTGCATATAATTGTAAGAAAAAGTATAAAAGTTATAGTGATTGCTGTTAAAATAAATTTTGTTAGCAGGTAATTAGAAAAAATATGTATATTAAAAAGTGAAAGTATGTTGTAAGTCCATTTGTCCAGTCTTATTATTTATTGTGTTCAAATTAATTAATGTGATCGTAAATTAATTATAATTAGTACAATTGATGTTTAGTTTTGTCAACTACACCTTGATTATGACTAAAACTAGTTCTACCAGCCTTGAGAATGAGAATTTGTGTTTTTTATTCAACACTTCCTTTAAAATAGCCTTGGATAATAAGTTTTCGCGCAGATTTATTTGTTACAAACAAGTATTTTGTTGTGAGCTATAAACAAATTGCGTTATATTATATACTAATTTCTATTGGATGAAAATAATTAATTCATATATTTAAAATTATTAAGGATAATTTTTTTATACATACAAAATAAAAGTCGTAATATATCTTTTCAAAGCTGAGATAAAAATAACATACATTTTATTATTTAATATTGATCTTTATTCAAGTAATTAACAAGGTTTTATTGAAAAAAAAAACCAATTAAGTAATATGTTAAGAATAAGTTAAATTCCCAATAAGAAATAACCAAGATCTATAAATAATTTTTATCATACAAGTCTCACAATCTTATTTCAGGTCACAAAATGGTTTCAAGGCTATTAATCTTTCTGGTATTATTACCGTTGTTGAGATCAGAATATATCCCTCCCGGCCCGGCATATCCCTGCCCTAAAGAAACCGAGAGACAGCTTTTATATCCTTGTACATGTGAAAAAGGTACCGACGATGGATTGTTCATTAAATGTGAGAACACAGGGTTGGCGATCATGAGCGTTGGACTCGGAAACATAGCCGGCTTAGGGCTGCCTATCGAAAGGTTGGAGATACGGGAATGTAAAATTGGTAAGGCAACTTATAAAGTTATAATAGTAAAATAGAGTTGAGTCTTAACTATGACTGAGACTTCTTTGTCAATAAAAATTTATATAAATTCTATAATAAATATTGCCCGATTTATATCTTATTAAATCAATATCTGCTATTGAAGGTTCCATCAAAATTGGCCGAGATACATCAGAGATTATTCAGAATAAATAGACAGACCAAAAAATATATGTACATATATTGAGTCAATATATATTGTATATGTGAATTCATTGTTTTTTTTTAATTTAATTATTTGTATATATTATTTATGACACAAGGCAGATGTGTCTTATTAAGTACTTGAAATTACCTAAAAATGTATAGACTGTATTGTTGATAATAAATTTTAATTTTATTCTTCTTTAATATAATAAACTTTATAATAATGAAGTCAGTGGTGGCCTAGTTGTTAAAGGCCCGCCTCTCATGCATGAGGGCGCGGGTTCGACCCTGGCCCTGGCAAGTACCAATGTGATTTTTCCGAGTTATATCTACTTTCTGAGAGTATTTAGATATCACTGATTAATGCATTCCAAAAGAGTGTTGATGTCAAGCAGGCGGCCGGTCGTAAATACAATTAGCCAAAACTATTCACAAAAAAATGTAATCCAGACCCTGGCTAAAGCTGGGAAAATTGCCAGGTACAAGAAAAATTAAAATAATAATATTTTATATTTTCCAGTACACCTATTCGGACCGTTACTACATAGATCGAGTGTGAGAGTGTTACACATAGTTGATACTCCTATAAAAACCATTGATGAATTTGCATTTGCCGGTGTTAACAAGACTTTACAGGAGATATACATGACCTATACAAGAATATCACAATTCCCCAAAGAAGCATTTAAGGTGACATATATTACTATAACAATAATATAATAATTTGTATGAAAATTATTTTTATATACCACTAGCGACATCTATTGGCAGTTACATAGAATTTATTTTTGTATTAAATATTATTGGAGTTACTAGATTGGTCACTTTAAACAAATAGATCTTTATTTTGATGTACCTTATAATTTGAATGAATATTTTGATTTATTCTTATCATATCAAACCGGTTTTATTGATATGAAAAGATTTTATATCTAATATATGAATGATTTACTCTGTGGCATACATTTTATTCTTATTTGATAAAAAGTCTATACAAATGATATTTAAATATTTTTTACAATGTTTCTTTAGTTTTTTCCCTGACTCTTTCTCTAATATTTATGGTTGAGGTATGTGTGGCCTTTTAGTAATAAATACTGACTTTAAAACAATTTTTCATAGATAATAGGTATAACATATTGTATACAAATATTGTACTTTGAAGAATATACCATATTTTCTTTATTTTCTAGATCCTAGGCAATCTAACGACTCTATCTATAGATGGGCATTTGATGACGTCACTATCCAAGGATATTTTCGGAGGAAGCCTAGCTGTTGGTAAGCTAGAGAAGCTTCATCTCGTCAATGGCTTGTTAAGCGACATACCTGTTGAAGCATTTCAAGTAAGAAGTTATATGTACTATTATTTTTCAACTAAATATGTATTTGGTATTCCTATATGAATTTAAGTAAATAATTTCATTAATTAAAGGGTCCGTAAACAATGAAATCCTTTGTATTAGGTAGAGTTGTATGTTTATATATTTTTATTTAATTTCAGAATTTAAAAAAGCTGAAAACCCTTGATCTTCATGGTAATAGATTAGCGACGTTGAAAAGAAATCAGTTCAAAGGACTTAGAGATACTGAGGTGTTGGATTTGAGGTAATATTAAATAAATGTATAAATAAATAAATGTACATACATATATATATATATTATATAAAAATAATAATGTGTGGAGTCCTTCTAAGAAAAAGTGAAACTTCTTAATGTTGGAATGAAAACAGGAAGGAGTGAAATTGATTTATAAAGAATTTCTAGTGTTTCTTAAAGATAAAGTTTATTAACATTACTTACAAGTCACTATTGATTGCATGCGTTCGAGCGACATGCATTCCCTCTCGCTTTGTCTCTTTTTATTATCTCCAAAAGCGTTAAACGTTTAACGCAACCTTGTAAGAAATAGCATAAGAAGTTTCACTTAAATAATTTATCATATTTTGTATATCGTATTTTTCATGCTCACCAAGGATATTAGGTGAGAATATTTTATTTAACTTACAGTTATATTTATTATTATTAGATTTTTTTTATATAGAGTGTAGTAGAACATTGAGTATGAGTAATAGAAAGTGTCGAGGTTATCTTTAATTTGATACTGATTGAAACTGGTACAAGTCAGTTTTGATTATTTAAAAGAAATTTCGTTATTAAAATAATCGTTAGAAATTATAAAGACATGCAAAATCAACGAAATATTGATAACATTAGCTATTTACTGAATTTCAAGTTTATTTTTAATTTATTATACAATTTTAATGATAAAACTCACTCTATATAATATTAGTCAATTAACTAATTATTTAATATGTCTTCTCTCATCAGTTACAACAATTTAACCAAGCTAGACGGGAGTCACATTGGAGATCTGACTAAGCTGGGCTGGTGTAACGCCAGTCACAATAATCTACCGGACATACCCAGGTAAATAGCATATATTATATATAATACGTCCAACGAGACGTGATAAACGTTGTAAATAAACATACTTCATTTTGCTTTGGTTGTTATTTTACTATAATCAATAATAGTAAGGAAAATATATAGTCAGTGGTGTCCTAGTGGTCAAAAGGCCCGTCTCTCATGCACGAGGGCGCGGGTTCGATCCTGGCCCGGGCAAGTACCAATGTGATTTTTCCGAGTTATATGTACTTTCTAAGAGTATTTAGACATCACTGATTAATGCATTCCCAAAAAGGGTCGTAAAAAACAATTATCCAATACTATTTACAACATGTTCTGTGGAAGAGAAGAACATGTTGTGCCGACCCTACATAAAGTTAGATCAAAAAAAAAAATGGAAAGAAAATATATCTGTATTAACTGTCTAACATGATTTTTGTGAACAGATTTCTGTCAATATCCACTCAGAAATTATACTATTCACTAACATACAATCTAATAGTAAGAAAACATATTGTTATTAATAATAATAATATATGTCTATCCAAAAATATACTATCACGATATCTTAGCAGTTGTAATGGCGGTTACAAGACATATACAAATACTAGCTTTCCGCTAGCAGCTTCGCCCGCGTGGAGTTCGGTTATATCGCGTTTCCAAGAGAACCTTTTAAAAGTCTGGGATAAAAACTATCCTATGTTCTTTCTCAAGGTCAACTCTATCTCTGTACCAGATTTCATTGAAATCAGTTCAGTAGTTTAGGCGTGAAAGCGTAACAGACAGACAGACAGAGTTACTTTCGCATTTATAATATTATAGTATATATATATTTCTAATCTCTTTACGTGTTAATTTCCAGGGGTATGTTCGCGAGGAACACAGTCATAAAAGTCGTTCATTTGGACAACAATAAGATCAAAAAGTTAGACGTGAACAGCTTCAGAGGAATGAGGTTTTTAAGGTATGAAAACATTTATATATATTATCATAGTATAAATAAAAATGGCCTTTTGCATGGCGTTTCTTTGTTGTGTTCGGCCAAATAAGACCATGTGGAGGATTTATTCCTCTTCATTTGACATATTTGCACAAATAAGACACATACACAAATAAACGAAAACGCATAGACGTGTTGATGGTATGCCAAGTGTGGATGTCGTGTTTGTGCTATTTGGACTACGTACAAATATTTGGACAAATGTGGCGAATACGCAACGCCAAGTGAAGTGCCACCTTAAAACTATATTAAATTCATAATTTATATTGTAATAGCAAAACTGAATGATAGGAGTTAATATAATAAAATCTTACATTATACTAGATATCATATTTAACTGTACTGATCAAGAATAACTAATATACATTAAGTTTATGTACTTTAAGAAAAGAATATTAACATTTTTTGATAAAAAATGTTTGCTATTGGGTCTAAGAATTTTTTTTTATAATTCATTCATTGAAATATGTATAGTAGATGTATTTAAGTATAGAATGAGAATTTCTAGTTATTTCACTATGATAATTGGGTTGGGATTGGTTAGAAGATTTTTAGCTACTTTAATATAAGATAGTCTTACCAAGATTTATATATATGTATGTAAATTGATGAATTCTAGGTTATAATAAATAATTAATATATGAATGGTAATAGTAAGTAAGTAAGATACATATGTATTCAAGCTTTTGACAAATATATCCTAAACATATAATTAAGTCATTGATTTTAATAGAACAATGTATGTAAATCACTTGGTTTTAAACTTGTTCCTTATAAATTCACTCTATTTTTGATATTTTTCATTATTTGTTTTATATTTCTTCATTATAATTCTATATTATATACAAAAAACTCACATTATTATAACAATATTATAATTATGACAATATTTTCCTCAGACGTCTCTACCTACAAGACAATCAGATATCTGATATCGGTCGAGGGACCTTCTCATCGGTCACTCGAATAGGTACAGTGGACCTCGCAAGAAACCTCATCACTAAAGTAGATTATCAAATGTTCCAGGCTGTAAAATACGCTGAGGTGTGTACAACTACTAATATTATAAAACTAATATAGTCTAACTACTATAGTATAGTAACATTTAGAACTCACCAAAAACATGCCTGTTAAAAAGGGGGCCAAGTTCCAATCGGCTAATTGTTTGCCTAAAAAAGGGGTGAAATCCAATCTAATGCCAAGTTTAGATTCACTTTGAAATCGATCATAATCATCTTCATCAACAGCATGATCCACTGGTAAACATTTGCCATTCCCAAGACTCGCCACCACACCCAGTCCTCTGCCTTCCACATCCAGCCACTACCCGCCACCTTATTCACGTCAACGGTCCATCTGGCCGAAATTCACTTTACCATACACCCAACTTAAAATATGGTATAGTTGTGAAAATACGTAGGTGCTTGGTTAAAAATATCTAAAATTATAATACTTCTAAATTTGAACTTGGCAGGTTTTTGTGCTGTACGTAACACTTAATTAATTGTATCATTAATTTATTATTTAGTTATATAATTATTTATATTTATATAATTTAAATATTATATAAATATAAATAATTAAATTAACCTGCCAAGTTCAAATTTAGAAGTATTATAATTTTAGATATTTTTAACCAAGCACCTACGTATTTTCACAACTATACCATATTTTAAGTTGGGTGTATGGTAAAGTGAATTTCGGCCAGATGGACCGTTGACGTGAATAAGGTGGCGGGTAGTGGCTGGATGTGGAAGGCAGAGGACTGGGTGTGGTGGCGAGTCTTGGGAATGGCAAATGTTTACCAGTGGATCATGCTGTTGATGAAGATGATTATGATCGATTTCAAAGTGCATCTAAACTTGGCATTAGATTGGATTTCACCCCTTTTTTAGGCAAACAATTAGCCGATTGGAACTTGGCCCCCTTTTTAACAGGCATGTTTTTGGTGAGATTTCAATACTTTTTTTCAAGAAATCGTACATACAATCGTACTATACAGCCGTACAATGCATAACTTACAGCATAAAACATACAGCTACCATCTGATGGCATAGGAATTACCCTATGTGGTATATCTCCGCCAACCACCGAAAGATGTACAATTTCCATCGTTGGTAAATGAATAGTAGAAAAGAAATAGAGTGAATTTGTGCTTTTAACACACACAAGTAATCAATCAATAAGCAATATCAAAATTAATCCTTTAGCAAGTCAAATCAGTGATCCATTTAATCGTAATCGTAACCATATATAAGATATCAAGACATAAGTGTAGAAAGAAATAGAAAGAAATGACCATCGATTCCTTATCGACTTTCATTCATATATACTGCAGACAAAACAATATCGCGATTCAATTATACCGCTAGCGCCATCTATCGAAAGTAATTTATAACAATAGAAACCTGATTTTTTAGGTAAGCAATATTTAATTAAGTTATACAGTGTGCATTATGTATACATGACAATATTTTATATCCCTTATATATATATCAGTTCTTAAGAAGCGCCCCACACTTTTTTCACAATAATATTAATTTAAAAATAAATTAACAAACAATAAATGGTATTTTTGTGAAAAAAAGCGTGATGAGCTTCATATATCACTTCTTGAGAAGCGCCCCACGCTTTTTTTTTCAATAATACCATTTATTGTTTATTTTAAACAATTTAAATTAAATTGATTTCCAAGGTTGTAAAGGTTAAATTAGTTTCCACGCGGTTTCTTTCATCATTGGAGCGTGTTTTTTAGTTTTTTTTTTAAACTATATTTATTTTTTATTTTTTAGTTTCATTTATCACCGATTGTTAGATGTACTCATATTATTAATTATTAATATTTCATTATTATGTATTTTATTGTGCTGAGCTGAGCGCCTATATAAAGGTTTTGATTACCTGTCAGTGAGTCAGTGCCAAAATTAGCTATTTTCACAGGGTCATATTTCAGGATCTACTGAAGCTTTATCTATGAAATTTGGCATACTGCTTTAGGACTAGTATATAATTACGTAGGTACAATTTTATCTCTGTACTTGCAATAGACACTGAGCTACAGGGGGTCAAAAGTGGGTCGAATTTATTAAAAATTCGATATTTAGAATTGAGGCAACTCACGCTTGACCGATTTCTTAAATTTCTTAATTTTTTGTTAATCTACATATAACACACAACCTGTGTACCAAATTTCATAATGCTAAAACAATGGGAAGTGGCCTAGAGGTTTTGATTACCTGTCAGTGAGTCAGTGCCAAAATTAGCTATTTTCACAGGGTCATATTTCAGGATCTACTGAAGTTTTATCTATGAAATTTGGCAAACTGCTTTAGTACTAGTATATGATTACGTAGGTAAAATTTTATCTCTGTACTTGCAATAGGCACTGAGCTACAGGGGGGTCAAAAGTGGGTCGAAACGGTTCGTGTAAATATAATGCACGGCATGCGCCGGCCTGTGGAACTTGGCCGGCGCACTACCGTGCGCTTAGATAACAAAAATTTGATTATATTAAAATTCAATGTAATAATAATATAAATTTCAATTACAGCTTATAAATTTATCAGAAAACAAGATAACTTCGATAGACAAGCAAGCTTTCACTGATCTATACTTGGCCGTAGTAAATATATCACACAATCAGATATCGAGCATCGAACCCGGGGCCTTCGAGAACTGTAACAATATGACGCTGTTGGATTTGAGCTACAACAAGCTGAAGGAAATTAATAAACAAGCCTTCGATGAGAACACATACGCTAATGAGTTGAAAGTTACATATAATGAGTTCACTGATTTGGGACAGGTGAGAGAAATTACTCATATACAGTGGCGGCCGGTGGGTAATCGAACCGGCGATGCACTTTACTAAAATATTAAAATTAGAAAATGCAACAAAACAACAATTGACATAAAATATGTTTATTTTTTATACATTAATTAATGCAACGACATTTTTCCGAAGCGAAATATTCAATCACCTATTTATTAAAATCGGTTATTGTTTGTATATTTTTTTTAATTCAATACTAAGCACAGAAAGTGCATTTAGCAAGTGCAGGGTATTTCGGAGAAAAGTTTTGATTCTTTTCAATTCCAATTCGTCATACATCGGGTGCTCTCGGTAATCTTCGGCCGCTCGTGCAGCGCTCGAGAACCGACTCATTACTCGGTACATTTCTATGAACTAACTTTTGTTTCACGCGTCAGGCGTATTATAATATTAGTAGGATATACTATGTTATATATTAACATACAAGTATATACATATATTAACATATAATTATACATTTTCAGATCCCAATCCACAATATGACGGGCATAAGGATATTGAACGCTTCACATAATTTAATTACAACGATACCGAAGATGGCATTCCCTAAACTTTATGAACTACACACAGTCGATATATCATATAATAATCTAAGTGATATATTTAATAGTGTTTTCCAGAATTTGTTCTCGTTGAGGTAATATATATATCCCTACTAATATTATAAATGCGAAAGTAACTCTGTCTGTCTGTTACGCTTTCACGCCTAAACCACTGAACTGATTTTAATGAAATTTGGTACATATAGAGTTGACCTTGAGAAAGAACACAGGATAGTTTTTATCACAGACTTTTGAAAGGTTCTCTTGGAAACTCCACGCGGGCGAAGCTAGTATATATACGTATAAATATAACATTATGTAAAGCTTAAATTGTAATAATAGGAGGGAAAATGCTAAGTATATTTTACACCATGAAAAATTTAACACTTTTTTTATTTAGTGTTTTAATTAGACGTTGTTTCTGTGAATAGTCGCCATTTTCTTTGTGTGAATGATAAATAGGATAAATAGATATAAGAAGTATTTTTAAGCGAAATATTTGACTTCAATTTATTGTTATTTAATTGTAGACATATTAAATGTTTTTGTAAATCTTTGATAATGGAGTCTTCTCTTCTTTGAAACGTTGGGAGTATGTAGTTTATAATCAAAAATAAGAATCGTCTTCATTTAAATGGAGTCATTTTTGCCATATATATATATACACACACACACACACACATATATATATTATATACAAGATTTAATACATATATTTGTCATATACTTTCAGATATCTGAACCTAAGTCACAATTCCTTGGAGCGCATCAAACCGGCAACATTCGGTACTATACCTACAGTCTTGGAATTGGATCTGTCACACAATAAGCTAACAGATGTATCTAGAGGCAGTCTAGCTAAATTAGCAAGCTGTAGACTCATTGATGTTAGCTTTAATAGCTTGGAGAAGATATTCCAGATACCTATCAGTTTGGGGTATGATTATTTAATATATATATTTTTTTGATATACAAAATGTATAGTTCAATATGATTAATGGTTTCTGAAAGAAAACAAGATACATAGATTAAAATTTTAGTGGTCATTGTATGGATTTTATATATATATTAGAATAGATTCATGTATAAAGTCATTTTAATATATAAATAGTGTGTATCATAAAACAATTCACATCCTCTAAATTTGTTAACTAAATGTCTATTAAATTATGTATATAGAGTTAAACTAAAAGACTAATAAATATGATAAATAAATTAATATATAACAACAAGTACATATATCATCTAATCTCATGTCGCTCACACTGATTACTTCGCTTTATAGCAATATTACCGACTCATTCTCTCTCTCACTCCCACTCTCTACATATGTACATATATCTTTCTCTCTCTACGTTAAATATTTAACGCAACCTTTTGCAAGTCACAAGAATCACTCCAACAAAAATATTGAAATAAACAGTATCTATCGTGTATCTTCTTCTTCCTGGCAATTTCCCAGCTTTAGCCAGGGTCTGCCTATATCTATCATGTATAATGTATGTAATTTTATCCAACAGGGAATTGAATCTGTCACACAACAATATAAGTACAATCAAAACGAACACTTGGCCAACAATGAACGCGTTGCTATCACTCAACTTGTCGCACAACCAGTTGGCCGACATGTCCAGCGACACATTCAGCGGCTTGTTAACGCTTCAAACGCTTGATCTGTCTAGTAACTCGCTGGACGCACCGCCGTGGGAAGCGCTGAATACGCTGACTAGCTTACAGTATTTGTATTTACAGGTATGTCTTTTGTTGTTCCATTTTTAAATTATCCAATAGGAACGCTCCATTTTGATTGAACATTTGAGGGTTTAGTGTCTAGTAACTCGATGGACGCACCGCCGTTGAAGCGCTGAATACGCTGACTAACTTAAAGTATTTGTATTTAGAGGTATTAGTTATGTGTTCCATTTTTAAATCAACCAATTGGAACGCTTCATTTTGAAATTTGAGGGTTCACTGATTGTACTTGAAGCATTAGTGGATTTAATATTCCATTTTTACGAATAGGAATGCTCCATTTAATATTGACGTTTGACATTTGGACTAACATTTACGGGTATGCTAACAAAATGAGTTAAAGACATAAACTTGTTTTGCCTAAGTATTGTTGTATTAACTATCCTCTTTGTCATGCAACTATCTAATATAGATAGATACCTATTAATATCATAAGTAGGCAGATTCTACTTAAATAGTTTTTATATTATCTATGTGTACGTTTTAGACATATCTGCTAGTAACGTTAAATAGTTACAGTCTAAGCTGGATTACATACATTGACTAAAATTTTAATAAATATAATTAACTAAGAAAAATAACCTTTACATCAATTTATATTATATATTATAATTTCAGTACAACAATCTGACATCGCTATCAAAATCAGCGTTCGGTAATCTGCCAACTACCTTCAAGTTGGATCTATCTTACAACCAGTTGACTGATATATCACAGAAGGCTTTCAGTGGTATGGCGCAGTTACTAGACCTCACGCTGAAAGGAAATAAGTTGAGGAGAATACCTAATGGAGTTTTTACTGGATTGGTAGCTATGAGGTTGGTGTGATGTATCCTACTAATATTATAATTGCGAAAGTTTGTGAGTGTGTGTGCATGTTTGTTACTTCTTCACGCTCAAACGGCTGAACGGATTTTTAAAAAAATTTGTATACAGGAAGCTGACGTCCAGGAATAACACATAGGCTACCTTACAACCCGGAAATCCGCGGGTAACACCGCGGGGCGCAGCTAGTATATATATATTTGTACATAAATTCAAACCTTAACTAGAATTTAGCAATATTGTTCAAAAATATAGTTGTCTTACAGAGCCACTGGCATTAAATGACTAATAAAACCTTAACTAGAATTTGTTGTAGTCTTGAGTTTTAACTAATTGGCATCTTAAACTAGAACATCTTAAATAACTTAAATTTAATATACAAACACACTCACAAACTCCTTATAATTATTATACTAGCTAACCCGACAAACGTTGTTTTGCATTAAAAAATATAGGGTTCGGTCTTAAAAAGTAAGAATTTGGGTTGTATTTATTTTTTAATGATACATTATAAAAAAATAAAAACAAAAAATTTCGTTCGAAAATAAAAAATTAAGGGTGAACAACTCTTATGATTTAGGGGTATTCAAAATAGATGTTGACCGTATCTCAGAGTACTCTACTCAATATACTACGTTTTGTCTGATATGTATATACAGGGTGACTGGTGAATTACTATCGATACTTGAGGACGTGATATTTGACGATCATATATGACAAAATAAAAATTAATGTAACATAAATATTAATAAACTTCTAAGTAAAGTTAACCAAAAGTTATGTAATTAATTACGCATCGTGTGAACACCCTACAGATTAGGTATACACACACACACATACGCATGTGGCGGCGTGGTGTTGTATCAGCACGCCGCCGCACGCGTCCACACTTGGAACGTGTCAACACTTTATTTACTTATACGGAAATTTTGTCAAAAATTAAGTGCCTATTTTTTTTACATAATTCGAATGAGAATCATGTACCGAGTATTCTCTTTAAATATTGATAGTAATTCACCAGTCACCCTGTATATTGAGTTAAATAACAATATCATTAAAAAAATTGGTTGTTTGTAAAGTAGGATTACTATCGAGATGTTTACGTGATAACGTCTTATTAGTGATATAAGTTTTTGGGAAGTAAGGAATTAATGAAGATAACAATTTTTTCAAATTTTAAATTACATCTATCGCTTTATTCACACTTTTGATGATAAATTTAGGGTTTTTTTTGTAGCAATTGTTGTAACACTTCACTTGCACTTCACATTTTGTTTCACTGTTAAACATTCAACGAAAACTTAACCTCACAAGAAAATCTCCAGTCGTTTGTATGCCGCTAGAGTGAGAGAGACGGAAGATCGGTCCACTCACTCGAACGCTATGCCTGCCTCCGCTCGTGAGGATTCCGCGTGACAAGTTTCACGGAATGACTGGCAGCGCTCGAGATGAGACGGGAGATCGGTCCGTCTCTCTCTCGTTATACCTGCGATCGCACTCGTGAGGTTTTGGTGTGACACAAGTTTCTGAACATGTCACCCTACTAAAACGATTTTAAAGACGTTATCACGTCAAAATTTAGTTGTTTTATAAAGCCACTTGTATTAAATAACAAATCCGAACTTAACTATAATTTATCTTAAAGCGTTTTGTATAATTGTTATTTTAAACAAAAAACACCATAAATAACTTAAATTTAATATACAAAGACACTCACAAATCCCTAAATATATACAACGTGTAACATAATTAACGCACACTCTGAAAGTAGTTTGATCAGAATCGGATACTGGATCGATTTTGGTAGTTTTTTATGTAGGTCATTTTTTTTCTCAAATTTAGATAGAACTAAGTAAATTATAGTCACCCTACACACAGTTATCTAAACACTTCATAGAAACGAAAATTAATGGAAACAAAAATGGATCGTAAGTCAGGGTATTAAGATTTTTAAAATGAAATATTTAATTAGTAATCATCATTCAATTAAAGAAAACTGATACTTACTTCAAGGCTAAAATAGTATTTAATAATAACTACGCACGCAACACCATAGCGACAACCGGCACACAGCAAGGTCACTACAGTGCATAAAAGAAAGCCGCGTAATACAAAAATTATTACTTTCTCCTTCTTTCTTCGGCTTAATAACATTACAATAGAGCGAGACGGCAGGCTAATTCCAGGAATCAGAGTAATAATAACTAAACATCGAAGTCAACAAAATGTGTTTTGGGTAAGTTAGTCACGCCGCGTCCACCTTATCGAAAAGAGGTCAAGTGTAAAGTGCCAATAAAATCTTAGTCGCGCATTTCGCTGTGTCGTTTCGGTACACTAACATTTAATACATCAAATACCTACGCACGTGTCCATTGACCTCCTAGATCAGCTGATTTGACGCGACTCGACTTTTTTTTGTGGGGGGCGAATTAAATCGCTAGTTTATAACACAGAGATAACAAGTGCCGAGGAAGTAAAAAATAAGATAATAACCGCCTTTGTAAAAGTGAAAAGTGACATTGCAGTATTATCTAAAATAAAACCACAATTGCGAAAACGGTCATTAAAGTGCATTGAACAAGGCGGTGGACATTTTTAAAATGTTTTAAAACGACAACGCCGTGCGAGTGCAAATTAAACTGTAAGTTTGTTTATGATCTTTAAATTATTGTAAATATTTTGATACACACCATTTAAACACGCCGACTTTGTCTTAGGTATTGTGGTGTCTAATCAAATCACGCGTTATCAGCTGTTTAATAATTCTTATTTACAAATTTAATTTAACAAATCAGTAATTATAAAATATTGGCTTCACATTAAAAAGAAAATTCAATGTCAACAATCTAAAGCTTGAAAAGTGTGATGGAAAGAAGAATCATAAATCATAATGTAGTTATTTCGTGTACTTATTATTACCTACTTCTTATTATTGTCGGACGGCACTCGGAGAGAGGGGCGCGGGCGCGGGGAGTACATTGTGTCTGACCATATTATTTGCACGTAATTGGGATAACTAATTTCACAAATAAAAAATGCAAATGCACATATAAATAATATTTGGTGTATGCATTGCGTTTATATTATTATATTTGCATTGGGGTATTTGAGGGTGTGCGTTAATTACGTTACACGTTGTATATTAGTAGAATTGATGACCTATATAATAGGAATTTATTTACTAACTCATAATTATGTATTTATTATATATTTTTCAGGAAATTAGATCTTTCATACAATGAATTGGACAAAATTGATAACAAAACTAATGGATTACTAGATGACTGTCTGTCTCTAGAAATGGTAAGTCTATATTGGATTTAACATAGTAATGAGTTTTTTTAAATAAATGTTCACTTAAATAATGTATAATGAAAAATTAATTAAAATTATCTAGCTACTTGTAACTTCTACAATACTGGAAGGCAATATTCCATAAGTGTAGCTTTTTGGTTTTCATTTTGAGAAATTTAACAAAATAATGTTTTTTCTAGTTCCATTTATCTATATCATTAGTTATAAATTAATTTTTTAGATAGTAATTTAGCTAAAATCTTTTATATATCTTCCAGTAAAAGTCATAGTTTTTAGCTTATATGAAACAAATTGACAAAACCATCATATAATACATATTAGATATTTATCTTAATTTTTTTCTAATTTCAGGTAAACTTGAGTTACAATAAAATAGGTTTTCTCACAAAGAAAATGTTCCCATCTAATCCGTGGATACCCTACAGGCTAATGGAAGTTGATCTGAGTCACAACGAGATACCCGTGGTCACTTTTGATATAACACACGGCGGGAAGAAACTTAAGAGACTTAATCTATCATGGAATTATATAAACGATATAAGAAACAGTACGTTAATTTTATTGTTGATTTATCATCAAAAATTTCAAATAGTTGTATATAAAAAAATATAACAATAGTGCGTGGAGAAGTAAATTCGTAATAATGGAATATAAATAGCATGGTAGAAATTGACTTTCAAGGAATGATTATTGTTTCTTTAAGATAAACTTTATTAACATTGCTTACAAGTCACTATTGATTGCATGCGTTCGAGGGACACGCATTACCTCTCGCTCTGCTTCTTTTATCCCCTCCGGTTGCGTTAAACGTTTAACGCAACCTTATAGGAAGTTTCACTTCAATAATTTATCATATTTTTTATTCTATTATTTTGCATTCATATTTTGAATATAATATTCACTTCAAAATGAATTACATGCATTTTTCACTTCAAAAGGAGTTACATGTAATATATACATGAAAAATAACATTAAAATACTTAAAGACAAATTATAAATAATACATATAAATGTATATGTGTTATTTTATGACATATTTCTCTATTTCCAGATGTCCTCGGTAACCTAACATCTTTGGAGATGTTGGATGTATCACACAATCAATTGAAAGATTTAGTATCAAGAACATGTAAGTATAAATTATATTATTCTCATTATAGTAAATTGAGTTAAATAACTTTGTAATGCAAGCAGAGTCGAATGACATAGTTAGTTACTAAACCTATATAATAAGAAATATTTTAGGATTCTCAATATATTAAATTCATATACAGGGTGACTGGTGAATTACTATCAATATTTAAGGAGAATACTCGGTACATGATTCTCATTCGAATTATGTAAAAAAAATAGGTACTTAATTTTTGACCAAATTTCCGTATAAATAAATAAAGTGTGGACACGTTCCAAGTGTTCCAAGTGTGGACGCGTGCGGCGGCGTGCTGATACAACACTACGCCGCCGCACGCGCGTGTGTGTGTGTATACCTAATCTGTAGGGTGTTCACACGATGCGTAATTAATTACATAACTTTTGGTTAACTTTACTTAGAAGTTTATTAATATTTATGTTATATTAATTTTTATTTTGTCATATATGATCGTCAAATATCACGTCCTCAAGTATCGATAGTAATTCACTAGTCACCCTATATATACTAGCTGACCCGGCAAACGTTATTTTGCCATATAAAAAAAATATGGGTTGGTGATAAAGTTAAAATTTTGAGTTGTATGTTTTTTTTGATGCTGCATAATAAAAATATAAAAACAAAAAAAACTCGTCTGTAAAAAAAATTAAGGGTGAATAACCCTTATGACTTAGGGGTATGAAAGATAGATGTTTGCCGATTGTCAGACCTGCTCAACATGCACACAAAATTTCATCAAAATAGGTCAATCCGTTTCGGAGGATTTCACGACACGACACGAGAGTTTTATATATAAGATTTATTTATTTACGTTTTAAAACATTGAGTTATATTCATGTATTAGTCATATTTGGTCAGTATTGTTAAATATGATGTCAAATATAATGTAGGTAGATTTTATTATATTAGCTCCTGTCATTCAGTCTTGTTATCACAATATATATGTTATGAATTTAATATAGTTTTATATAATACTATAATAATTTATATGTTACAGCGGATTCAAAATTCAATTTACCGGAGAATATAACAGAGTTATATGTGAACGACAATGTTTTGGAAGTGCTGCCGGTCAATGAACTACTAAAATCTAAATTATTGAAAAAATTAGATGTTAGACACAATCTATTGACAAGTTTTTATCCAGAGTTAGTAAAAATGATAAGAGAAAATGGTCTACAAGTTTATTTTGAAGGTAGGTAATTTTTTATATACAATTTTGCTATTATTGACACACAGACATACATATACGTATTATGTAATAATTTAATTGGTTTTATTAAAGTAACTTGATTAATATTTGATATATATTGTATTGAAAAAGTCACAACCAGGAAAGACCTATGACTAAAATGATTAAGTACTATAATAAAGTAATATTTCTAACTTTTAAACCATTGTGTCCATTAAAATTTATTCAATTATACTAAAATTTGTTACTATCTGTGGTAATATAATCAATTATTTTTTATAATCTGTGCTAATTACAGATAATAAATTAAAGTGTGACTGCTTCACTCGACCTTTAAAGCATTATTTGAAGAAACAGACAATTACAAGAATTGATACGGAGAATATGTACAAAAATATAACATGTTTTGAACCACCATCTTTAGAAAATGAGAACTTTTTGACGTTAGATGAAGACAGATTATTGTGTGCTGGCAATGTTGAAATAAATGACAAGATGAGATCATATGGCAACACTGAATACGATTTCACTTCTGAACCTGATGTTTTGTTCAGAGATATACAATAGTGAGTTTGTTTCTTGATATTTAAGTTATTAATGACATAAGAAATATTGGAAACCTATACATATAGAAAATAAAATAAATTTAATGTGTATGTATTTTCATTATGGTTTCAAAGTAATGAAACGTCGGGAGTATGAAGTTAAAAAAATAGAGTACATGTAGTAAATCCGAATTTATTTATTTTATTTTTGTGAATGTAATTAAAGCTGATGCGTGAAATATCTTGCTTCATTTAATGTTTCACTACATCAGGAAAAAGTTATTAATTTCTATCTTCAAATATTTCCTACGTAAATATATAGAAAACCTTACATAATTATACAGGGTGACTGGTGAATTACTATCAATATTTAAGGAGAATACTCGGTACATGATTCTCATTCGAATTATGTAAAAAAAATAGGTACTTAATTTTTGACAAAATTTCCGTATAAATAAATAAAGTGTGTACACGTTCCAAGTGTTCCAAGTGTGGACGCGTACGGCGGCGTGCTGATACAACACCACGCCGCCGCACGCGTATGTGTGAGTGTGAGTGTATACCTAATCTGTAGGGTGTTCATACGATGCGTAATTAATTACATAACTTTCGGTTAACTTTACTTAGAAGTTTATTAATATTTATGTTATATTAATTTTTATTTTGTCATATATGATCGTCAAATATCACGTCCTCAAATATCGATACTAATTCACCAGTCACCCTGTATACATAAGTACAAATTTAATTAATTTTTTTCCTCATCAACAGTTCCCAGCAAGCCATGTACACACACTGGTACGTAACAACGACAGACGACGTCGCGGACTTCTATATATACATACGAGACAACAACAACACTATACACTACAACAAAGACATTACATACAACCTGCGGGCCATCACTATCGATATAAACGAGGAATTCAAAACGTCACTGAAAAAAGGCGGGAAATTTGACATCTGCATACAAGCGAAGACGTCAAACGGTTTCGCGCGCAAATGGTTTGACAGCCAGTGTCAGACGGCGCCGTCAAACTTTGACAGCTGGCCGAGGAAGCTGTCAGTTGATAAAAGGAGGCTGTCAAAGAAAAAGGTTACATATAGCTGGTTCTCAAACAGTGTACTAGGTTTAGTGAGTGATTCCATACTTATAACGCTTTGCATCTTCCTTGGAGTCTGTTTCAGGAGATTGGCGGATCTAGATATTTGAATATAAATTCATTAATACGGAGAAAAGATTTAATTTGACAGAAAGATTATTATCTTTCGTATATATAGTACTTACTAGAAAACGTTGTATTAATTGATTGGAGGTGAAACGAAAAGTACTTAATGCTCAAAATTAATCCGTCCAAATAAATACTCATATATTTTTATATTTATTTTAAGATATCATAATTATTTTTTATAAATATTTATTAAGAATTATATGTTTTTTCTATTTTTGTACACTGCCAATATTTAAGATGAAAATCATTCCGTCCTTAAAAATCGCCGCCTTTTTTATAAATTTAGCTTTAAGATGTGAATCTCTATTTTTTTAAATATTTATAATCTGTATATACATTTTTGTGAATGTTACCATAAATAAAAGCACAGATAAAGTTATATTTTATTATATATATTAAATGCGTGTTTTATTTCATTCCTATATGTATGTAAGTCTGTCTATTCCAGATCGCTCTCACTGTAACTTGGTATCGTCTTATATTCTTTAACATCGTACACGTTAGGATGGATCGATGAGTAGGCGCCGAATGTATCTGGAAATAAAACATTATTAGATAAAATAAAAGTTAAATATGTATATACAAAGTAATTATTGCCAGAGACTCCGCAAAAATTATCAGAATCGCGCTCCGAAGGAAATGTATGTGTTAAAACAACACATATAGTAGACTCGCGCTCACAGAAAAAACTTTACGCAATATAGCTCATAATGAGAATAATAATAATCTATAATCTATATACAGGGTGACTGGTGAATTACTATCAATATTTCAGGAGAATACTCGGTACATGATTCTCATTCGAATTATGTAAAAAAAAATAGGCACTTAAATTTTGACAAAATTTCCGTATAAATAAATAAAGTGTTGACACGTTCCAAGTGTTCCAAGTGTGGCCACGTGCGGCGGCGTGCTGATACAACACTACGCCGCCGCACGCGAATGTGTGTGTCAGTGTATACCTAATCTGTAGGGTGTGCACACGATGCGTAATTAATTACATAACTTTTGGTTAACTTTACTTAGAAGTTTTTTAATATTTATGTTATATTAATTTTTATTTCGTCATATATGATCGTCAAATATCACGTCCTCAAGTATCGATAGTAATTCACCAGTCACATGTATATATATAAAAATGGATTGCTGTCCCTTAGTCTCGCTAAAACTCGAGAACAGCTGAACGGATTTATCTTATCTTAGTCTTGAAATGTTCGTTGAGGTTCAGGGAAGGTTTAAAAGCTGGAAAAAAAAATTATTTCCGGGAACCCTAAAACAGTGCTTTTCTATTTCCCATACAAACGGGTTTTTCGACATTAGATTTGACAATTACCTAATATGTCAATCATTCTGTCGCACTTTAGAACATAGATATTCATGGCTTAAAGGTAAACTCTAAAAAAATAATTAAGAAATATTTTATTTCTTGATTGAGGCACTACGAAGTCTGCCGGGTCAGCTAGTAGCTTATAATTTTTTTAGTTCATATTATTATATTTCCCGAGTGTTTTGTGTGTAGTACAGCGGCGCATCATAGATGGCGCTGACGGTTGGTCGGTATATGTATGACTATTTCTTTAAAAACGTAATATATTATAAACTCCACTTAGATGAAGTAGCGGGATAAAGTTAGTTATTAATAAATATGATAAATAAAGTGATATACAAAAAATATGATCTTTCAAAGTGGTGATTATTGTTAAATATAATTAAATGAAAATGTCTTTTTATACATACCTATATGTATAACTTAAAACGACATAACTATTTCTAATATGTAGTACTTTTTTATTGTACACTAGCTTCCGCACGAGTATGTATATTTGTATTGCTTTCGGGTGCGTTTGTGTTAACAAAAAAAATAATTCGAATTATATCGCAATAAGTCTTGGATTTTTAAATAATAATATTTTGTCCAATTTGAAGATAATTTTATAATTTAATTAATAATTCTTGAACGTCACAACATATTTTACACATTCTTCGTTTTTTTAAATTTAATATACTAATAATTATTTTTTTTTTTATTTAGTCTACATTGAGAGTAACCTTTTACTAGGAACCTGAAATTAATTCAGTTCAATTACATAATGTGCTACAAGTGTTCAAAGTTGTATTATAAGTAAAAAGTGATTATTTTTAAGAAATTTTCTTTAAAATAAACAATATTGAAGTTATGACTATTCATTATATCGGTTTATTTATATAATAAATTATTTAATAAAACAACAAAAAGCCAACATCACGCGGTGTTCCCAGGCGGTCACCCATCCAAGTACTGACCGCGCCCGACGTTGCTTAACTTCGGTGATCGGACGAGAACCGGTGTATTCAACGTGGTATGGACGTTGGCGATGTTGCAGTATAAATTATTGATAACTACATTGTAATAATTTCAAAATACTGAAAGCTAATGACCTGTTATGAAATAGCATTTTCATTTAATAAATGTTTAAAACGAACCTATCTTTTTTCTATTTTATGTTAGTTTTGGATAATCGTGTTATTTATCACCCCATTTAATATTGTCATGACTTAATATAAAGTTAAAATAAATCTGTAATTTTGTATAATATTTTTGAAATTTGATCTCTAAGTGACGCTGTCACAGCCACAGTACTAACAGCAATATACATTACAAAAGAATAAGAGTTTTGGAGTTTAAAAGAAATGTTTTAGTAGCCTTACCACAAATTTACGTAAACTTAATATAGGCAGTTTATCTACGTTTTTAATTTTCTCATGCGATAGTATACACGTACATACATCTATACTAATATTATAAAGCTGAAGAGTTTGTTTGTTTGTTTGTTTGTTTGTTTGTTTGAAAGCGCTAATCTCCGAAACTACTGATTCGAATTGAATAATTCTTTTTGTGTTATATAGTCCAGTTATCGAGGAAGGCTGTGGGCTATATAACATCACGGTACGACCAATAGGAGCAAAGATATAGTGGTAAATGTGTAAAAAACGGGAGAAATTATTTCATCTTTGAAGCCTTCCGTTGCGTGCGCTGTGAAAACGGTTGAAGATACACAAAAAATATGTATTAAAGAATAATAGCTCTTTTAATGATCTAAAAAACAGTCCGCGACAGTATATGTCTATCTTTTAAGATTAACTCACAAAAACCGTTTTTATGGTACCTAATTTGGTCGAAATAATTTGTTTAAGATGTATCAACATAATAATATAAATCTTTATTCAAATAAACAAATAAATATGTTGTTGGTTAAGAAAACTTCATTGTGAATAAAAAAACATAGGTTTTATCCTAAAAATTCTACGGGAACTTCATCATTCCAAAAACCCCGCAAGAACGGGAACTATGTGGGAAGAACCAAAAATCTGCCGGAATTCACTATTTCACGCGGACGCAGTCGCGGCAAAAGCTAGTACTGTATATACGTTTGTAAAAGTCAGTGGTGGCTTAGTGGTTAAAAGGCCCGATTTCATGCACGAGGGCCCGATTTCGATCATGGCCCTGGCAAGTACCAATGTGATTTTTCCGAGTCATATGTACTTTCTAAGAGTATTTAGACATCACTGATTAATGCATTCCCAAAGAGGGTTGATGTCAGGCAGGCGGCCGGTCGTAAAAACAATTAGCCAAAACTATTCACAACATATAAGGCAGACCCTGGCTTTAGCTAGAAAATTGCCATGTAGAATAAGATACCTATATATAATTTAAAACCTACAATTTTCGTTAATCGCATTGAAAACAAGAAGAATTTTATGTACTGTTACCTATTTGATAGACAAACGTAACATTTCTAAAAGTTCTGACACAATAGATGTTTGGCATTCAGTTAATTCATTCTGAGGTTTTATTGTTAACGTAATGACTTTATGTATTAAGGTTAATAATATTTAAACTGTTTTCAAGCAATTAAAAGTATATATTTAAAATATTAAGAAAAACTATAATATTTATTTTATTAAATACGATTTTCTACGTCAAATACGCAGTTTTTCTCGATTTAAACTTAACCTACGTAAATATTATGAGATATTGTCAGTGAATAACTGTTGACGCTACGTATGTAGTAACGATGAAAACTCGTCTTAAGGACACTGATATTAATGTATTTAAAACAAAAGAAAGTCGTGTTAGTTACACTATTTATAACTCAAGAACGACTGTACGGGTTGATGGAAATTGGTGGAGAGATAGATTAGAACATAGAAAGGACATAGGAAGCTTTTCATCCGATCGAAAAAGAAATAAAAAGTTGATGAAATCCAAAATCTTCTTATCTACTGTATTTAAGGAGGAATAGAGTTCGTTCAGTCAGATATATATTTCTAATTCTGAAACTAAAGCAGACAAAGTCGATGGCATAATTTGAAAATAAAATCATTCAAATTATTATTAATCAATTTTGATCTTGTTTCGAAGTTCACAAAAAATGGTTACTCATAACAGTAAGTAACTGTATTATTTTCAAGTTAGTTCTCGCTCACTTATTTCAGATCAAATTGGCCTGTTAGTGATTTCTTTGACGGCTAAAATAATTTTGATAGAATTTTTTATATTGATTTTAAGAATGATGAACGATTTTGAGATTTATGCCTAATATGGTTGTGATTAGAAAGAGATATGTTTACGAATTAATGAAAAAAATGTATTTTGTTACAAAAAATATTTTTAATAATTGGTACAGGTTTATTTTGAAACATATTAATTGTCAAACGAAAGTAGTTTTGTGCGTTATTAAGTTAATCGGCATAATGATGAAGGGATTTTAAATTTAATCATTTTAATTTTTTTTAGTTTCCCGTTTTGTAAACTGAGTGGTAATAACAAAAAACTAAAGATGGAAAAAACGTATAGTTTTCAAAAAAACAGATGAATAAGTATATAATGAGATCTAAGACATTAAAAACTAAGATCCTTAAAAACTATTTCCTTTTAGCTCTCCATTTTCTCAATACTACATAACATACATAATATTTTCTACCTGGCAATTTCCCAGCTTTAGCCAGGGTCTGCTTTACATGTAGTGAATAATTTTGGCTAATTGTTTTTACGACCGGCCGCCTGCCTGACATCAACCCTCTTTGGGAATGTATTAATCAGTGATGTCTAAATACTCTTAGAAAGTACATATGACTCGGAAAAATCCCATTGGTACTTGCCAGGATCGAACCCGCGCCTTCGTGCATGAGAGGCGGGCCTTTTAACCACTAGGCCACCACTGGTTAATACATATATTATTATATATAAGAAGGTTTATTAACAAAATCTCATTTATAATTTGTGCGAATATAATGTAAGTGTCTTACCAATATCTCTGATAGTTCGCAGGTGACCTGTAATATATGAACAGATCAAATTATAAACAAGACTTTGCTAATAATATTACGTATCTAAAATATTAATATTAACTTTACTTATAAAAGAAAAATATGATTTTTGAAGTAATCTTTTTAATATTTGAAACACGTTATTGCTAAACTATGAGCATGAAATCAAGAATTAATAAATTTTGAAAAATATTGCGATGTTTTATATTCGTGATAAATTAATATTTTATTTTTTTATTTAAAGAAAGAGAAAGAAAAATTAACATATATTCCAATAGAAAACTATTATTATGTCAACTTTTTTTTTGTCTTTAGTTTTCGTTCGTAAAATTCAATATTTTCGCGCCAAAACAAAAAACATTAATTAAATATGATTGACATAAGACGTAAATAAATTTATACAGGGTGACTGGTGAATTACTATCAATATTTAAGGAGAATACTCGGTACATGATTCTCATTCGAATTATGTAAAAAAAATAGGTACTTAATTTTACTTAATCTTAATCTGTAGGGTGTGCACACGATGCGTATTTAATTACATAACTTTTGGTTATTTTTACTTAGAAGTTTATTAATATTTATGTTATATTAATTTTTATTTTGTCATATATGATCGTCAAATATCACGTCCTCAAGTATCGATAGTAATTCACCAGTCACCCTGTATAGTCTGTGAAAGGGAACACAGATAAAAATAAAAGTACCTAATTGATGTAGTTCTATAATAATTTAAATATTATACAAGTTACTCACCATGGTGTTCATAATTTTGTGTCCAAGGATGTTCGTGATGATGATGCTTAGACTTCCACGCGGTGAAGAAGGACGCCACCTGACATTTAATAGAAAATGTTTATAATATTTGTTATTTAATTAAAGTATAACTATGATTTCATTTATTCTTGACATATATGTAATAGTCGTTGATATATGGGGCTTAGATTATTTGAGTAAATAAAATAAAATTGTATTTTTTGGATATAGCTAGCAGTTTTATTATTAATTTTCAGTTATCCATACGTCTTTAGACGAATTTGGTTTTAATAAATATAGTTATAAGCTTAAATATTCATTAAAAGTTTTGTATCTAAGAAAATTGTTTTTTTTTTTTAAATATAAACTTCGATTATTCAATTTATACGTAATGATCGCAATATATTCAGCCAATGTCAATTTTTAAATTAATTAACGGTTGGTTGTTTTAATATTTAAATGTGACTTTCATTTATTAAATAATTTGAACAAACCTTTGCTGAACTGACAGCGATTTTGAACACAAGTAACACGATACCGATGACAACTGATTTTACCGCCATGAGACCTGTCAGTGTCAGCCAGGTGGATGTGGCGCCAACTTGAAATACCACCGGAAGTAACGCCATTGATAGTTTCTTGACACCACGACCCTCTAGTGAAAATTATAAATAAATTAAATAGATTTTAATAAGGTAAGAATATTTTGATGTAATAAAAAATATATTCTTCAGAAGAGGCTTCATAAGCTTAAAATTGCTTTTCTTTTGTAACTTTACTAACCAATTAATTTATTAAGTTTAATTTGTACTAACACCATATGGATCTACAAAATGGTCTGAAATAAATTATTATTATAAGCAATTTAATTTATAATATTATACAAATACATACCATTTTGAACTTCGTAAAATTTCTTCTTCATATCTTTATAACCAATCAACCTTCCTAATTCACTATTATTGAAATGTCCATCGTTTATATTCTCCAGCCATTTCCCGACACCCGTTGCGTACTCTGATAATTTATTTTCTAATTTACATTCTAAAACATTCAACAAACTTTTATTTAAATTCGATTTAACGTTTGTTATATTAAAAATAAATAATGTCACAAATGTCAGAAATAATCGCGCCATTCCCGTGCGTGCGATCTCAAATTTGAATAACAACTGACGTTATAGAAAGATGAAATTGTTTTTTTTGGTTTCGTTTGTTGAAAATGTACAGCGGAGAACGTATGGCATGTATTACTGAATCTATTTTTCAATACCTATATGAAATCATTTTAGAAAGTATGCCAATAATAACTTTGATATATATATTAATAAAATAGGATGAAAGTAATTGCAGTCTGAAATGGATGTATGACAAAATAGTTTTCAGACTCGTAATATTCAAATTTTTACTAAAAGTGATATAATTTTTCTAATAATGATATTAATTATTAAATATTATACCAGCATATTTTTTTTAATATACAATTTAAAATATGTATACAAAAAAAGTAAAAACATTATGGTATAACGGTATAAGCAGAATTAAAATAGTGCTTGATATGTCAAAAAAAATTTACATCTATGACGTCATACTTATAAAATTTATATATATGTATATACAGCTTGACTGGTGAATTACTATCAATATTTAAGGAGAATACTCGGTACATGATTCTCATTCGAATTATGTAAAAAAAATAGGTACTTAATTTTTGACCAAATTTCCGTATAAATAAATAAAGTGTGGACACGTTCCAAGTGTTCCAAGTGTGGACGCGTGTGTGTGTATACCTAATCTGTAGGGTGTTCACACGATGCGTAATTAATTACATAACTTTTGGTTACCTTTACTTAGAAGTTTATTAATATTTATGTTTTATTAATTTTTATTTTGTCATATATGATCGTCAAATATCACGTCCTCAAGTATCGATAGTAATTCACCAGTCACACTGTATATGTGTATATATACAAATATATAGTTATGTAGGTCGTTATATTAAAGTAAGCCATCACATTCTATCTTTAGCAATCTATGACCGGAGTGAAACAAAAAAAATAAACAAAAACAGAATACGCATTGGGTTTCTTGTAACCGTTTTTGCTACACACGAGAGCTGTGAAGAAAATTGATTCGTTTATAAAAAGAGGATATATATATACCTACATTTAAGATTCCTTAAATTTATGAATCTAAGGCTTTATACTACGTGTTTCGTAGTATATGAAAAACGTAGTTTCATTTAAAGACTACTTTCCTTTCTTGATATTATTCCCTCAAATAGGGTGGATCTTTTAAATGTTAATGTATTATTATTAGGGGCCATCCATAAAATACGTCACACTAATTTCATGAGTTTTTGAGCCCTCCCCCGTCCTTGTCACAGGTGGTCACATTTCTGAGACCCCCCCTCCCTAGTGTGACGTCACATGTTTTGCAATTTAACATCGAGAAATTATTAAATTAAAACAGCAGTTCCGGAATTAGTTTTATTTCCATTTAAAATAAGTCCTTTTTTGAGAAATCAACATAGTATCAAATATTTGAAATAATAAATAAACTAATGAATATATACAGGGTGACTGGTGAATTACTATCGATACTTGAGGACGTGATATTTGACGATCATATATGACAAAATAAAAATTAATATAACATAAATATTAATAAACTTCTAAGTAAAGTTAACCAAAAGTTATGTAATTCATTACGCATCGTGTGAACAGTCTACAGATTAGGTATACACACACACACACGCGCGTTTGGCGGCGTGGTGTTTTTTTTTTTTTTTTTTTTAACGAGGAGAATCTTTCAAAGACTTCCCGCCGCGGGGGAAACACGGCGGGGGCGTGTGGGATTTCCACCCACTAAACTCCTCGGCGTTCTCTGCGCAGTGCGTAGACTAGTGAGCGGGAACGGCAAGCTATACTTCCGCTCACTACGCACGAGTCCCGAAAGGGACTCCGCCATCGGCAGGGGCATCAGTGGCTGACCACACCACCCCTCCGACTCAAGAGCAGCGTGCCGGGAACGCCAAACACGCCGCTCTTACTCAGGCCTATGTTACCCGGACGCCGGTTCCCCACCGACGCCCGGAGGCTCCTCACTGGGGAGGCAGGTCGCGGGAATATGCCCGCTGCCTTCGACCCAGTCTACGTCGACGCAAGGGCGCCGAGGAGGGGTCGTCTTCCCGTGCACGTTCTGCGGCCTCTTTCCGCGACATCACGTGCTCGCAGAACTTGACCATCGCCTCCCAGGCCCTCTCGCTACCGACCATGGCCTGAACCACAGCCGCAACGATAGGTCTGCGCCAACTACTGTGGTGAGCTGGCGACGCTCTACAGCCCACGCAGGGCACTCCGCCAAGGTGTGATCGGCCGTGTCATCCATGCAACTGCAATGGTGACACGGCGGCGTGGTGTTGTATCAGCACGCCGCTAGCACGCGTCCACACTTGGAACACTTGGAACGTGTCCTCACTTTATTTATTTATACGGAAATTTAGTCAAAAATTAAGTACCTATTTTTTACATAATTCGAATGAGAATCATTTACCGAGTATTCTCCTTAAATATTGATAGTAATTCATGTGATGACGCGCTCAGTTTTAAAGATTTTAATTAATATTTCAAATTACGCGATTAGTAGCTCTAGATTTTGAAATGTGATGTCACGAAACTTAGGACCCCTCCCACCCTTTGTCACAACATGTCACACTTTGTCGACCCCCTCCCACCCCTTTACGTGTGACGTACTTTATGGATGGCCCCTAATGAAATGGTAGTATATATTAAAAGATATATATACCTAAAAATCTATTTAGATACTAAATATTTTTTATCATCTCTCAAATTCTCTCACTCTTGACTAAAAAAAGAAAAAAGGTCGCATATAATTTCATATTCTTAACCTCATTGATGCGTCCGAATAATACAGGAGTTATATTACACAAAAAGTACGAAAAAACTATCAAATATATTTAATTTCAGTAGTCTTTAGGATATAGAATGTCCGAAATTATATTGGGTTGCAATAAATCAATCATTATTAGCTTTCAAATCAATATATTTTAATAATTGGCTGTATGAGAATTCAGATATAAAAACTTTTTTTCAGAAAAAAAATAATTACTTGCTTTTTTTTATAACTTAATCAGTTTCCATTATTTCAATTACTAAATCACATGTAATTATTCTACCAATTTTTATGGAATTTGAAGAAAGATGTTTTTTATAATTTCGATGCAATTACGATGTAGCGTACATGAAAGTACCAATCATACTTAGAGCGGCCATCTTTAAACTACAAGACTTACAGTTTGAAAGTCTATTACAGAAAAAAAAATAAAAACAAATTATATGGATATTTTGACGAAACAAATATTATTAATTGTTAAGACGCGTGATTTACTATCACAGATTATAATTATTATTTTTTAGCTGTAATAGAATGTAATTTTGATTATGTTATTAAAATAAAGATTTAAATTTTATTCAACGTATATAATTACATATATCAATTTAACCAAACTTAATAATGATTTTCAGATTTTATAACCTTATATTTGCAATATGTCACTTAATTATGTTATGGATCTGTCAAAACATTAGACATTTTCTTATTTAACTTAGATATATGTATATCTAATTAAATATAATTTAACAAAGTTTAAAAATCATATTTGTTAAGTTAATTTATATAAATAAATATCAATTTCTTATTGAAAACATTCTATTGAAGACTTAAGTCAATATTGGCTGTATAACATTGGATTTGATAGCTCTGTCATTACTATAATTGTTTTAATGATCGCGAAAGTAATTCATTTGCCGCCATTTTTCATAATTACTTTGCAAATCTGCATGAAATTTATTTCAGTGTTATACTTAATTATGGCTGTATATTTATTATTCAGCTAGATTTTTTGTTGTTTTAAAATATTAGATCAAAAAATATCTCGATCAAATCTAAAAAGGTTAAAACTTTTTGACACACAAATGGCTATTCAGAATTTAAATATAAAAGATAATTTAGAAGCGAAATCATCGATCTATTTTATAACGGATGCGATATTAAAATATGAGATGATGAGATGAAATTTTTTGTTGCAACAACACTGCTTATTTGAAATGTGCTAAAAATTTGGTTGCTATCTTGACCTCGTATACGTCAAACTTTTTTCATTCAAGTTATTTTTCGTGTATCTATATATATTTATATGATTATTATAGAATATCAATTGTGAGGGCTGCCACAAAAATATTATAGTTTTAATTTCGTAATGTTATTTTAAAATTATTTATTATTATATATAAATTAATTAACGATTTTTTTTATCTACTTTAAATGTCATTTGAAAATAATTTTGACGTTTTGACAGCCCTGTTACATAAATTAGCACTAGAGGGAACAACAAAAAGATGTACAATTTCTTATGAGCACTACATATTGACCTAGACTTAATAAAAAGGCTTTTATTCTTTCGTCTGAACATTTTAATGGATATGTAATTTCACCGACATATTTGATTCATTTTTAACGATGTGGCGTCCAAAGAATATAATAATTATCAAAAGAATTAGGACATTGTGGTGTTTTATAAGAATTCACACGTGTTTTTTGTTATACGAATAAACTGGTTCATATCTGAAGTTGCGTTTGGTGATCGTAGCGAAGGAGGTTTTTTGTAAAAAGTTCCGATAGGTCTAAAAAAGTTTTCAACACTTAATCTTTTTATCAGAACCGATAAACAGTTGCTAGGCCAAGTCTATGGTTTTTTATTTATTGTGATATATTTTACGTACTTTTTAATGTCTTTTTAAGTTCACAGTTATTGTCGTCACCGTTTTAATAGGCGTAGTTAAATTTAATTGTTAAATTCGATACAAAAAATATATATTTATAGTTATATATATTTATTGTTGTTTAAAAATGGTAAAAAGTTTCATTTTATATATAAAATGTATTTATAATATAGATCGCAATAGAAAAGTAAATATTATTGTAGAGTTGTCATTGTCAATTGTGAGAATGGCGTCGTAAAAAAACTTAAAATACACAGAATAAACAGAAATTTTTATTGTGTATCCGCCATTGGATTGACGTTTCCGGTGTATCGTTAAAATAATATTTGTGGATCATTATGTTCATATATAATAATATATAATAGTTTAAATTATTATTTTGACCTTTTTCACCAATACTAGCGGTACCACGATATATTTATTACGAAATAAACCAAAACACATGTTCACATTTTAATTAATAAAAAAACAATATTATATGATAAGGATATAATATAAAGGATACTAGAAAGGTTTTTATCTATTACTTATTTTTATTTAACTAAAAACACAAATTTTAATGCTTATGATGCTGTTTGTATAAAATTTAGACAACCCTACATGAAAAATACTTTACTTATTTTGACAAAAGATTTCAACAAATAGTTTTGTAAGTGGTACAGTCTAGCTGTGGTCAAGTTACTACAGTTCGAACATGTGCTGTCTCGACCGTAAGTACCACCCTCTCACAGAAGATCGGCGTGAAGTAGTCTTTGGCATAACATTTTCAGTGATACAAAAGTCTATTGTCGATGTGGAAATAAAAGAAATATTTTTTTTCCATTTGAGTAATCAATAAATTATCAAATATAATATATTTATATAAATAAATATTACTCAATTATTGAATAGTTATATGCAAACGTAGGAATAGATAAAAAACATAACCTACCTATTGATAAGTTGTGTAAAATTTAACTAAATGTGTATCGAATCGTAAGAAGAATAGAACTATTTCTATCAATAGCAATCAATGGCGTCTTTGTCAATGAACAAATGTCTATTATCATTTTTTGCTAACAATTATTTGCTGTTAAATGAAGAGGATGAACTTAAAACGCTCTAAATATATATATACAATGTAAATTATATAGGGTGGCAACCGGAGGTTCCAGGAGAACTACGAAATTTACTTATATGTATATTAAAATACGAATTACATGTTAAAACTTATAACCTATACCTAATACTACATGATTGACCCGATGTTATGATAGCAATACCATTCCATAGCTTGTGTGGTATCAGGAATCTTCTGGTTCACACGCTTGGTGTTCGTTCCGCGGAGTCAGCAGCGTCACTTGTTATATGATATTTTATACATACAACGAGGTGGCCCCGGCGATGTTCACTTATTTCTTCATATGTAGCTCGTACGTAACAAGTACAATAATATGTACCTTAAAATAATCATGTCCCTTTTAATGAAATGACACTCGACATCGTTTTGATAATGCTTTTTCTAATTTATTTTTAATTGTTGCGTGCTCTGGAAGCTCTCCAGATAGTCCCGCTTTTAGGTAATTTACAGAAAATTGACATTAAGCTGCTAAAACTATTAAAATAAATTTTCCAAACGATATCGAGTGTTATTTCATTAAAAAGGACATGCTTTTTTTATCCAAAAATGGTACTGTAAGTAAGAAACTTATATTTTTTTTCTTCACCATCGGAAAATAGAGATTTCAACGAACAGAAAACACACCAAATTTTTGAAAAAAGCTGATATTTTGACGGGTAATTTTTCGATTGAAAATGAGGCTGATTTTTTTTATATTTATTGAAAATAAGCTGACAAAATAAATATTTCTAATCAAATAAATTACAGTGTATTTGGGACATCAAAAGGTATGTTTTCACCAAATTTCATTACAAAATATTGTGTTTTGTAAGAGATAAAAATAAAAACCAAAAAATGGTGTTTCAAATTTTTCACATAAATTTTGAGGTTATATGAAAAAAATGTTAGTACAAAAGTTTTAGATCTTTTTATTAACTACAACTTTGACATATAACTTTTATCCGTAGGACTTTCAGTTTTGCAGGAAATCGAGAAAACCCATTTTTTACCCTTAAATACCCTTCCCGACCTCAGATCACCCGTAAATTATTTTTCATTTCATTATTATACTAATCCCCTCTTTTTTTAATGGGTTTCATTCTACTATAATTTTGTTTTGTTTTAAAAGGTATCGACACTGGTCTATAACACGAGTTTCATTTTTCACACTACGTACGACACATTTTCAGTTTCTTGTTATATAAATAAAGTGTCAATTGCTAAACTACTGAAACGATTTTAAATATAATTTTGCACATTACAGTTTGATCCAATTTGCAAGATAGGATAGGTTACATCTAATATATAGCCGAAATTATTATATTATTGCAAATATTAATCCATTATTTGATATTCACAATGATATTTTAACTCCAAACAATTTCAACAATTGTATTGTATGACGTCACGTGACACAGTCTATAAAATATAAATGTAGTTGACATAACTATATCTATTATTTTGACACATTTTTACTCTGTGACATGCTCTCGAACGCAGTCGCGGGTAAAAACTAGTATATTACGCAAATATTTTTCAATGAAAATCTTTTACTCGATGTATATAGTGTTAAAAGCAGGATTTTTTACAAGCTTTTTTTGATATACATTGATATTTTCGTTCAGTGAAAGCTATTAAGCGTGGTCAATCTTTTGTGTTTCAACAAGTCATTGTTTTCGTTGAACTAAATGCTATTGATATGTTCTTTAATTATAAGAACCAGAGCAAGTTAATTAAAGATTAAAATTACCTATATACCTACTATTGTTTATTGTGTGAGAGTTAGTTGATTTGAAATAAATGACATGACAAGAATTATATTAGGAATAATAATGATAAACATTAAAAATAAATAAAAACTAAATTAAATAAGAAAGACGTAAACTTTACTTCCATGGAACTTTTCTGGTTTACCTTCTAAACTCAGTATTTACTGAACATCCATAATTCTCAAAGATATTATCTACAATCTTCCACCAAAAACAGAGCCTAATTCATCTTAATTGGGGCTCCAATTGAATTGACTGACAAAACCAGGAGTGGTAGAAACAAATTGGTCATCATATTTCGTCATAATGACGATACCAAGCCCAGTTATTTCTTGTTCGTTCAAGGTTAAGCGTATAAGCAATGATTTTCAGACGTACTATAATTGGGGGGTGCAGTCCCAACCAAAATCACAATTAATATTTATATATAGAGCAAGAGCCATCCAGGCATTTGTTGATTTATAGAAGCTGAAAGTTTTTCTATAGATGTACCCAATACAGGTAGTCACGATCCCCACCTATGAAATTTGGGTCGCGGTGGCTTTGGCAGGTAACACGTTCTAAAGGTGTATAAAATTGTCTTTCACTTTCCTCAAAGTATATTATTCAGTTTTGATATATTTTCATCGTAATAATCTTAGAAATCACGCTGTAAATTGCCAGGCACTTAATAAGGTGGCAACCCCAGCCAGGCACCCCTAAATTTATAAGTAATTTTATTTGTCCTTTCGTTTAATTATATAAGCTGGCCCTGGCTCTTCGACTAATATGACTCACAGACCAGAGTCCTCTCTCAGTGTTCGTAAAATTATAAACAGTTTGAACAACGGCATTCACATTCTAAAGAGTTAAAGTAAAAAGACGAAATCTATAAGAAAATGATGATTGACGACACTGTACAAATAGTTTTGACGTCATCTTTTGTTAGAAGTTTGGAGAAAAAATAATCTATCAAATGGGCCATTCATTTACTATGAGTATCTGAAAATAGATATAAAATTTGTCTCAATATAATACGCTGTCTGTCTGTCCTACAATGTTTGCATTTACAAAAAAGATTATTAACATTTTTATCTAGTTTATCAACTAACTGTGATACTCAAATTTATGCTCTGACGATTTTGCAAGATTACGTCTTTGTATTTTTTGTGTTTTTAAGCTAAAAAAGTAGAAGGCTTACCTAATGAAGTTAGTTAGAATGTGCATGGACATCCACAATATAGTTTTGAGGATGAGTTCCTAGCTTTGATTGTGGGAGAGAGAGAGAAAGGGTATGAATAGGAAAAGGGCAACCGTCTCTCTCACTCATCGGACGAAACGCAGCCATTAAAGGCTACTTCACGCCGATCTTCTGTGAGAGGGTGGTACTTCAACGATTGGGATAGTACATGTTCGAGCTGTAGTATGACCACAGCTAGGCTCAAGTAAAAAAAACTATAATTATTCTTTGGAGTTACACATTTTATAAACTAATATTATTTTGCTTGTCAAATCAATGTCTTATTTTTCGTTATTATTAATACATAAATTACGTGCCAAAGTAAATTCTATGTACAGTTAAGGAAATAAAAATAACATAATTATTAATAAATAAATTACGTGCCAAAGTAAATTCTATGTACAGTTAAAAAAACAACATTATATATACAATAAAACAGCTTTATTTATATAATAATACAATGAATGTAGTGAGTATTGCCACAGGTGCTAAATGACTGTTACTTGCCAGCGCCCTCTGTGGAGCAAATAGTGCGACGTCTTCATAGTTTGAGTTCCAACCAATTACTTCTTCATCACGATTCTGAACTCTCAGCCATAATTCCAAGGGTCGGAAGAACCTGCATTATATTATATATTATGTTATTCACATATGTATAAAGTTTTGTGTCTGGTGCGGAGTGTATAATGTATTTAATGTAGTGTATAAATTTCGATTACCAATATATTCCAACAACGTTTGATCAAATTCATAAAAGCAATATTAAAATATCAAATACATCAGCCGTAAATAAAGTATGAAGTCACGCTATTTAAGTTAAATAATAAATTATTCATAATAAAGTTATAAAAAAATGTTTTCTTTCATAAAATAAGATCTAAGCATTGCAACGTGCTAAACATATAAGGATTATTAGTATGTAATAATTAATTGGTATTTTTTTAATATATTATATTTATTATATTAACGAAGTAATGTAAAACAGATTTTATGTATTTTATTCAAATTATAGTTAAAATCTTACTACTTCAAATATTTAATATAACGAAAACTGTTTGTCAAACCATAATAATAAGTCATACGTTAAGAACAGTTGTGGGAATGGTTCCACATCTGTCACAGGTTTGATGCCAGTTCATAATAATTTGTTCAAAAGTTGTACATTATTCAATAGTTGTACAATTTATTCAACAGTTGTACATATTCTATAGTTGTACATATTCAATAGTTGTACATTATTTAATAGTCGTACAATTTATTCAATAGTTGTACATATTCTATAGTTGTACATTATTCAATAGTTGTACATTATTCAATAGTTGTACATTATTCAATAGTTGTACATTATTCAATAGTTGTACATTATTCAATAGTTGTACATTATTCAACAGTTGTACATTATTCAACAGTTGTACATTATTCAACAGTTGTAAACTCACTTCACAATAGATTCCGGTGATATTCTGTTAGTTTTTCCTCTGGTCATTGTTCTTATGACGTCTGACGCTGGTTTTGAAGCTCCTATTTGCATCATCTCACTGAAAAAAAATATATTATTTATGTTCTAAAATCGTCAACTTATCTTTTATACATTTTATTTATATATAAAGGCTTTATTTATTTAGGTAATTTATTCTGTTGCCTATGTTTAAAGGAAAACTAATAATAATAATGTCATATAAAGTTTAATCGCTTTTGTGAAATACATTCCATGGTAAAAAATTATATATATGATTTACGTACTTCTAAGAAAATAAATGAACTTTATTATACCTAATTATATAATTAGATATACCTAGATATAAATAAATTGATATAGTTGTAAATATATAACAAAGTATCTATGAATTTAAGTCATCTATTTCATATCATCACCCCAGAAGTCTGCCGGCGTCTCTACTCCTGTATATATCACACTCGTGCAGGTGACCTGTATGACCTGCAGCAACACAGAGCTGCTCGAACACCTGGAACTCGAGGACCGTAGCCAGGAAATATTTTATGTAATCCTGGAAAAACAAAAAAATACAACTAGCTTTCCGTTATATCGCGTTTCCAAGAGAAGCTTTCAAAAGTCTGGGATAGAAACTATCCTATGTTCTTTCTCAAGGTCAACTCTATGTCTGTAACAAATTTCATTAAAATCAGTTCAGTGGTTTATCGTAACAGACAGACAGACAGTCAGACAGAGTTATTTTCGCATTTATAATATTAGTAGGGATTCTTTACGAGTACATTATACATGGAATAATGTTTGTTTTATAAATAAGGCACTAAAGTTTTGTTAGATTTTAAATTAATTAACTGACACAGTCAATAGACGGCGCTGAAGTTTACATTATATGTACCTATTTTTATTTAATCCCGAATTATTCCTTTCAATGAAAAGAATCTTTTTTGAATGTACCTACTACGCGATTTTATTTTTAACTATAAACTACATACTCCCGACGTTTCGGTTACTTTACAGCAACCGTGATCACGGGCAGACGAGATATAAAATAAAATCGCTTAGTACATCCTAAAAATATTAGTTTCATTTAAATGAATATTCGCGAAATTCTTACATCTCATTATGCGAATTATTCCTTCCATACAGACGGAGTAAGGGCAAAAACTAGCAAACTTTAAACATACAAAGTAAAACCAAGATTTCTTCTAAAAATATTAACTTCGTCAAACAAAAGCAGCGGTATTAGAAAGTACGTAATATTTTAAAAGTGGTACATCAGACTCGAGTATAAAAACTGTCTATCTACAACTATAAGATCTTATCGCAAGTAATTTGATTCCAAAAAGAAAAGAAAAGAAAGAAAAGAAAAGAAAAGATAATGTCTACACCAAAAAGGTCAGATAAATAAAGAAAAAAACTCACAAATGTATTGTCAAGTTAATGAAAACGCCCTTCAGAGATGAATTACGTTTTTAATCAAATTCAATTTGATGCCATGTATCTCTAAATTGTTATACTTTTTAATTTATTTATCAGCTAATATGTGGTCGTGAGATTTTTTTAAACAACAAAACAGCAGCGTCATGATATAAATTGCAGTGCCCTTAGAAGTAATTTAATTTAGATTTTATTTGTGATTGAAAAACATAAGTTGATGCTGTACAGATTTCTAATTTACTGATTGTTTAGTTACACGGTACAAGGTTTTATACATATATTTATTTCACTTATATGTAAATTATATATGTAATATACGATAAATTTTACATTTATCTATGTAGATATATTTACGATTTTTTATATATGTTTATATATAGTTAGCAACGCGATATACTAGTTCTTGACCATGACTTTGTCCGAATAAACTTCAAAGTTGCTTTCAGAGAGAAATGTATAAAGTTTGTTAAGCAATACTTAAGGTGGCACTTTACTTGGCGTTGCGTATTTGCCGCATTTGTCCAAATATTTGTACGTAGTCCGAATAACGCAAACACGACATCCACACTTGGCATGCCAACAACACGTCTATGCGTTTTCGCTTATTTGTGTATGTGTCTTATTCGTGCAAATATGTGAAATGAAGACGAATAAATCATCCACACATGGTCTCATTTGGTCGAACACAATAAACAGACGAAAAGTGAAGTGCAACCTTTAGTTATATTAACCTACTGTTAGCAACGTCTATAGTTTGTGGTATTTGTTATCAAATAAAATACAACTATTTCGGGATTAATTATATCCTATATCTTATTCTGATGTCCAAACTACATTACTGTTAAGTTTCATCGAAATCCGTGCAGCAGTTTTTGCGGTAAAGAGCAACAAACATCCATACACACATACATCTATTTATAATAGTACTATGATAGATGGTAATAATATGGTATAAAACTAAAATAAATTCGAATGAATCAGGTTTCCGCACGATGTTTTCCTTCATCTGTCAGGGATGTCTAAATACTCTTAGAAAGTACATATGACTTTAAAATCACATTGGTGCTTGCTAGGATCGAACCCGCGTCCTCATGAAAGGCGGGCCTATCGCTAGGCCACAACGATAATTAAACATACTAAATATATATTATTATAATTATTACCTGATCTGATACTATATGATATTTCGATCCCGGGTCAAAGTCCACTTCTGTTCTTGGTATCGGCGGAGTTACTCCCTGAAAATCAACAAAGGTTTGATTAAAAAACAACATATATACTTTCCATATAAAATATATGACTATATATATATACTAATAGCTTTCCGTCCGCAGCTTCGCCAGCGTGGAGTACGGTTACATCGCGTTTCCAAGAGAACCTTTTAAAAGTCTGGGATAAAAACTATCCTATGTTCTTTTTCAAGGTCAACTCCATCTCTGTACCAAATTTCATTAAAATCAGTTCACTAGTTTAGGCGTGAAAGCATAACAGACAGACAGACAGAGTTACTTTCGCATTTATATTATTAGTAGGGATTGTTGAAACAATTACAGATTTGTCTTTCAATGTTCTTTACTTCCAGTTATATCTTCCAAAGTATCTGAAGCCAGTACTTATAGTTTTCAAACACAGGTTGATACTTAAATGTTATACACAAAATAACAATGGTTCAGTATTATAATTAACTAGAAGACCAAGCGAACTTCGTATCGCCCTATAATCAAGAAATATCTATTACGTTTTTTTTATTTATATTTTGGGAGTTTACCTATTAAAGCCATAAATCTCCGTTTTTTGAAGTGCGACAGAATAATTGACATATTAGTTAGTTGTCAAATCTAATGTCAAAAAAAAAACGTTTGTATGGGAAATGGAAAAGGGCTGTTTTTATGGTTTTCCCAGTAATGAATCAATTTTTTTCAGCTTTTATACCTTCCCTGAACCTCCACGAACATTTCAAGACTAAGATAAGATAAATCCGTTCAGCTGTTCTCGAGTTTTAGCGAGACTAAGGAACAGCAATCCATTTTTATATATATAGAAGATAGAAGATTATGATCAGTCATGAAAATAATTCTAATGATTATAGTATCATTAGTACGGCAGAGAGGGCGTCACTTGTAACAATATACTATCTTATATAAAATTCTCGTGTCGCGGTGTTAGTCAGAGAACTCCTCCGAAACAGCTTGACCGATTATCATGAAATTTTGTGAGCATATTGAGTAGGTCTAAGAATCGGCCAACATCTATTTTTCATACCCCTAAGTCATAAGGGTTGTTCAATGTTTTTGTTTTTATTTTTTTATAATGTAGCATTAAAAAATACATCACTCTACTCAAAATTTTTACTTTTTTACCACCAACCTCTATTTTTTATATAGCAAAACAACGTTTGATTTGTCAGCTAGTTTACATATAAGTAAATATCTTCTTCTACCTGCCAATTTCCCAACTTTAGCCAGGGTCTGTCTTACATGTTGTGAATAGTTTTGGCTAATTTTTTTTACGACCAGCCGCCTGCCTGACATCAACCCTCTTTGGGAATGCATTAATCAGTGATGTCTAAATACTCTTAGAAAGTACATATGATTTGGAAAAATCATATTGGTACTTGCCCGGGCCAGGATCGAACCCGTGCCCTCATGCATGAGAGGCGGGCCTTTTAACCACTAGGCCACCACTGACTTAACAATAGACTATTTATATAAAAGTAAATATATGAAAATGTATTTATCTTATAACTTACCTGATATCTCAATTTCATCTGCCACCATCTGGCGTTCATATTCTTAACGCCGTCTTCGAAAATCGACCATCGCCACTTATATAAAAAAATAACATTAAAAATAAGCCTTAATTGCAATTATAACTAATTATTTTCGCAATTGCAATTATAGCAATTTTCAATAAGTTTCTGCACAACATTCTGCCAATATCAAAATGAATCTTTGATTAATTTGTATCGTTACTACAAATTCAGCGTTAATAGTTTTTCAGTCATCTTATATAGTATTAACGTAGGTTATTGAGTAAAAAACGCGAAACTCGTCGTATGTAGTAACGATACAGGCTTTGGTAAATACTTAATAGTTTTTGACAGTAATAAAATGACAATTCATTATTTGTATTTATTATGGCGGACTGTACAATAATTATGTAGATTTTTTTTATTTATCGTAAATTTTAGACTGAAATATATGACTGATCAGCATTAGTATGAGTTTTTATTTCAATACAAATGTAGTTTATCACTTACTTATAAAAAAAACTTAGTTATCTCTGTTAAAATATTATACCGTCGGTAATAAAGTAACTCTGCTTAATAAGGCTTAATGTCAATGACCTTTTGACGTTAGAAGAAGTTGTAAGGTTGGTATTTTGGGAAGAATTTTGTTCAAATCAAAGTAATTTAAACAAGCTTTATAATAATTACCTGATCCACCATAAACGCGAACGGAAGGTAAGCCACTTTCTCAAGAGCCATCGACATTAGAAAATTCATACTGACTTCATACTGGTCGTGAGATCTGAAAATAATGGTCGAAATATTACCTTATTATTATGAAAAGAAAGAAAGACATAAGATATCCTAGATATAGAAGAATCCAATTTATTTCTTTTCCTAGAAATGTCTTATTAAATAATTTTAAATGATGCAACCTTTTTAAAACTCGTATGTGATCTTTTTACTTATAATTATTTTTGGGTTCGAAATAATAATAATAAGCAAGATATATAATTGAAAAGTAGGATATGTATGTATTGGAAATGTTTTATTGAGATAAGTCTCGTATTGGTATCGAGTTACAAGCAAAATTGAATTGAAATAATATACATAATATACAAAGAAGGCTTTAAAAAAATATTTAATATATGTATAGTCTTCCCGTAGTGAATATGAGAAAAGATTCACACGATTTACGAGGTTGTAAAATATAGTCATTGGATGAGAAAGAGACTTTTAGTAAGAATGGAAGAATAGAAATATTCGGAAAACTTCACATTTATGGTGCTATAACGACACTTATGTATCTCGTTAGATAGAAAATACGTTTATTTTCTCAAAAGCGTTTGAAAATTGAACATCCTATTAAATTGTATAGCATTATTCGACTAAAAAAATACGTTAATAATATATTGAAACGAGGACAGTTTGAGCACGAAATAAATGACAATAACGCACCAAGTAAAGAGGTGGATTGAGAGTATTTTGTCATAATCAGTTAAGTTTTGGAATAAATTGCACAAGTGACGTTATTGCACCGAAGGTGCGATTATTGATTTTGTATGCATATATGTAAAAAAATCTACTTATATAAGAATTATAATGAAATAAGAACTAAAAACTGAGTATTTAAGATGACAGTTTGATGTTGAACCTGTTCTGGTACAATCCAACTCTTTGAAGATGCGGGAGATTGTAAACTGATAATGTAGCTGCGTTTGCCACCGCCTCGTGGAAAGCTGAAAAAAACATTTAGCTATTAAAAGATAGTAGGGGGAGTCCGGGAGAGTTTACACGCTTCGACTAAAATGCTCGTAAATCTCTTTACATTTACAAAAAACAATTCTCTACAAATTGTACCGCAAGCTGCATTATTAAGCTTTATTTCTGCATAAGAAAGCTTTATAAATCATTAATACTTTATGAGTAATTAATGATTAATTATTATTTGTGAAGAGTTTTCTGATTAAATCTTCTTCATAAATTAGTTTAATTTTCACGAGATATCCCATGTAATTTATATAATGTTATTCATGATTACTGAATTCTTTTTATCTGGTAAATTTAAATTCATTTTGTTATATATATGTATATATTTGATTTTCAAGAAGTGTGACGTCAGCAATTTTACAATTATAATCACTATTTTCAACAGTCGGCTTATCCATTTTTAATTTCAATTATAAAATACTGTCACTACTTTACTTCAGACTTTAATTCGCACTTGTAATTAGATAATCTTCCTCCTGAATGGCTTCTAAACTATTGTGTAACTTACGCCAACTTTTGCTAATATAAATGTAATTTGTGAAATCATTAATTTAATCTTTTTTTTTGAAGTAATAAGTTAAGATGAATAATCTTAGTTATTCAAATAAACACAAAACATATGTATGTATAGGTATATAATGGTATTTGCCCGCGACTTCGTCTGCGTTACTTTGAGAAATATAAATGTATAGCTGACCGGGTGAACTCTTTTTACTTTGTAAATGAGTACATTTTGGATTTTATCAATTTATTCTTTTAGATTGTATGAAAAGTATTCTATGTCCTTTCCTTTGTAGTGTAACTAACATGACTTTCTTTTGTATGTGTATTTTTCATCCAAACCCGTACAGCCGTTCTTGAGTTATAAATAATGTAATTAACGCGACCTTCTCTTGTTAATACAATATCTGGACACCGAGCTTTGCTCGGTATTTGGGAATTATTAGTATTTGTTTTTCATTTCGTTCAGACATTTTTAAGTGAACACGTTAAGGAGACACAAAAAATATAAATCAACAATTAATATCTTAGCCTAACGTCAAAACAAACACTCATTTACTTCTTGTTGCTTAACAACGCCATCTGTTGTTGTGTTGTTAAAGCAATTAGCATAAAGTAGTATTACTATTCGCCAATAGATGTCAGGAGGTCATATTGTAAACACTTTTTTGTTATTGTTTTTCATAAGGACATTTTCTGAAAATGATTCCTAGATAGATCGATTTATCGCCCCCGAAACTCCCTATGTATACTAAATTTCATGAAAATCGTTTGAGCCGAAACCGAGATTCCCATTATATATACAAGAATTGCTTATTTAAAGATATAAGATATATATGTAATATCTTAAATGTTCTCTATATTTATGTATATTATTTGTCAAGATTATTTGTGTGTTTTTACCTGGATTCGCTCCATCCCTGAACAGCTGAGGTTGTTCCGAATACTGCAAGTAGTACTGGATGTGAGCCATCTCATGATGAGTGGAGATTAGATCCTGCATCGTCACCTCCGTGCATTGCTTTATTCTGAAATAAGTTATTTGATTTGGATATAATTATATGTATATGAATTTTAAAAGTACTGAAATTTGGTATAAAAAGAGACGAGGCGAAACCTCTCATCATTCCATGTATTCACGGTGCGTGTGTCGGGTCCATCGTTGTAGTGAGAGGAGCTTCAACAGTGACTGGGACTTGTGACCCAGGTGTAGGTTTAAAGGGTCCCTATCTAACGCGCGTTAAATGCTCCACTGTCCAAGCTCCTCTCTATATCAAATTTGAACGAAACTACTAGGGCTGCTTTCGAAGTATGTTACAAGAATGAATGTTATCTATTAATATATGTTATTTAATTTTTTGTTTGAGTTGAGATAAATTTATGAAATTTAAACGGGTGTTATGAGAATAGATAAATTGTAAGGGGCTTAAAAACTCATAAGCTAGCCGTATGATGGAAAAATTGTATGTCCCTACTTTCCTTCTTCTTCTTCCTGGCAATTTCCCAGCTTTAGCCAGGGTCTGCCTAAACCTGGCAATTTCCCAGCTATAGCCAGGGTCTGCCTTACATGTTGTGAAAAGTTTTTGGCTATTTGTTTTTACGACCGGCCGCCTGCCTGACATCAACCCTCTTTTGGGAAAGAACATTAATCAATGATGTCTAAACACTCTTAGAAAGTACATATGATTCGGAAAAATCACATTGGTACTTGCCCGGGCCAGGATCGAACCCGCGCCTTCGGTGACGAGAGGCGGGACCTTTAACCACTGAGCCACCACTGACTTTATGTCCCTACTTTCCTTCTTGTCCGAAATTATCGTGTTGCAAAATGCTTGGACTGCTTTAATTCAGCTAATTGTTTGATGAAAGAATCTTCTAGTATGGATTCCATAGTTCAGAAAAAAGTATTGCAAATGGTATATTCTTTTTGCCCCATATATTTTTAATTTTGACTACGAAGATTTTTAACATATCAAAAAGGAATAACCATATTTGTGATAGAGAAACTAGATGTAATAAAGAGCAAATAGGTGAAAAGGTTACAGAGATACACATCTCATCTGCCCGTGATCATGGGTTGAAAAGTAACCGAAACGTCGGGAGTATGCAGAGTTTTACCATAATAAAATACGCGCAATATAATCCGAAAAATATTAGTTTCATTTCAATGAATACTCGCGAAAGACTTAGATCTCATTAAGGGTAAATATGTTTTGTTATACCTATAGTCAATACGATTGCAGAAGTCCCAGGCGCTGGCTGTGCATTGGGCACTTCGATCAGCTGGTCGAGCGAGTAGGGACCCTCGCCAGAATTCTGGAGGAACGGGGCGAAGACCCATTGACGTGTAAAACTCTTCAGCCATTTGGAACATTCTGGAAGAAAACAATGACGTATCGAAAACTATCGCAAAATGACAGCACATACAGATGATATTTTATTGATTTGTTATTTTTAAACCAGATTTTTTGTAACCAGTTCATTTTAGGTAAGAGCCTAGCTGTGGTCAAGTTACTGCAGCTCGAACATGTGCTTTGTCGACCGGGGAAGTACCAACTCATAAAAGATCGGATTGAAGTAGACTTTAAAGACTGCGTTTCATCCGATGAGTGAGAGAGTTGGTTGGCCTTTCCTTTTCCCATCCTTTCTTTTCTCCCCTACAAAAAAGGTCGGCAACGCGTCTACAACATATCTCTTGTTGCAGAAATCCATTGGCGAAGGTGGTTATCTCCCATTAAGTAGGCCGTCTGCTTGTTTGCCTTGGATATAATAATAAAAATAATATTGAACCTAAGAGGAGTGAATCCCTGTCTCAACATCTCTGAAGTGACGTCCACGTTTGGGGCTTGAGGGAACGGCATAACTAGGTCCATTATTGATTTCCAGTTCTGTGCCCACATGTTACCTGGAAAATTAATTTTTTTTAAGTTATTTCGATTAAAAGCGTTGAAGAAACTTCCAAAATAATTTTAGATCTATGGAGTGCAGACAATGTTATAAGAATCTTTATAATTAATTGTCTGATAAGGTTGTAAGTATCTGATTTATGGTTATTATTACAGTTAGCACTGTAATTTTTTAGTGTGACGATCAATTTAGATCGATTAACTTTAAGCAACATATTTTTAATATGATTTATAAATATGTAATAATAATTTCAACATTCGATTATCAATGATCTGACAGAAAGAGAATGCACTAATAAAAACTATGGATAAGGCTTAATATTATTGATTTTTTATTATATTCACACACACACACACACACACACACACGCGCACGTACTCATGCACACACACATAGTCAAAACTCATAGATGATTTTATTCATTTAATATATCCCTCTTCTTCCAATATATTTCACATAACAGCAGTAGCATGTTTAGCAAATGATAGGCCTACTTACCTAATAAATGTGCAGGTATGGGCCCATCTGGACGTACACTTTTCTCTCCGTATCTCAGCAGAAGTTTTCTTCGGACGTAGGTAAATAGTTGTTTGTATAGCGGTATGATTTGATTGTATATTTCCTCGACACTCGCCCTGAACGATGGGTCTTCATACGCAGCACGCATTTGGTCTCCAGCGTCTCTGAAACCTGAATGTAAAATGAGGATTATATATGGGATTGCTTTAAAAGATTTGGTCAAATAATAGTTATAATTTAGTTGTAGGTTCTATGAAAGTATTTCACAAGTATATTTTAAAACTATGTATAATTTTTGATTCTTTTTATGGTCGTATGTGATCTTATTTATATTTTAATTTCAATGTATTGTTAGAGTAGATTAAGATAATCGAAGGGTGTTAGAAAATTACCACAATATAATTCTATCAGAATACCCAAATACCGCTGAACTTTTGACGAATTAGGAAGAATAAATAAATTCTATAAACTAATGAGAGCCTTTGACATTTGACAATAACTATCCATTCTACCCTCACACCGTTGGTACGTGATACGCGATAGATGAATAAAAAAAATGTAATTTATACAATTAAAGTTACTTTTAATATACATATGTATATATAGCAGTTATTGGAGGAAAATGAGAGAAATATCAGAGATGATTGAAACAGCAAGTTTTAATTTTTTTTAGTTAGATTGAAGAACAAATTTAGTAGAAATATTTCTTTTTTTTTGAGAATTTTCTTTGTTCTGAACCAAAAAATATTATAATGGTAAAAATTAATTACAGAGTCAGATTAGGACATGTAGATTGAGTTTTTAATTTATATTGGAAGTCCAAATAAATAAAGTGTTTTAGTGGATTTAATAAGGATTTTATGTCGATAATGAGCAGAGATTGACCAGTGTTTGGAATATACTTATTTGTTATTTAAACTTTTGGTTAAGATTGTATATCTTTTTTGCGTATTTAATCTTCATAAATGCAGAGGAAATATAAGATATTTGAATCACCTGTTTTAACAGCAGCTTCATTGGCCAATTGGACATATCTCATAAATCTGTTCTTCAGTTTAGGACCAGTTTGATCTCTGAAACTCTTCCAGACGTACAGCAATTCATTTTCAATCCTCGAATGTGCTAGAATCCTTGTGATCTCTGGATCTAATTGCATGTCACAGTAATTAGGATAATCTGTGTTTTCTTGGTAAGGTTGGTAGTGCTGATAGGGCTGGTTTGTCAGTTGGTAAGATTGATGCTCCTTGCTAGCTTCTGGTGTTTCCGTGGATGTTGCCAGAATTTTTGGTATATGAGGATCGTACGGTTTTTGACCGTATGGGCATATTTTAGCTGAATTATAAAGCTCCTTCATTTCGTTTATCAGCTGTTGTATCTGAAAATATTGATTTATCAATCAGAAATAATGCCTATCCTAAAAAAATAATTTTCTGTTATACTTGGTGGTGGTTGTTAATTAATTATTATTCATAACTTAAACCATACTCCACTTGTCATATTATATACATAGGTGTTCAATACAATATATATTATGTTTATTTAATTCTAATTGCCTAATGTTGGATGTATAAGTATATCTCATACATAAAAGAATTTACGATACAAAGAAGACAACTATCAAAGTTATATTCATCATCATCATCATCATCCTATCAGAGCCCACAGCTGAGCCTCTTCTCACATGGAGAAGGTATGAGCATTAATCACCACGCTTGCTCAAGATGGGTTGGTGATTTCAAACTTATAATTATGAAACTATAAGTCCTCACGATGTTTTCCTTCACCGTATGTCAGTGATGTCTAAATACTCTCAGAAAGTACATAAGACTCCGAAAAATCACATTGGTACTTGCCAGGTTTGAACCCGCGCCGTCGGTAACGAGAGGACCCTTTAACCACTAGGCCACCACTGGCTTAAGTTATATTGCATTGTTTTTTATATACCTCAGAAAACTTGTCGTCGCTCAGAGCAGCCCTGCTGTTCTGAATGATTCTGCTCAACTGTCTCCTACTCTGTGGATCAGGTAGCCTAGTTCCATCATAAGCTGCAGCCTTCCTCCAAGACAGCTTCTCGAACTTGGAGCTGAGAGCCAACTCCTCAAGCATACGACGTCGATTGTATTCCGTTATGTTGGTGACGAATTTCCATTGGGACATTGTTACTCTGGGAATTTGATAATATAGATTTAGTGAGGGTTAAAAGTATGTTCTATTTTAGACGCAGTTTTTTTAGTTTTTTAAGCACTCAATAATATACTTAAAAGTGAAGTGGATAAAATATATATTCGATATATCTGAAATTCTGATGAAGATCATCGTTGCTACTTAAAAATTTAAATTCTTATCTATATTTTTACCATACAGTAATATCCCGCTTTACGCGAGGGATACGTTCTGAAGAAAATCGCGTTAACTGAAATCCGCGTATATCGAGGTTTATGATTAAACACAGTCAAAATTTAATACACAAATATAAAAATCATTTTAATCAATCACTTTAATTCCAAGAATACTATACAATACATAGGTACCTACTCCTATTATTTACTAAAAATACATGTATTGTCGTTTGGGTAGCGTTTTGTTTACGTTCTTGTAAAATACGTTCATAACACCAAACACTGTTTTTAATCGTTTGACACACGTTCAAGACACGGTCATCATTATCGTCTATACTCTGCAATGTCCCAACCTGAATAAATTTTTGAAAATCGCGTTGTAGTGAAACCGCGCAAAACGGGGTCGCGTTAAGCGGGGTATTACTGTATATGGAAATAAAATATTGAGTTTATTAACAACTTTCTCAATAGCTTTGTTCATTATTAAGAGTAATCTATCGTTTACGGGTTGTGATTATTTAAATTGAATATACTATTTAAGTGTAAATTGAATTATCAATTTGCATTTCATTTTAACTTACCATCCATGTAAGTAAATTTTAATATTACATTTCTCACATTCATCCAATTATAATAATATTTTTCTTCGTAATATTTTAGACTACCAAAAATCTCTTTGACTTTAAAAAAATAATTAATATTGTCTAAACAAATGAAGATGTTCTACGATTACACACATACATAGAATACAGTAAAATGTACTCTTTACTTGAAGTGGAATAAATATATTATTATTACTATATTTTGTACTTCTAGACTTGGTGTACCGTAAATATCTGATTTAATACAGATTCGTTGTTTTAAAGAGATAGACGCCAGTCTCGCTGACGTCACTAATATGACTTTTTTCAGTACGTTCCATGATATTTTAAAATAGAACTACAATTCTTCTAAATATCTTTGTACATATTTCTCGAAGGTTCTTCATAATCACATTCTTCAATGTACCACACTCACTGAACTCTGCCGTCGTGCGTCCAGACGTCATATTTATACCGAGATTCAAACATAGTTCTATTCTCTTTTAAACAATCTTTGATTTCGTTTTAATTTTAACAATAATCATGAATACTAATGAGTTTTAATAATAATTGATGACAGGCTCAAGTTATTGTTATGTTGCATCCGTCATTAATTCTGATAGCGCCTATATATATTATTTGTCTTGAATTATATGGTCTTAATATACTTTTCACTCACCTGTAACACATTCCTGATGCCTCTCTGTCGTATTCCCGAAGAAACTGTGCTGCTTCCGCGGCATTCGAGTTCACTCCCTGTTTTAAATTCACATAACATTTATTTCATTACTAAATCGATTTACATTACTCAGAAATTGAAAAAAACTTCACATATTTGATAAATATTAGTCCTTTCATGGTAACTTTGAAAGCTTATTATTATTTATGCTATATGGGGTAACAGAGCAGACGGCCTACTTAATGGAGGTAGTACTGTCGCCCATTGACATCTGTAATTATCCTACTACCTACTAATGGAAATATTATTGGTATATTTCTGACCTTGTATTCAATATATTAAGAATCACTAGATTACCTTATTATCCTAAGACCCAGTTTCACCAATCAGTGTTAAATAAGTAACATCGTGTTAAGGCGATACTCTGTTAGTTGTATCGAGCGTCCCACCACGCACAAATGTCCGTTTAAATGTCTTAACAAGCCACTAATATTAATTCCTGCTCTGGAGCTCCGTCTAATCGCTAACAGAAAATTAATGGCATTGTCAAAATTCAATTGTCCAATCACAGGCCTGATTTCTTGTAACCATAGTAACGTCATCTGTTTTGTCAGTTTCGACTATTTCCTTGTCATTATTAATAAAATGAATTAAAATTTAATCTATATGATGATTTTGCCTCCAGCTTTTTTATAACATTGCAAATTTAATTTTCTTTTTATCTCTTTTAATTTGAACACAATTTATTGACAACCCGATTTTGACAAGTTACACCTAGTAAATTGAAAAGGGATCTTTTTGTGTGCCAAATGTATGCAACCAACGATATATATAATTTGGTCACATTACCTAAAAAGTGACGTATATATACGGATATATACGATCAAAGTATAAAGTGGTGCATCGTGGCTAACGTGCCGTATTAAACGCTATGGTTTCCATTTGGTCGTCGTATAACAAGAACGAATAATTATTTTAATGCGTTGTTAATTTGTCATCGTGGGACGTAAATATTTTAACAGACATTTATAATTTTATAGGTTGGTTAGTAAATGCTGTGTCTAGATTAAACAAACATTGATTGGTGAAACTGGGTCTAAATATTCCAACTTCTGTTGTCGAAATAATCATGGTTGAAAGAAAAAAGGAGTTTGGAAAGAAACCCTTGTCTCTGGAGTATAAACTAGACAGCTACATGAATAAAAAGTATAAGGCTGTTAGAATTATATGTAGCTTGACCAAACCTGTGTACATATTATTTTTATTTATATAATCTTGATAGGCGAAGGAACAAAGAAATTATGATCGTTAAATTAAATTGAAATAAGTAAATCATCTATTTAGTACACTAATCGTATTCCCAAGATTATGTTAGGGTATAATTGATACTTCCAAATATATATAGTAGTTTTTGCTCGCGACTTCGTCTCCGTTGGTTTCAGAATTAGTTATATATAGATGACCAAGCGAACTCTATTCCTCCTTAAAGGCAGTAAGATAAGAAGATAATGAATTTGATAAACTTTTGTTTCTTTTTCAATCGCATGAAAAGTATCATATGTCCTTTCTATGTTCTGAGCTATCTCTCCAACAATTTTCAGCCAAACCTTATAAATAAGTCAGTGTTGGCCTAGTGGTTAAAAGGCCCGCCTCTCATGCACGAGGGCGCGGGTTCGATCCTGGCCCGAGCAAGTACCAATATGATTTTCCGAGTCATATGTACTTTCTAAGATTTAGACATCACTGATTAATGCATTCGCAAAGAGGGTTGATGTCAGGCAGTCGGCCGGTCGTAAAAACAATTAGCCAAAACTATTCACAACATGTAAGGCAGACCCTGGCTAAAGAAATTGCCAGGTAGAAGAAGATATATATATCATACAAAATTGTCTGTACACCGATAATTTGTCGTAAATTCGTATTAAGTCATGAGATGCCCTTCATGGCTACATAACATCATATAATGGTCACAATTATAATTCGTACATTTTCAACATAAAAATGACCTGTTTTTATTGAGATCACGATCTCAAGATCGTATAACAACGGGATGGATGAAGATTTTGATAATAACATTGCATCCAGAAGCGTAACGAAGGACATAAGACAATGCCACGATTATGTTTCTACGACATTAATATAACTACGCAGTTTAAAACTTATTTTTTATTACGTACATAAACAAAAAGCTTATTAGAAGGCGTTTTATTCGCTTGTATAAGGAGTATTATATTAGGCAGACCCTGGCTAAAGCTGGAAAATTGCCAGGTAGAAGAAGAAGAAGAAGTATTATAGAATATTCAAAACAAAATTTATAGCATTAATGAAAATTAGAATCTAGAATTAGAAGATTAGAATCTAGATTAGAATTAGAAGAAATAGTAAATTCTTCTTGATACGAGAACATTGAATTTCAGCCAGAAGTTAAAGAACAAATTATTATACATAAGTTATGTGATCATATTTTTTATGCTATAGCTTTATTCGGATTGGAATCGTGTAATATTTGCCAAAGTCAATGTTTTAATTTGTTGCACGAATTATAATCTTGAGTACTGTATGGAAACCGTACATTTGTAAATTAATTCTTGATAATATTGATATATTCAAAAGTTACTTATAAAAAAGACCAAACGTTATGTAATTAAATATATACTTTATTTTGTTTTATTTTAAATGACGTATAAGTATACTAATTTAGTCAGTAGTGTCCTAGTGGTTAAAAGGCCAGCCTCTCATGTACGAGGGCGCGGGTTCGATTCATGACCAAATACCAATGTGATTTTTCAGAGTAATTTCTTAATAAGTAATTTCGAAAAATTCCGATTAATGCTGATTTCCAAAGAGGGTTGATGTCAGGCAGGCGGCCGATCGTAAAAATAATTAGCCAAAACTATTCACAACACGTAAGGCAGACCCTGGCTATAGTTGGGGAATTGCCAGGTAGAAGACGTATGTATGTATATACCAATAGATAAAAACGTTGACATTATCAAAATTTCCACGATTCCAGTGCGAATGAAGCCATAGCATAAAAGAATGGATATTTTTAAGACAGTAAACGACATGACATTGGAAAAGTCTAAAAAGAAACTCTACTAACTAAAGAAGAAGAAGACAATCTTCTTTTTCCACATGATGTTAAATATATCTTACTAGCTTTCCGCCCGCAGCTTCGCCCGCGTGGAGTTCGCTTATATCGCGTTTCCAAGAGAACCTTTCAAAAGTCTGGGATAAAAACTATCCTATGTTCTTTCTCAAGGTCAACTCTATCTTTGTACCAAACTTCATTAAAATGAGTTCAGTGGTTTAGGCGTGGAAGCGTAACAGACAGACAGACAGAGTTACTTTCGCATTTATAATATTAGTAGGGATTTATCAACAAAACATAGAAACTATTTATTTGTTAGTATATATAAAAGGTTTTTAAATCCAGGTCAACTTATAAAACTCATTTATATTTGAAAGCGAAACCTCCATTGTCTTGTATCCGTCAAGATAGAGCAATGCTACCAACCTATCAGACAATAGTGTATTGGTAACGGTTATTTAAAATGTTTTGACAGACAATTTACACATAAGGTTGGCCAACTTACTAAACATAACATAATGTATAACCTTTTTGATGTAATTGTCTTAATTATTAATGATTTCTTAATTTTTTTCGTAGTTCAGTTATATATTTATTATTTTTCAAAACATTACTTATTAAATTGCTGACTAAGTCATCCTTTATTAATTATATAACTGAAAATTTATTAAAATTTTCAAAAAACAACGTATTAGAAGGTATTCCTCAATTTTTCAGTTATCTGTCAGTAGACATAGGGTCAGAAAAGGTTCAGTCGATTAGCAAATTAGCTGGAACAAACAAAATGCCAGACCAAAATTATAGACAAATAAAATGTATTTTTTTGTTCAATATTCAGAAAAAGAAATTCTCGGCAAAGCACACATATATTTGATACCTACTTTACAATTAAAATTTATCTTAGTAACGTTTTACTAGAGTAGTGAAAATGGCGATTGAAAGTAAACAAAAATTACTAGAAAATTTTTGATTTTGAAGATATGTTATGTTATATATATACTTTTTAGTTAATTTCCAATATTTAGCTCTATAAGTATGAAATTGATTGCAATAAAATTTAAGAGACCGTTTTTATTCACATACTTAAAAATATTTTTTTATGTATTTGCACTTTTGGAATCATTATTGAAAATAAATTAGGATATCTTTGAAATAAGTGCAGAGACCGTATTTGTAATAGTTTAAAAATACATGAAAGTCTTTTACTTTATATATAATAATATATTAGGTATATCAAATATGAACTAAATATCTTTACATTGTATTTATAATATAAATGATCTTTTCATAATGTAAAAAATATTGTATTTTCATAAACTAATAAGGACTTTTCTCTGACAATTTGCCTGCGTGTTCTTTGCAATTAGGCTAACTACTAACCTACAGTCAACTGCATACAATACAACTGTTATGCCTTGATCCTGCGACAACTAAAGCTTATTTTGTTATAAAATCTAGTCTATATCTTATTCTAATATCTAAGCTATATTACTGAAAAGTTTCATCAAAATCGGTTAACTAGTTTTGACGTGAAAGAGCAACAAACAGGTATCAATCTTCATAAAATTTAGTATTAAAACTATTATGACATATACACTTAGTTAATATAATTAATGTTTTATTTTACATATATATTATTATATAATACCCGTCACTTTATGTATTAGTAGCTACAAGGGCTTTTTTTGAAGTTGGTTTACAATCTTCTATATCTTCTATATAAAAATGGATTGCTGTTCCTTAGTCTCACTAAAACTCGAGAACAGCTGAACCGATTTGGCTAATTTTAGTCTTGAAATACTCCTGAAAGTCCAGGAAAGGTTTAAAAGGTGATAAAAATTGGAAAAATTGCCGGGAAAACTCTAAAAAGAGCCCTTTTCTATTTCCCATACAAACGATTTTTTGACATTAGACTTGACAACTAACTAATATGTCAATCATTTTGTTCGATTGAAACAGTAGAAATTTAATAAATACCAATACCGGGTTATTGAAGACGGAATAGTGTTCGCCCGGTCAGCTATACCTATATTACTAATGACAAAATTAACGCGGACGAAGTCGCGGGCAAAAACTAGTTGTTCTATAAAAATTCACGTAAGAGCGAAATAAATAAAATTGTGTTTATTTTATTATTTGGGGGATCTAAATTATTGGAATTACTTTTGAATAGATAGAAGTTTAAATTACCATTATAATTTATTTTTTGTTAGCATTGCTTAATTGTCTTTAACTATATGAAATAAATAATACGTTTGTATTTTCATAACGAACAAAACATTTCTTTACGTATTTTTGATATTTAGTTTAATATACGATAAGTATTAAATATAATTTATTTCAACTATCAATCTCAATAAAGGCAAATATTAATTTAATTATTTGGTGTAACGTCTTTATTTGAAGTTATTCAGAGATACAAAAATTTACATCTTTCTTACATACTAATACAAATAATATTATTATCTATGGATTTGACAAAACTGTCACAATAATAATTACGTTTATGAAAGAAATGTACAATAAGTGACTATTAGTTAGTAAAAGAAAAGAAATTAACTTAAATATTAAGATATTTCTTTTAAGAATTATGATATTATCTACTATTTAAGTATATAATTGTTATCTCACCATTCTTAAGTATTCACTGCAGCCCGCATACCGTGTGTAGAAAGCAAAAAGGAGGCACAATACTGGAACATTGCTTTTCATTTTTTATAAAAAAAAAATACAAACGTCAAATCAAAATAATTATCTGTCATTAATCACATAGATTAAAAATATATTAGATTTATTAAAAAATGATTAGTTAATATTAAATTGTATTTTATATTGTTTTGTATTATTTGTTTTGTAAAAATATCGTCTAATTATTGTGTTGTTATATCTGGGTGTGTTTTAATACTGTCTCGAGTTATTTCTTGTCGACGACTGGAGTAATATTTCCGCCGCTTTTGTTTTGTACATGGTTTGATGCACACGATACAATACATGAGGTTAGCTGACGGTAGAAAATATCTTCGGAAATAAATAAATAAATAAATGAATAAATAAAATCATAATAAATAGGTAATGTTACAAAAAAATGATGGATTTCTATTGATGCATAACTATTGAAAAAACGCGCGTTATACAGGGTGACTGGTGAATTACTATCGATACTTGAAGACGTGATATTTGACGATCATATATGACAAAATAAAAATTAATATAACATAAATATTAATAAACTTCTAAGTAAAGTTAACCAAAAGTTATGTAATTAATTAGGCATCGTGTGAAAACCCTACAGATCAAAAATTAAGTACCTATTTTTTTTACATAATTCGAATGAGAATCATGTACCGAGTATTCTCCTTAAATATTGATAGTAATTCACCAGTCACCCTGTATATTTTGTGCAACAGATTTATCTTAAGATTCATCCCAACCTAAATATCTCATGTATAAAAATCCTCTTTGGACGATCGCGTGCGTGACATACAGACAAAGATTGAGAAACACAACTGCTTTATACTTAATTCATCTCGAGAGTACATAGATTAATCAAAAAATATTATAATTTATATTTGATTCATAAAAAATGACAAGTTAACAGTAAAATTATTGAATTAAAAAGACTTTTTCTTGTAAAACTAAAGTAATAAGCCTACATTTTATAAAGTGTTACACTCATAATAACAAATATTACCTCATTTTAAAGTCACGTCAGTCATGCAATAGTTACATACATTTATCATATATACATATTAATACATGAAAAATACATTATTATTCAAACGCCTTATAAAATAAAATAGCACTTACGACGGAACGGTAATTTGAGGAAATAAAAAGTATATAGTTTCTTAAAAAATAATTATTACATATAAAACCAAAACACATTATTGTGTAATCATATTAATTTTTCGAAATATTTTTAATACCTAATTATAGTTAGTTACCTATCTCTTCTTCTTCTTTCCCAGCATTAGCCAGGATCTGCTTAACATGTGTAAATAGTTTTGGCTAATTATTTTTACGACCGGCCGCCTGCCTGACATCAACCCTCTTTTGGGAATAGTTACTTACATATAGCAATACATGCTACAAAAATGTAGTTTGATAAAATTTATAGTATGTATTTTATAAATAAAAATAGTCTATAACATTTGGTTTATTTATTAAAACTTTTATTGATTTCATATTCACTTAATTATTCAATAATTAATATTTTGTTCTAGAAATTTCTTCGGCATTAAGAAAGTTTAATTAAAATGAAATAATTAAAACCAGGAATACAGACATGAGACAACAATATAAAAAGGTCCTGTCAATATATTAATATCATTTAAATAATAAACGACATTTGAGAAAATGACTTTTTTATCACGGAAAGTACAATTATATTGGCCTAGTGGTTAAAATGCCCGCCTCTCATGCTCGAGGGCGCGGGTTCGATCCTGGCAAGTACCAATATGATTTTTCCTAGTCATATGTAGTTTCTGAGAGTATTTAGACATCACTGTTTAATGCATTCCCAAAGAGGGTTGATGTCAGGCAGGCGGCCGGTCGTAAAAACAATTGCCAAAACTATTCACTACATGTAAGGCAGACCCTGGCTATAGCTGGGAAATTGCCAGGTAGAAGAAGATATATATTATATGTATAACAAAATGACAACTGTTTTACTCTACCATGCAATCCGCCATCTTGTTACTGAAAAACAAAAGGTAATATAATATTTTTGATCTGGTTTCTCTTTAAAGCATTGTTTTCTTTTCCATTCATAAAAAGGTACAAGGACTGTTATAAATTAAACGGGAATGATGATATTTTGTTTCACTTTTAGGTTTATGATTTTCACCGACGTAATACTACAAGCATATAATTATTTGATTGATTTAATTTGATGGTTAACTTTTCAATGATAAAAAGAAAGTCTTGTTTATTAAGAATAATATTTATTCATTACAATGTTACAAATATATAAAATCCTAAAAATTATGAGGCCATTTCAAGCATAAGAATGGTAATCAAAGTTTTGATATACATATTTAAAATGTACACATTCGCGTCTTATATATTTTTTTATAAGCTATGGTTTCATTCTCACTGGAATCTTGGAATATTTTGCCAATATCAACGTTTTTTATTTGTTTTATAATACTTGTCAAATTAATGCAGTGCCCTCTAACTGTCATTTTTTAAATGTTTCTATTATTATAATTTCTTTATTAGAGTAAATTTAAATTAACCGTTCACCGTTAAAATGGTTACAGACAAAATAACTCTAAATTGTTTTATGACTGATATCAAAAAAATTGTCGGAATTTAAACCAAATTGGTATATGTACAAATTTTTCACGCAATTAATTATTTCTTTATCAAGCTTCACATATTAAATATCAGTAGTATAGAAAATAGAAGCGGCACCAATTTGTCAGATAAATTAGCTATTTAAAGAAATTGCTATTATTTATATCATCATCAGCCTATTGGTGCCCACTGCTGGAAAAAGGCCTCTTCTCACATGGAGTAGAGCATTAATGACCATCCCATTTAGATTAGAACAGAAGGTTGGAGCTTCCTGAAGACAGATTTGCTATTTCACAAACTTATAATTCGAAATTATAAATCCAGGTTTCCTCACGATGTTATCCTTCACCGTCTGTCAGTGGTGTCTAAATACTTTTAGAAAGTAGGTACATGTGACTATGAGAAATCACATTGATACTTGCCAGGTTTCGAATCCGCGCCCTCACGCATGACAGGCGGGCCTTTTAACCACTAGGCCACCGCCAGTTTTATTTATATAGAAATACGAAGAACATTATATATAATATGTATTATTTAGGAAATGTCTAGAAACGGAAAAGTTTGTTTTATGGGTTGTAATTGTAATGACATAAGTGCACACAGTTTTCGATTGTCTTATGTATTTGAAAATAAGTCATGCGTCCTTACACTTTACTGCAAGACTTAATCAATAGTTAATACAATGAATATTACGTTTAGTATAGATACAAAAAAAAATTCTCCAAGTTCTTAACCTTAATATATATTGCAATTAAAATATTTAACTAAGTAGTAAGTACATATTAATACGAATCCAATCGCATTTATTATGTGGATTGAAATTATTGTCACCAGCTCTAAATATTTTTCTATTAGGAACAGAAGTACAGAATTTTAAGTACAGAAGTTGCTACTTTAAATGTTATAGAAGAAAAAAACGGTAAAATACCAACTGACATTTGATTGACAAATATTTTACAGGCCCTTTGTGTATTATTGATTTATGTTTGACTAGAAGACCTGGCGAACTTCGTATCGCCCTATAATCAAGAAATATCTATTACGTTTTTTTATTTATCTTTTTGGAGTTTACCTGTCAGCCATAAATTTCCGTGTTTTGAAGTGCGACAGAATGATTGACATATTAGTAAGTTGTCAAATCTAATGTCAAAAAAAACGTTTGTATGGGAAATAGAAAAGGGCTGTTTTTATGGTTTTCCCAATAATGAATTAATTTTTTTCAGCTTTTATACCTTCCCTGAACCTCCACGAACATTTCAAGACTAAGATAAGATAAATCCGTTCAGCTGTTCTCGAGTTTTAGCGAGACTAAGGAACAGCAATCCATTTTTATATATATAGAAGAAGATATTAAAGACTTATTTTTTTAAAATTTAACTGTTGTCAGATATGATAAATCTTTGTAATTACCGTTGGAGTAGTTTGTTTATTTAAAAAAAACATAGATACTTATCTAACATTCTAGTTTTATTCTAGATTCTAGAAGTACAGTTTAAGGCATTGTCAAGACAAGAAGTAAAAACACAGATTATAAAATTGCATCCTATGCAACTTCCCAAATTAATAATAGATGGCGCTACTTGTATCATTTGACGTGGTAAGATTATAAAATTTTGTATATTACAAAAAATTGCAATACAAAGTATTTGGCAATGATGATCTTTATGCAATAATTTTAAAAGATATGGACATATGTAATTTTTTTTTGAGATTAAATTGGAATACCAATAACTAATTAATGTAGATTTCTGTTTTTGCATGTTTATATGACTTTTGTTGTGTAATTGTTTATCAATTTAATAAGAAATTTTTATTTAAACATTTATGTAAATAAAGATAATATATTTTTATTGACAGCAATTACAAGCTGTCATTTGTCAATAAGTATTATTATTTTAAGGAAAAATATTAATGTTGCTCGATATTAAAATTAAATCAATTGCATTGGTTACAAATGAAACAACCTTCAAACTATACTATTTATTATGGCAAATACAAATATAATTCACAAAAATATTTGTTGACAGCAGTCCGGCTTGATTAAAAAATAAATAAGTATAGAAAAAACTATTTATTGTACACTACATTTTATTACTAAGTTTTAATAGTTAAACATTTCAACTTTCAGTTTTTGTTCTCGAGTATCTACAGATTTGAAAATATGAGTTATTCAAGCTTATTATTTAATTTTATACAATGTTCGAGCACATAATACATATATATTATATATCATTCCCATATTTCCAACATAGTTGCACAGAAATTTCCATCTCGGTATTAATATTTTCACCTAATTGATACAGATCTATCATATATATAATACTTGTAACAAAATATTCATACATTTTTAGTTATGAGTTAGCTTTCAAATTAAAAGAACCAACTTTAACTGGATTTGAGTTATTGAACATAATTCTTGATGATGTATCGATGCCGTGCCGTCTTTTCATGTGTTTCTTATAATTCGATCCGTTTGTGAAGTCTCGTTGGCAGTATACACATTTGTACGGTTTAACTCCAGTGTGTTGTCGTAGGTGGAGATTTAAACGAGTCTTAAAACGGAATGCCTTATGACAATACTCACAAACAAATGGTCTTAAATCTGTATGTACTATGGAATGAGACATTAAGTGTCGTTTAACTCTGAAGCTTTTACCACACTGTTCACATATAAACGGTTTGAGGCCAGAATGTAATGATATATGAGATATAAGATTGCCCTTAGCTCGGAAGGTCAACGGACAGTGATCGCATTTAAAGGGCTTTGTATCTTCGTGAGTAACCATATGTGTTACTAAAGTGCCCTTAGTGAAGAACATTTTGCCGCATATATGACATGCAAAATTCCTTATCCTCTCGGTATGCAGTAACTTATGCTGCAATAGATTGGCTCTCGTTTTGAAAACTTTCTCACAATGATCACATTTCATTTCAGTACTTTCCTCTTTGATCGTTTCAGATATTTTAATCTTCTTTGCATCCTTAACAAATAGTGCTTTATGTTCGTTTAATTGCTCGACGGTATCGAAACTCGCACCGCAAGATGTGCATTTAGTTTTGAAAACAAATCTATGCTCTTTGACTTTATGTAATTTTAGTTTGGATATCGAGCTAAATATTTCGTTGCAATACTCACAACAGTGTCTTAAATCTCTGTTGTGTGTTCGTATGTGTCTTATAAATGATCGGTAACCTCTAGCGACTTTCGAACAATCTATACATTTGAAAACGCAACAGCTATTATGTATTTGGATTGAATGTAATTGTAATGATAATATGCTTTTACATTGAGCATCGCACTCGGCACACCTACAGCCTTGGTCGTCCCAAGATGATACAATTGAGTCTACGGAGATTTCATTCACATCTTTCTTACTCTCTCTAACTTTACGTTTTAATTTCTTGTTCTTTTTGGTTACAACTAACGGTGCTTCGCTATCAGTCGAACTTAAATCTAAACTATCATAATCTATTCTTAGTTTAAAATCTTCTTCGCTATCTGCTTCCGCTTTTATGTCCGTTATCGGTATAACTTGTAATATCTCAGCGTTTTCAACTTTAATTTCCGATTTGAAACCTTCGACTGCCTCCCAATCCTTATCCAGAGGTTTCCCAGCAACATTCTGGCAATTCAAATTGTTTTTCGAATCGATTTCAATAACTTTTTCCACGGATTCCTTTTTAAATATCGTATTTAATTTGTCTTGTGCACACCTTACATTGTTTAAGAAAGCCCAAGTTCTCTCGAGTTGATCGAAGCAGGAGAAACAAATTGTATTCGGAAGACCGTTGGATACAGACACGTCGACGTTGATCCAGGTTAGTTTGGCGAGTATTTTGGAAGTAATAGCTACATCTTCTTCTGGTTCTATGAGCTGGGTTTTAGGCGTCGGTTCGGCACAAAGCCGGCAATAAGTTTCAATTTCTTCGGACATTATCAAACGACATCCCTGGTTCACATTTATATCACGTTTTAGTTCAATTTCACAACAGAATCATCATAATATAGATATTTAGTAAAGTACAAACTATATTTAAGTTCATACAAACATTCTCATTAAACAATAATTTGACATAAGTATGACAGGTCAGAGAAACCTTAGTAGGGCTGTGCAACATTGCTTGGGATGTACGAATTTTATCGATTACTATAAATGAATTTAAAACTCGGTTGTAATAAATAATACTAAAAGAAAGTATAATCTTTAACACAATTAATGTGATTTATTTTAAATATTAAGATAAGTATTTCGACATAATATTCATTGAAAGCACCATCTAGTTTTTACGTAGGTAAAATATAATAGCATATGTGATATGAGAATTATGTTGTCGTTCATGGTAGAATAGTTGAATAGATTTGTTTTTGATATAATTTATTAGTTCCTAATTACTGGCCCATACTCGTATCTTGGAGTTTCCATCATTTCTGATGTAATTTTCCATTGAACCAAATCCACAATTATCATCTCGATGTCTCGATGACAAATTGATAATTAATTAAATTGAATTTAATAAGTGTTTTACTGAAAGTATATATTTAGATATATTTGCCGAATTAATAAGTTTGTGTAGTAGATTAAAGATGTTAGTATAAAAATAGAAGTGCCATGAACTTCTCTGAGTTCAGTTTTTAAATTATCTCTTTCATACGTGATTATATGCACAATGTATGTTTTGCTTATATTAAGCTTTCATTTATATGGAGATGACAAGAAGATTGGTCGATTTTAAATGTGAATACCTGTGCCTAATATGACGTGAAGGCAAATAGTTCATAATTCTCTATGGGAACGACTATAATAAGTTTTATAATTAATGACATCAATAATATTATATAAGGAAAAAAATAAGTACAATTATAATATTTAGTAGTAGTAGGGGTAGTACATAATATAAGAAATATAATTTGTACAAAAACATTGATCGCTTATGGGGGAAAGGATTTCAATGGGAGAGGTTATGAGAGGGAGACACAAAAATATTTAGCAGTTAGAAGATTAATGGAACGGAATATTTGCAGCGTGGCTTTTTTTCGTATATGTTGTGACTATTTACTGTAGGTATAGAAGTTTAAAAATATCTAAGACTCCATGATATAGTAGGTGGATTATATTTATATATATTAAACTTAGTATATTTTTTAATTCAAAATCAGAGTTTCTTATTAATATAATTGTGAATCTATGAATACAGTTATTCCTTGTATTGTGGTGAATTTCAAAGCTTGGTCAAGGTTTCATCTTGGTATCTTGTAATTAATAAACAGTTTATAAACTACTAGGATATATTTTTAATACATATTAACGTTTTTACCTTTGAATTACAAACACCACTTAGAGAACACTAATATTTTTTTCTGATAACTTCGTTTAGGGGGTTATATTTTCTATAACTGTTTTACAGATACATTCTTTCATAAAATATATATCTGTTGTTACGCAGGGTTTAAATGTAAGAAAATTAGAAACTACAATATTGAATTAGATGGCAACGAATTGAAAAGAATACGGTGATTGAGAAGAACATGTTAGAGGTAACTTAATAAAATAAGGACATTTTGGATTTAAAGCACGCAGTTAAGTAAGGTTTTGTGGATAATACATCTGGTAGGTAGATAGTGTTAAAAATACCGCCTTAACAGATGAGCTTGTAATATGTGTTGTGTTTTGAAAAGAACAGTCAAGAGGAGAAAGAAGTTGTTCTGAGTATATACTCATATTAATTGCAGCACGACAGTTCTTGGATTGAAAAGTTTCATTATAAGCCAAGAAAATTCTTCTCCGTTGTATAGTCCTTACTTTCTGATAGAAGATTAGTATATAGCAGATTATAGCAGTAAGGTTCAACGTTACAGGTCCAGGATTTCGTTAATAAAACCGATACATTAACAGGGTTATTATAATTCTTGTTAACGCTACTTTATTTATGACGTTTATCTGATGAAGATTCACGTACTAACACGATTATCGTACGGGTTTCTGAATAGTCTCTATATTCGGTTTACTAGCTATATGATTTTCTTACTTTTATATATTTGTGTGATTGTAATCACTTTATTATATTTTTTGTATAATATAATGAACGAAGTGCGTACCTAAGTATCATCTGTTCTAAGCTTAAGTGCTAAGTTAAAATGAACTCTTTTGTTTGTTGAGCTTGCAAGAATAAGCTACGTTTATTAAACACGCTGTCATCATCATCATCATCAGAGCCCACTGCTAAGTGAAGGCGTCTTCTCACATGGAGAAGGTTTGAGCATTAATCGCTACACACGCTGTACAGATAATATAACTATTTACCATACAGTTACATGATTTAGTAAAGACAAATTTGAGCAATCACAAACCCAAATTAATTCCAATATACATAATTGGCTAGAAATTTCTACAACGTTTGGCAGATCTAAGATTTTCGCGAGTATACAATTAAATGAAACTAATATATTCGGATTTACTACGCGATTTTTATTTTTGACTATAAACTACATACTCCCGACGTTTCGGTTACTTTACTGCAACCGTGATCACGGGTAGACGAGATGTGAGTGATACATTATTTAGTTATGAATATTGTAAATCCCAGTCACTGTTGAAGCTCCTCTCACTACAACGATGGACCCGACACACGCACCGTGAATACATGGAATGATGAGAGGTTTCGTCTCTCTATATATATTAAACCTACACCTGGGTCACAAGTCCCAGTCACTGTTGAAGCTCCTCTCACTACAACGATGGACCCGACACACGCACCGTGAATACATGGAATGATGAGAGGTTTCGTCTCTGTTCTATTGAGTTTTTAGATACGAATCATAAATACAAAATGGCGGAATCCATGATATGTATATTGTAAGTCTTCTGACTGCTTTTTCTGTATACAATGTAGTCTGTTCGTAGTGTTTCTTGTTAATATTGAAGTTATTTTGACTATTATACTACTTTACCTATATATATTGTTTGGATATACAAAAAATAATTTAGAAATTTGATATAATATTGAAATATTGTTTCTTATTTTGCTGTTTCAAACCTCTTAAATCAACATTTTTATAGTTAATACAATAATTTACTTACCTTACAATATACATATAGTAATATTTTCAAAATCAAATACATCTTTTAATGATGGAAGTAAGTTTTTATGCACAAATTAAGTTTTGAATAACAATATTGACTATTAATAAAAAAAATTACTTTGCAATTTAATTGAAACTACATATATATGTTCTTACGTGTATACATTAAATCTTTTTTCTTGTGGAAGTGTGTCAAAAATATTTGCATACGTGAAAATAAATTTCAAAAACTTCATTTATGATGTATAAAAAATAACATTTATTTATTATTTTTTAAGTTCTTTCCTCAAAGAATCTGATAAGGTCGTTCGCACATAATTCTGTTGTTAGTGCAAATAAATTTAGCCCCAACCATATGTATATGTAAGAAAATAATGTTTTTTTCTTAACTTTGAAACCGTGTTTCGAATATAAAATTGTTTTAAATGAATCAATTCGTGTCTGGGCACAAGATTTTGTGTCAACACACTCTAGATATTAAAAAATATAACGTCAGCGATGGGTTTGAATAAAATGTATTTGTCAGTGATCTGTCAACTGTCACAAATGTCAAACATGTTGACAGTTATTAGAATTAAATTATATTATGTCAAAATAATAAAATAGGTGAAACTATTTAAGTACGTATTTTTTTAAAGATTTTATGAAAGCATTTTGATCAGATATTAAGATTGTAGTAATTAATATTATTCGAAGTTTTTTTGACCATAGACTCAAAATATAAGAACGAATTAGTTAAAAAAACATGAGTAAATCAAATTTGCGTTTCGAGCGGGATATTCCGATTAAAATTTTATATGTTTTTGATTTTGAATTCATTAATTTCTTTTCGTAAAATTATATGGTTCACGTACATCCAGTTTAGAAAAACCGATACATTTAAAAACAAATTAATTAAAATGCAGACAAGTTCTTTATAATGACCTCTTTATAGATCTTTTTAGGTTTGCAAACATATAAATTTACTGAGGATGAATGAAAAAATCTTTACACAATAAACACAATAAAATTATATTATCTACTTACTAGAAGACCCGGCGAACTTCGTATCGCCCTATAATCAAGAAATATCTGTTACGTTTTTTATTTATATTTTTGGAGTTTACCTATAAAAGAAATAAATCTCCGTGTTTTGAAGTGCGACAGAATGATTGACATATTAGTTAGTTGTCAAAAAAAACGTTTGTGTCAACAACTACTTATAAATTAAAAATTAATTAAAAAAACATTGTCCAGCGGACAAAATTGTGAATCTAAACCATTCCCAGATCCCCTTGAACACACAAAAAAATTTCATCAAAATCGGTCCAGTCGTTTGAGTGAAGTTCAGTGACATACACACTCACAGAAGAATTATATATATAAAGATATAAATTGAACATATATATTATATGGTAACATTACGTAAAGCTAGGTCTTAGTTCATTGGCATCTATAAGGAACTTTTTAGTATTCCACGGACGTCTGCGTCGGAATCTTAAATTGTTATCGAAGATTTCTCAGATATAAAACAATGTTTTTCACTCCGTACTTCACCCTTAAGTGTTTAGACTTGTTTATTTACAAACATAATAAAATTACAAGAAAATCCCTACTAATATTATAAATGCGAAAGTAACTCTGTCTGTCTGTTACGCTTTCACGCCTAAACCACTAAACTGATTTTAATGAAATTTGGTACAGACATAGAGTTGACCTTGAGAAAGAATATAGGATAGTTTTTATCCCAGACTTTTGAAAGGTTGTCTTGAAAACGCGATATAACCGAACTCCACGCGGGCGAAGCTGCGAGCCGAAAGCTAGCATATATATATGTTTGTGGGTTTTCAATAAAAAATCTGTCCATAAGAGTAA